TAGTGGAATACAAAACTATATTTCATTTAATTGATCTTGCCCCATTCTTGTTTTTCCCCCGTTTTACGATCTTTGTCTGAGAGCTAACTCTACGCCCTATTCGATGCTATGATGCATGTCACAATGGCCGCCATGTAATTTAGTAGGAAATTTTTAGTAAAGTCTTAGTACGTGTAGTCGACTCTTTACCGCAGATTGCAGTTCTCTGGAGATATTTAATATTCTCGCCCATTATAGATACCGACTGAATACCCATAACAAGCCGATGAAAACTCATTCATGAGGTAAATTCTAATCTCAACGTTCCTTACACTTGCCACTTTATTGTTAACGGTGGAAACTTAACTGTGTGGTGAGCATAGAGCAGGACAAGGATCCTCTACCTTGCTCAGTGCCTCGATTGGTGTCTCAATAAATACCAATCACTTATACATTATGAGAGACCCCTGGGTTTGCTAACTCCATGAATTGTCGACTTTAGCCTATTCCATATCAAGTTTCATAGTCTTGTCTTTTAGCATATAAGTAAGTACTTTTTCAAAAGGTCATCAATACCGATAGTGCTCTTCACTTAGCATGCTCAATATTGGAGTTCAATGTCGAATGACATCACTGTTTCAAAAGGTGCATCTTAGTTTCCAATATATAGTCCACGATCGATCTACTCCTATTCTAGAAGTTTGCCAAGAGTTGCACTTTATTCGAGCTTGCTTGCCCCGATGGTCACTCTATCCCCTCGTCGGACCGGGTTGTGACAAGCTCACCAGCTTCCACGCAGTTCGTCCTCGAACCACTCACCTACTGGAAGAGGTTGTACTCCGCTATCATATTGTGATATCTCCGAATTAACTCAATTTCACTCGTAACCATTTTCTGATGAGGTCATCTATTCTAGATGTGTTCTCTTTTGAGCAAACTTAACAATGTAAGTTAACTCCGTTTCACATTTGTAATCCACGAATGCTTTTCCCTTATTTGGTGTGTTACTCGATTTATTTTCTCCCCTTCTCTGCCCTAGAAACCCGCTAGGAACCATACCTTGTCCAAATATTCTTGCTTCGGTGATCACTCCCATCCTTTTCGGAGTGGATCGTTACGCATTAGATATAAATTTCATCTCCACCCTTGTTCAAAGAGATCAATAATTTGAATGGAAAGACACTACCTGGGGGAAAGGATCTCATCCCATGGAGCAAACTTTAATACTTTTTCTTGCATGATGAGAATATTTTATTGGTGGATAAGTTTAAGACGCATCAAACACCCATTAGCCTTGTGGACCAGCAAACTGTAGTTTCATTCAACCTCAGGAGCATTTTGTCAGTACAAAAATTTGAGGGCAAGGGGACAAAAGTCCAAGAAGAAATATCACTCCTAACACGCACTCACTGATATGGTTGGAACTAGAAACACTGAAAGCATATCTAATGATGTGATACCACATGAGGACCAAATTGGCATAGTAACAAGGCATGAACGATGGAATGGCTGTAATCAGTTCCAACACAATATTAAAAAACTATTTCTGTAGACCCAGATTTGACCATATGGGCTTCGATCTAATCCCATCCAAGTAGTTTATATAGTTTATGCTTTGCTAAGCAAAATGCCCTTTTGACAAAAGCATGTATTTCGATGAGCCATCCACATCTCACGCCCGCTTCACAAAAAGACGAAAAAGCAAAGCGAATTCAAAGGTGAAAGAAGAAATCGAATGGAGACGAGGAGCAAAAGAATGGCACCAGTCAAGAGGAGAAAAAAGAAGGAAAAAGATGAGCAAAGGGAGAGCAATCACTGGACAAGAAATGAAAGGCTAGTCTATGTCTGTCTCATGATTTTGTTGACTATATTCCTTCCTTCCACAGAGAGAGAGAGAGAGTATTCCCAAGCATTGTTTTCCAGAGAAAGATTAGGTGTACTAAGACTGAATTTACGGTACGGATCTACTAAGTGACGCAGCTGATTCTTTCTAAGTGGCCTCTATGATATGATATGCTTATTTGAATGTCCACTCGTCATCAATCATATTAATTGGTACACCAATTTTTAAGCGAATCTTCCTATACATGCATTGCTTCTTTAACGCGTTCTAGAGCTTTGCATACAATGGAAGGATTGCATTTCATAGTACATTTACACCACATTTTCTCCTCATCCATGGCTCGTTTAATGTGTATAAGATTGATTCACACAATTGATTGGCTCATTGTGAAACCGTACATGGCCTATTTATCTCAATATCGATTCTCAATCTATCATATTATTCGGTATACTAACTTTATAAATACGTCTCGACGAAATGAGCATGAGTGGTTCTACTCAGTTTGGGGCTTCACGTATGATGGAAAGATTGCATTTCAAAGTACATTCACACCACCATTTTCCACTCCCCATTTCACTAGGTCTCTCATTCATTGTGACTGAGACCGGTTGAGTGCATCAAGTGCCAAAATAGTCAAAATGCAAAATGAATAGATGGAGAGATCAATCATCTCCATGTTTGTGGCAATAATTTGACCAGAGGTAAGTGATCATGCTTCCCTCATACATCATACCCAAATTCGCTGCACATTTTCTCAACCATGGGAAATGGGGTTGGTTAGAAGTATTTGGCACCTCATATTTAGTTCTCGGGCCCCCATACCATTCTTCCTTTTCAGAAATTCATCTGGAGGATCAATATCTCGGTGCGTAAACAGAGCATATGGCTGTTTCAGTTCCCATTGCATATTGTTTGGATTTATCCCCTAAAAGTTCAGAATATTAGGTGTGGAGAGAGACTATGTATATATGACCTGGGCAAACCCCATGTGCAAGTAGTGCTGAATAATATAACATCCCATCTCACACGCAAATTGGGTGGAAAATGTTGCATAGAATTCGCGAATGGAGAATAAGTCAGACAAGATGCGTAATTGGACTCTGATGCCATATTAGATTTTCAAGCTAAAAGTTTAAGTTAATAAGCATCCATATGGATTTCAGCCAAACTGGTTATTATCTATCTTCCATTGTGTTGCTTCTTTTTGGGTAAATTGGTTGGAGCATTATATTAAGCTTAGCACATCATCTTCATCCTTTTCCTGCCAAGTTCAATTGCACTGCTTGTACTTTGGTTTGTCCTATTGAGGTCAGCCAATATATGGCATTTTTCTGGGTTTAAACAAATGCGGCAACCTTTTTAAGCTAAGCGATGAGTGGCCAAGAGAAACCATTGTCCTCCTACAAGTAAAATTAAAATCAAAATGTAGCAACTTGGGACACTCCTACTTAGCCCCCACTAATTGATTGCCATCTTTTCTCCCTCCTTTTCTTTGCTTTTGAGTTCTCATATCTGATCTGGTTTTATAGGATTAGTTAATATTAGGATTATCTCTCTCTCTCTCTCTCTCTCTCTCTCTCTCTCTCTCTCTCTCTCTCTCTCTCTCTCTCTCTCTCTCTCTCTCTCTCTACATCATCCATGGATATACGTATCTTGAAAGAGTGGTTGCTTCTGTCATCAACATCAATAATATGACTAGGTTTTCTGCAAGATAGATAAACTATTCCTATCTATTGCAGAAAAGAGCAACTTCATATTAATGAAGCAGGGTGGTGCGTTTGCCAGTACATTCTAGAAATGGAAAGCCTAGAAAGGTTATGTATATGCCCATTTTCACAACTCTGCTAGTGTAATTGTACTCGTTAGTAATGGCTGATTTTTGTGTTGGCAATTTGGACGCGCTAAATGGCTGGAGTTGTAAAGCAAGAAATCAGGTGGACCTGCAAAACCTTACCCATGTTCATGGGCAGAGAGGAACTGACCAGAATGAGAAAATAATGACACCTGAGTGAACCCAGAGTCCAAAGACCTTGAATTGAACACCATTCTCTGCTGAACTCAAAGAGTAACAAGATAAGACTATTCTTCGATGACATATTCAGTACCTGCAGATTAAGAACTTCTAGTTTCTTGATAATATATTATGATTCAGTGGTCCATAATCTAAGCATATCATATCCAGTACACTTCTGAGGCATCTAATTTAGCGATATCTGCACAAAACTTGATCAGCAAAAGCACCCTTAATTCTGAAATCTAATGATTTCTCAAGGCCATCTGAAATCTCGGTCCGTGATTGATGTTTCAACATTACACTACAACTCCGCTGCGCTCTGCTTTTTTGCTTCTTGAGTTCTTGTTAGTTACAGTTGCCGTCTTCATTCACGACCGGTTAACCCCATCTTGACTTTTGTTTGAGAGGAAAATTTCAGGACATGTGTTTGTTGTGATTTGGACGAACAACACCTGCACTTGCTTATATTTACTCTAGTCATGATGTGTAATCAATTGGAAGTGGTTTGTTGAGTCATTAGAACACATAATCTTTCTGCAACTATAGGAAAACTGGTCACCTTTTCAACCTCTTTACACATCCTATTCCATACGTCACAGTGCTTTATTGGCTAAGAACGGTTAAGTGAAACCATCCACTTCTTTCTGAGATTGACTTCTCCAAAACTCCATTCCTCTCATCTTTTATGATCATTATTATTATTGCTGTCACTATTTTTCCCCCTCTTTATGGCCATATCATATATCTCCATTCAGATAATAACACCCCCCACAACATGATTAATTTCCCCAGAAAGCCATTCTCTCTCTTTCTCTCTGATGTAAGCATATTTTGTCTGAAAAAAATGATTATACACAAACCCACAATGGCCTTGTCCCCATCTCATAATTATTATGATCCATATGCAAGGGCATGACCTTGAGAAGAAGCACATCTTCTTCTAGACATGGACTCACTGATGTATGCACAGTAGACTGTTATTTGAAGCGAGACGAATCCCGTGTGAGGCGAACTCGATGCTATTCCTGCTGTTCACAGATCAGACAATCCTTATTAAGAACTAAACCCGAACTAAAAGAAGGTACCCCAATGGACACAAACCAAACGCCCTGAGAAAAGATCATGTGTCAAACACATAATTGGGAGATCAATCTAATCTTCTCATAATCAAATGTCCTAGGGTTCATGATACCTCTCCTACAATCAAACTTGATTTTGTTTCTTTCTCAAGTAGTGGGGTATGTTGAAGCCTTTTCCCAGCCTATAAAACCCCCTCTTCCTCCTCCACATCCCTCCCCCCTCACTCACTCACTCACTCTCTCTCTCTCTCTCTCTCTCTCTCTCTCAGAAACTCACAAACTAACTATTCCACTTCCTCTAAAATATTTGCAAGCAATCAGATTCGCTTGAAAGGTGTAAAAAAATGGAGCCTAATGAAGTTGCAGGACTCCATTACATCATATCTTCCAACACATCCCAATTTCCAGTTCATTTGAGCATGATCCATGACCAACCCAACACGTACAATCACTACAACACCTCATCTCGTACATTCTACAATGGTCAATTCCCATCTCAGGTCCAGGAGCTCGGAGCGCCCTCGCCTTGCTTCAGCAGCAACCACTCCACATCCGATGAGGCGGACGAGCAGCAGCTGATGCTGATCAACGAGCGGAAGCAGAGGAGGATGATATCCAATCGGGAGTCGGCCCGCCGTTCCCGAATGAGGAAGCAGCGGCACCTGGACGAGCTCTGGTCGCAGGTCGTCTGGCTGCGCAACGAGAACCACCAGCTCATGGACAAGCTGAACCACGTGTCAGAGATCAATGACAAGGTTGTCGAGGAGAATGCCCAGCTCAAGGAGGAGACCTGCGGGCTTCGCCAAATGATTACTGATATGCAACTGAATAACACTTACTCAACTCTGAGGGACCTCGAAGATGTTCCTTGCAATCTTGGAACTCAATCCTCGGACTAGACCGTCACCGGTTCTGTGGATTCCTTAGGCTAGTTTTAATGCCGGAAATGGCCTGGTTTCATTTTTTTTCTTCTTCCGCTCCAAGTGGATTTTTCCTGGTGTATTTGGGAATTGAGCCAGTCCTTTTACCCCCTATCTCTGAGTGCATGTATGAGACTAAATGAATTGTCAATAACATATTCCGAGGATTTCGTCAACCATTCTTATCAATCCCGCAGTAGCATTATTAGATCCCAGGTGGTTGTCTTAGCTAAACTAGATTCCTAAATCTCATTTAGAACCATAACTTAGTCATTGCAAGAATTCCTGGAAGGAACCCTGCAAGAGGCTTCAGGATCTATCCCTTTCTCCAGAAATAGTCCTAGCGTATCACACTGTACTCATAGAGTCACCAGAAACCTAGATCACGAAGCTTGATAAAATGAGGAATGAACGAATGAAGTTCACAACTTCTGATGCATACAAGACAAGATGCATTATTGAAGAGAAAAGAAAGGGACCAAGTAATTGGTGTCAGGTGTGTACAGGATACAGAGGAGGAAAAATGTTTTAGTGGGCTATTTGGGACATGACATAGAGAGGTCTCAAAGAGGTGGTGGGGGTGGGTATTGTCGTTCTTTGTTTGATACACACGCGCACACACAGCACAGAAAACAAACAGCGACCATACAAAGAAAAACATATGAAAGTGCTCTCCACTACTTATCTATCTCCCTCTGCCCAAAAGCGAGAACTGTTTACTACTTTTTTCAGGTGCTGTGCTGATTTCATTCCTTCTTTTCCATCGAAATGTGGTCCAGAATCGCCTCCGCACCCTCATGGTCGGGGCTTCTATGTGGTCCCTTGAGAGACCGATTCCACCTTCATAACGTGTCTTGCCTAAGTGCCATTTTTGTTGTAGTTCCTAGACAAAGTGCTGTAACATGCAAACTGTCATGGCTATTGGCGATTGCTCCTAAAACACAAGCATCTTAATATTTACTTTTCCAGGAATCCATACCACGTTTGCAATGCCTTGTGGATTTACCTCAGCAGTTTACGTGGAGAATACGGGAAGATTTTACAAACGGTAATAATAGTCTGAGCTAGCTAATTGATAAAATTGCTTGGCAGTTGGGCTCAAGCAAGGATCACTTATCATATTGCATATATCTTCTACTGTTATATTCTCTAGGAGTTCGTCCTTCTTAAAACAGACAGGACTGGAGACGCAATTGTTCAACCTGGTACCGGGAAACTGCGACTGTAGGAGCTAACCATGGCTTGAAGCCTTCTTATCCGTCTCTAATTTGGCACGATGTTCATAAAAATCATTTCCAGTCATGAATCTATGCCAACGCTCCAATCAAGGACCCCGTGTCGGACATCGCCTTCATCTTAAAGCCTTCGAACTTTGTTCTTAGTGCTTCTCTAAATTAATGCACCGGTTGTACTGACCTGCCTGAATTCTCTTCAGAAAAGCTGCTGGCCACTTTATATACTGTTACCTCACTGAACTACAGCAAATTTTGATAAATTTTGATGTTATACTCTCAATCTCCGGCGAGCAAGATAGCTCCTTCACATGAGTATCTTCAGATTTAATCGGGGTGGATAAAAGGAGCTGGAAAACAAAGGCATAAGCTGTAGCCTGCTCACACGACCGCAAATATACTTGACATACACGATACCAGGAGAAAAATTACAGAGAGTTGATTGTCAAGTACAGAATTGCCGGATTTTTCCCGGTAAGACTATGTTAATAGGCAGATGCAGAGTACTAAAATAAGACATAGACAAAGAAACTGTCATGGCTAGGGCGAATTTCACTTCATTTTATCAACTCTCCTATCACCTCACAGATTAAAATCTCAGACAAGTTGAATCACGCGACAACCTAAGGTTCCACGACCTTTTCGTGCTTTACAACAACAGTTGACTCGTTCCTGCACAACCAAATTTTGACATGATGTATGGATCACAGACTGTCTTAGGGTTACTGCACAAGAAGATCCTGAAGTTGAATGTCAGCTTAACATATATGGGCTGCCTGTAAATGCCTAATGTCTCTTATTGATTTTGTGCGTTCTCTCAAGCATAAATTTCGCTTGGAGGGGTTTGCTCCTTTGGCATAACCCTACGTAACCGTGTTCCTGCGACATGATCTGAATAACGCGCAGACAAATCACGGGCTTCGGACATTCATGTTCCTCTGCATCATAGTCTTCTCTGTTGCTGTGTAACAACAGACATCTACAAGTTCAGCTAACGACATCCTGAACGGTAAATCACGCCGTGCACAATGCTGAAATCCCTCGACTGAGAATCTGTTCAGGAATAACATCCTGGCGGTGGACTCTCCAATCACGTAACCCCCTGATCACCTTATCAAAAAAAGAAACTCGCGACATTCGGTGAAAATATTTCCGTTAACATGGCAAAGCCTCGTGGGTTACTTGGTGGAAGAAATGTTCCAGTAAACAGACGAACATCTTGTGCATAGATTGATCGCGCTAGTATTCGAGTATAATCCCAGGTCCTAAACCAGCAGAAGCATCCTTTGCCTATCCACTGAACTAGGGGTTCTAGGAAGTGAGCGAATCATTCAGTGCAATTCGGGCTACTTCAAGATGAGCATCATTCCATCCCCCAAAACCATGACTCGCGAGTAGGCAAGGGCCTGCGATCATCAATCGCGCCCGTCGAGAGACCGGTCCGCTTCTGGTTCGATCCGATCCTGATCGGCAGCGCGCATCGACTTCGACCTTCTTCAACCTCCCCCGGCTCGTCCCCTCGACCTTAGGCTTCCCCAACAGATCGGGACCTGCACCGACATTGCTTTCTTGTTCGCCGTTGTCTCAGCCTCGCCATTCCCTCTTCTCTATCAGCGCGTCCCAAGACATCCAAACCGCTTCGCTCCGTATCCTTCGATTATCCCGAGACAGCTCCGGAACGTCATGCGACCGCCAAGCCGGGATCTTGGTTCTGGTTCTGCACAGATTCGTAACGTTACCCAAATGCTGGTGACAGTGGCGGAGTGGCAGTTGACAGTTAAGTAATGAACTCGGCCGTGGCTCATAAATATCCGTGCTTTACGAACGTTTCGCGTTAAACAAAATTCGAAAGAATAGAAAAAAAAAAACGCTCGATTATAATTTTATAATAATACGATGCAATAAAAAATGAGTTAATATCACGAAAAACCCCAAATTGGTACACACGTAACAAATTTACCTTACGTTAATTTCTGTTAAAATTTACCGCCAAATTGCTCAGTTAAATGACACGTGGCCGTTTACGGATGTACCGATTTGGGATTTTACCTTCCGTTAGTTTCCGTTAAAACTTACTGTCAAATTGCTTAGTTAAGTTACACGTGGCAATTTACGAATGTACCGGTTTGGAATTTTACTCTCCGTTTGTCACAGGTATATCATTTTGTGATTATTTTTTGTATTAATCTAATCTAACGGTGGGTAAATTTGTCGAAGGGTTCTTAGCGGTCAAAATATTAGTCCGGGATAAATTTGTCGCAAGGGGTACCGGTTTAAAGTTTTTTGCGGTTAAAAAGTTAGTTTTTGATAAATTTGTTACGGACGTAGCGATTTGAGGTTTCTCGTGGTGTTAACTCGAAAAAAAAAAAATCCGTAAAAAAAATTCGAAAAACGAGCCCCAAGGGGGGGAAAACAAAAATCGCCTAAAATTTCCGTCGTTCTTCTTCTTCTTCTTTCGATTGCGCACTCGGCAATAAAATATAAATAAAATATAAATAAAAAACGAATAAAACAGAACGTACCGTCACCGACGACCGACGCGGTATGATCTCTCTCTCTCTCTCTCTCCCAACCGTACGAACTCTCCAGATCCTTCCCCCTTCCTTCTTCCTCGATCGAACCCCAAATCTCTCAGATCTCACCTCCCTCGCCCTCACTTCACTTCTCTGCTACTAGCTGCCCCCGTTCATTGGAGCTCCGCCACGAGCGGCTGAAGGAAGGGCCCCCGGCGGCGGCGGCCGCCATTGCCGAGATCCGACCCGGTCCAGGGAGCCCGGATCGCGCCGGAGGGAGCTCCGAGAGGAGAGGGAGAGTGTGTGCGGGCGGGCGGGGGCGGGGGCGCGCGGTTTTGGTTGGTTGGTTGGTTGGTTGGTTGGGCGTGCGGGTGAGAGAAAGTAGGGGGCAGGTGAGGGGGAGAGCTCGCGGCCATGGCGGTACCGGTGAGGGGAGGCCGTGGAGGAGGGGGAGGGGGAGGGGGAGGATCGGCGTTCGGGGGACCCGGCGGCCTCCGCGGCTTCTGCTCCTACAGGGTCTTCATCTCCGCCATGTTCTCCCTCCTCTTCCTCGCCACCGTCTCCGTCCTCTTCTCCTCTCGTCGCGATTCCGTAAGTCTCTCTCTCCCTCTCTGATCTCTCTGATCTCTGATCTCTCTCCTCGCCCCTCCCCCCCCCCAGAAAAAGGTCTATGAATTCCGGCGTTCCTCGCCGGAAATGGTGTCGCCGGGAAGGCGAGAGATTGCGTCTCGGGGAGTCGGGACCGAGTAGTAATCGGCGGAGTCGGTCTCGATTCCGTCTGTGACAGTCGAATGAGAAGGCTTTGGTCTTTGGGCTTTGGGCATCGCATTTCCTTTGTTCGTTTAGTGATGTATGCGCGCGTGAAGGCTTAATTTCTCTATTGATCTGGGCTAATTTAGTGCATTGGCTCAGTTTCTTGAATCCCGTAAGCGGAACACTTAAAAATGAACAAACTTTGAAAGAGCAGACTTCATAAAGATCCTCTGTTTTTTTTTATTTTTTTATTTTTTTGTGTTTGCTGTTCTCTAAATTATTGCGAATCGTCGGATTTTCTCCGCAGGCGCCGAGCGAGAAAGGGTATGTTCACCACACAATTTTAGCATTGAACTCCGACCCGCTGAAGACGAGGCTAGATTTGATTTACAAGCAAGCCAACGACCACGTCACCCTCGTGAATGCTTATGCCGCGTATGCTAGGAAGCTCAAGCTCGAGATTTCGAGGCAATTGAGGTTGTTCGATGACCTGGCGAAGAACTTCTCGGATCTCCCGATGAAGCCGAGTTATCGGGCTTCCCTGTTCGAGCCGGAAGGTGCGGTGGACGAGGATGTGCTGAGGCAGTTCGAGAAGGAGGTTAAGGATAGAGTGAAGTTCGCGAGGTTGATGATTGCGGAGGCGAAGGAGAATTACGATAATCAGATGAAGATACAGAAGTTGAAGGATACTATCTTCGCCGTTCATGACTTGCTTATTAAAGCCAAGAAGAATGGGGTTGTCGCGAGTTCGATCGCGGCAAAGTCGATACCAAAGAGTTTGCACTGCTTGGCTATGAGGCTGGTGGAGGAGAGGATCGCTCATCCAGAAAAGTACAGGGATGAAGAGCCGGAACCTGAGTTTGAAGATCCAAGCTTGTATCATTACGCAATAGCTTCGGATAATGTGATTGCTGTGTCGGTGGTGGTGAATTCGGTCGTGAAGAATGCGGAGGAGCCATGGAAGCATGTTTTCCATATCGTGACGAATAGGATGCTTGTTGCGGCAATGAAGGTGTGGTTCAAGATGAGGCCTGTCCAAGGGGGTGCGCATGTCGAGGTGAAGGCAGTGGAAGATTTCTCGTTCTTGAACTCGTCGTATGTACCTCTGTTGAGGCAGTTGGAGTCTGCTAAACTCCAGAAACCTAATTTTCCGAACGAGGCTGACAATGCTAATAAGGATACAAGCAGCGTTAAGTCAAGGAACCCCAGTGAGTTGTCCATGCTGAACCATCTTCGGTTTTATTTGCCAGAGACGTACCCTAAGCTGCACAAGATTTTGTATTTGGACGACGATGTCGTGGTTCAGAAGGACTTGACAGGGATGTGGAATATTGACATGGCGGGGAAGGTGAATGGAGCTGTTGAGACCTGCTTCGGGTCTTTTCACCGCTATTCGCATTACTTGAATTTCTCGCACCCACTCATCAAGGAAAGATTCAATCCGAAGTCCTGTGCCTGGGCTTACGGAATGAACTTATTTGATCTTGATGCCTGGAGGCGAGAGAAATGCACGGAAGAGTACCACTATTGGCAGAACTTGGTAAGTGTAAATCAAGTCGGATTACAATACATTTTTTACTCCCGGTTTTTTGGGATTAATATTTACTAGCGTTGATTCAAAACTGGAATGCACGTTTAACCACTGTTTGAGAGTAGATAATAATTATCTCATGGTGCTAAGACCCGTGGTTCTTTCAAAAGCTAGAACCTTGTTATTTGCTTACAATCTCACTCTCTCTTTGCACCTTTACTAACCAATGCTAGATAGTGGCATCTGAAATCATTCATTGACTGTTTTGTTCTGACGTTTCTTCACAGAATGGAGATCAGACATTATGGAAATCAGGCACTCTTCCACCTGGCCTGATCACCTTCTACTCGTCAACAAAATCATTGGATAAGTCTTGGCATGTTCTCGGGCTTGGGTATAATCCAAGCATTAGCATGGATGAGATTAACCATGCGGCAGTTATACACTACAGTGGAAACATGAAACCTTGGCTAGATGTTGCTTTGAACCAATATAAAAACCTCTGGACCAAGTATGTCGACAATGACATGGAGTTCGTCCAAATGTGCAATTTTGGCCTTTGAGAAAGAACTACGCCCTATCAGACGAGGTAAAATACTTGGTCATCATGATTCGCCCATTTCAAAAGTTTTGGAGCCAATAGTTGTAACCCTGTGAGCAAAGCTCAGTGATATGATCCATTCTTCAAATTATGGAGTCGGTCTTTTTAGATTTGTTTAAATTCTTTTTCCAAGAACTCCGTCAAAGTATAATCAGCTCGATTGCTCAATGTACCTGCTGAACTTTTTTGTCTGATTAAGACGTTCGTGCATATTGACTGAGTCTCAGTTTCTCACTTCATCATGGACACCATTATGTTTGATTGTCAATTTTTTTTTATGATGAGTAAGCCTGTCATAGGAAGGTTGGTTCCATGGGTTGGCCTACTGGTTAAAATACACAAGGAACTGTGCTTTGATGTACCAGGCAATGCTCTTGCATTTATATTGTCCTGTGTTACTAATTCGAAACATGTCAAAAGAAATCTGATAGCTAGTTCTGCCAAACATGGCGATCAGCACTAATTTTTTATAGAATGGACCCGAAAAGAGAAGGGATACGGAGGCATTTCATTCTTTGCTTGTAAGTAATTTTTTAAACTTTTTTCCCACCGTTCAACGTGGATATTTAGTATAACAGCTTGCAAATGGCCACTATTTTTCGCTCGTAACAGCAGAATATTGCAAGGGGAGAAATATACATTTAGCTCATCTTTCTAAAAGGAAGTTCGTCATTCTTTCGCGAAATTACTGCTAAGGTTGCCTGGAATTCATGCTTTGCGAAGCTGTAAGGTGTCCGGGAGGGTCAAGGGGACTCTTGCGCTTGCTTTCATTGTGTCCATGTACGCTAAAATTTAAGAGGCCGCTCATTGTATATGGTAGTATGTGTGCAGACGAGCTTGCTTTGCGGGTTTTCTTCTTCTTCTTCTGTACTAGGGGAGTTTCATGGACATTGGTTACGGTATAGTGCAGCCTCTTGAAGGCTAAGCTAATTAAAAGCAGAGGCCCGCAATCCAAAAGGTCTTCCTTCTGATTTTTACGCCTTGTCCTAGCAGGAAAGGTGGCTGCGTGCTCCGGCTTTCCGCTAGGGAGACTTGAAGGCGTGGGGTTTCCGTGTGGCCCTCCTCCACGATCCTCCTTGCTGTCGGGATCCCGTCGAAATCGTATGCATTTTTGGGATAGCTTGTACACAAAGCTCGAGCACGCGAAAACGTAAAGATTTATGGGGCGAGCTTTCCTCGCGTTTTCATTCAATGGCTAGCCCCTCCGGAAATTACATCGTGCAAAGTGTAACCATCAATAAGCAATGAGATCACAAACTTCAACTGCCTCCGAGATTTTCGGCTCCACGCTCATGGTATTTAATTGCTTACGGATAAGAGTATGAGCAGTCATAATTTTCAGAATTTCTATTAGTTTGACTTTCTTCGGACGACTCCATTTGTTGTTGTACGTCGATAACTAGCCTGGTGTCCCTTTTATTGAAGGCATCTTTGAGTACCTGAGTCAATCTTACACTGGGGCACTTATCGATCTGTAACCACGTCACTTGACTCTTTCATCGATAATTCAATCCCAACATCTCTCGCTAAACCTTGAATCATTTGTCGGTGTCAAACACATGCATTTTGTGATAACTCAAACACAAAGTTCGAGCACGCGGAAACTTAAAAGATTTACGATCTGACGGGTGAGCTTCACTCACGTTTTCATTCAATGGCTAGCCCCTCCAGAAATTACATCGTGCAAAATAAGGTAAGAACGAAAATATATTTATTCCGGCCAACTTTCCGGTCCGTGTTTCCGTACCCGGCCCGGGTCATCGCGGCTTGGAGACGGAGGCGGCATCCTTGCCGGACCTGCCGTCGAGGCCGTTGCCGAGGGCCACCGACTGGACGGTCAGGACCGACACGCTGGGGGAGGCGGGGGGCCCCTCGCCGCCGGGCCCAAGGGCGGCCGGGTTGCGGGTGCGGGCCGGGGCGCTCCTCGGCCGGTGGGACGTGGCGGAGGATATTGTGGTGGCGAGCGATATGGGCATGAGGCAGAGCCCCTTGCCCTGCAGGTACTGCATGGCCGACCCCATGTCCTCCTCCATGAGCTTGGCCACCTGGTTCTCCGCCACCATCAGGCCGTCGCCGGTCGATGACACCGCGGCCTGATGGTCGCCGTTGCTGCCGTTCCGCCCCGCTTGGATGCAGTCACCACCTCCTCCCTAGAAACAACCATCCGCTCTCATTCTTTAACGATCCAATTTGTAATTTTATACATAAAAAATGGCTGCGCATTCAATGTAAATAGAAAATTTCTCTCCATCATTGAAAAGGGTAACTAGAAATTTCCGCATTTTTTCCTATTTTCTAATTTTCCAAATAATTTCTTTTTCTATCGGGAAAAAATAGGGAGAGAAATGGAAAAATGTACCTCGGAGGACATGGCAGCCACGAGAGGAGCCACCCCGCTAGCCGCTCCGCCCCACGCGGCAAAACATGGATTCACTGTTTCTGGACTCGAGTCGACTTTTCAGGACGACCCAGCCCACCCCGAATTCAGTGATCGAGCCTCACCAATATCGTGTTGATCGAAAGGGAAGACGAACCTACAAGCCTCACCAATTGGTCAATTTGCTCATCGAAACCATATTATATAGTTTATCTCAGTACCCAATTCTAACCTTAGCTTCAGGGTATTCGCCGGAACATCTTCACTAGTAGCGGTGCCCGGGGGGACTCTTAAAGGAACTCGGCAAAATAGCCTCGAGGCCGAGGCGCGACGTCGTTCTCTGTGTAAGCATATCGTTCTATGGTTTCTAGTTGCGAACCTAATAAGTCTAACGACAGAGATCGTTTATCTTTGGGAGGTGGCTGGTATAACACCATTTGTAGGAATGATACAGTGTTAGAAAGCAATTGGGACGCCTTTAAAGTGGTTCAAAGCAGTCTATCAGGACGGCTTCGAGCGGGCCGAGGACGGACATCAGTTTGTCGACATCGGAGGTGGTCGATCGCCATCGGAGGAAGCCGCCGCGAGTCGTGCCCGAGTCGGCGGGTGTGAACTCGAAATTGAGCGCGTCTTCCGGCGTCGGACCGACGGTGGAACCACGGGGCGACAGGCAGTAGCAACACACATGGGGTGCCTTCTGTCGAGCTCGTATCGATTCGAATCTCGCGAGCCCGTGTGTTAGGCCGAACAGCTTCCTCGGTCGCTTGTCTCGACATTGAGCTGGCGGCGGCGACGCCGATGCCGTCATCTTCCGCCCTGTCGAGGGGTGGGGGATGCAGCTTGTGCCGCGACGCTCCGACAACGATGGCGAAACCACAAATGTTGGCCCCGCTCCAAGATTTTCCCTTACGCGAGCATTGCGTCACGCTTACGTGGGCAAATTGCCACTTTCCTTGACCTTTGACCATTCCATTGTAAGGAGGTCCAATCAAATCCAATTGAGAACTTGGCTAGGACCCGCCTCGCAGCCCGAACTGAAAATTTGATCTTCGTTTTTTATTTTCCCAATAAATGATTTACATGTTTTTCCCATTTTTATTTGGACTGAGGGGCCCACTCGGTATCTTTTGAAATTATTCTCACAAATTTGGGCATAAGAGCCTAAACGTGCAAAAAGGAGCTGTATAGCCTTAGCAGCATCTCGTTTATACGACATGATATCATTTGACCCAAAAAAAAGGGCGGGGCGAAAAAGGTTGGAATGGGATGCAAAAAGTCTAGATTATTCGGCCACGTGGTAAAGTAACGAAAAAAAAGTCTCATTTTTCATCTTGTGTCTCGCCTACCCTTCTTTCTCCGCCGTAGTATTTGGAAGAAAAATCTCATTGCAGCACGTAAAGAGAAGGGATAATGACACAAATGATCTATGAACTTCTATTCGATGTATAATGTGTTTCTTGAACTTTACTCAAATATGCAATGTGATTCCCGAACTTTTGATTTGTTCAATGTGGTACTTGGACTTTTAGTACATGTTCAATTTAATCTTTAAATTATGTGAAAATGTTCATTATAATCCTTCAATTAAATCAAGTTTAGGATAAAATACATGGACTAAATTGAATATGTACCAAAAATCGGGAGATCGCATTGAGCAAATCAAAAGTTCAGGGAACCACGTTGCGCATTGGAGTAAAGTTCAGGAGTCCCATCGAACAAATTGAAAGTTCATGAATCACATTGTACATCGTGCCAAAGTTCAGAGGCCATTTGTGTTAGTTTTCCTAAATGGAAAGTAAAACATAAAGTCGAAGGAGTATAAAAGTACCAAAATATAGCATCTCATCATATAGGTCGTCTTGAGTTTTTCACGGTTGTTCAGGCAAATCCTATGCCTATTTGCTTTTAAGCTCGAGCATATCTAGTTTTCTCATTTTCAATATTCTGAAAAAGCCACGGTACGAAATCGCTCCCGACACCCGAAATTGCAAATAACCCCTCGAAGTTGCGCGATTTCGCAAGATAACCCCTCGGGGGTCTGAGTTTGTTTTTGAATCCACCCCTTTGCCTTTACACAGATGGACCGCGGTGCGCGAGTTTCGTGGGGTTACATGAGAAAATAGAAAACAAGGAGGGAGTCCCTCGTACTCGCCACGTCAGCACAGTAGCGGGGCTGTCCGATGACGTGGCAAGTCCTGACCTGTTTCTAGGTTTGAGAAAATATTCGGTGGTTTGCGAGCGCTACGTCAATCACTGATGTGGCGTGCATGTTTTTTTGACTAAAGTCCAATAACAAATTTACACGTGTCTGCTCAGTTGGATTAAAAAAAAAATTTTAAGTTTCATTGTTCTTTCTTCTCCACTCATTTTCCTTCCAGATCCGGCCGTCGTCCATGGTGGCCGGCGCTCGTTCGCGGCCATGGCTTCTCTCTTCTTCATCCTTCATCCTATAGTACTGCCGGTGGTTCTCTCTTCTTGCTCCGTCCATGGCTTTGCTCACCAGATCTCGTGGAACTCGCCGCCGCTGGGCTCCGTCTTCCCAACGAAGAGCTCCATCGACAAATCTGGAGGAACTCGTTGCTGGTCCATATCCAGATGGCGATGGCGGTTCGTCCATGGCCATCGGCGTTAAGGAAGCCGTCGTCGCTCGCGGCCATGGCTCCAGATCTGAAAGTTCAGCCGAGCAAAAAACAGAGAAATGGAGAAGGCTCGTCCATGACGGCGACGGCGCACGGGAAAGATTCGGCCATGAGTTCCAATCGTGGATGTTCTTCTTTGTTTTCGTTTTCTCCCAAGCACGGGAAAGGAAACTGCCCTTCAGATTTGGCCATACCGGCTCGTCCATGGCTGCGAGCGACGGCGGTCGACTTCAGATCTGTAACTTCGTCCCCACGAACGCCACAAATACAACGGAGAGGTAGAGGGGTTGGACGCCCAACCAGTGGTCGCCTCAGATGCGGCGCCGGCAACTCCGCCTGCGAATGACAGCACGGGAGGAAGCGATCGATCGGTTTGAACCAGATGGAGGAGGAGGAAGCCATCGGCTTTGGACCAGACGGAGGAGGAGGAGGACGAGGCGCCGGCGGCAACGCAAACGGTGGGAAACCCTAGATGGAGGAGGAAAAGTGAGGTGGCCGGGCGATTTTTTCCGTTTTGTTTATGTAAATCCAAGTCAGTATATACGTGTCAGCCTGTGATTGGTTCAGGGAAAAAAAAAATGCACGCTAGCTTGCAAACCACCGAATATTTCCTCGGTGTCTAGGAAGAATATCCCCCCCTATCTATTTTCCTTTTGTCTTTTCTTTTCTTTTTTTTTGGGGGGGAGGGGGCGCACCTACCTACCGGAAGGTGGCCAAATTTGACTTGCCGACGCTCGCTCCCCTCCCCTCCCCCGTTGATCTATTAATGCCCCCCGAAGCGTTCGTTCCCTTTGCGTCTTCGCGTCGGGGGTAGTTGGTAGTTGGTTGGCCACTGTATATCTCTACGCCCCATTTCAATTCCTACCCTCCTCCTTCTCCTCCTCTCCCTGCAGCGTCTCCTCTTCAGAACCCCAGATCTTCGTTCCATTCCCCCATCTTCTTGTTCCTGGGTGTCGTTGGATCGGAGCATCACGATCCGGTCTTCAGTGCGTGCCGTCAGCCGAGACGAGAACGGGGCACATTCCTCAGGTTGGGGTGGTGGTCTCTCTTTCTTTCCCCTCTGTTCCTCCTTTTATTGCGGCCCGTCTCGCACTTTTCTAGTAATCTTAGGAAGAGGGAAATGGATGATTTCCTCAGGCTGGTTTTTTGTTTCGTTCTTTTGTCTTGTCGTGATCCGGTGTGATGATTTTGCCTGGACTGGAAATGCTTTTGTACCGCGAGTGGTTTTTCTGGGTCGGTCGAATTTGGTTGCGGTCGCGGTGAAAATTGGGGTTCTTGATCGATCGCTTAGTTTTACAAGATGGCTGCTTGGCCCAGGGGGGGATTGGTTGGGGTTTGGAATTTGCGATCTGGGTTTTTCCTGTATGAGGATCTGATCGGCTTTTGGACGGAGTTGATCCGGTGCTTGTGATTTTAAGGCGTGTAGATCTCCGTACCTGTGATTCAGCGTAACTTTTGATTTCTCCTCTGTTCTGCACGAATCTGGGGATCTTCAGATTCTTGTCCTCCAGAGAATTTTCGTAATTTGTTGTGTCTTCTACCTCTTTCTTTACTTCATTCAGCGTATTCTTTCTTTACTTCGTTTATTTCGAGGCCTTCCCGACGAGGATGGGTGCCTTTGCTCGTGATTGCTAAAGATGTCTAGATTTTTTTGGGGTTTAAATAAGAAGTTGATATTTTGAGAAGGCCCTACCAGGACAGCGGACAACAGTAGATCGGGTCACTGACACACGCACACACTCTAATTCTATTTTTCATTGTAGGACTCCTACAATTGCTTTGCCACATGAAATGTAAGAGATGCCTATTCGCTATTCTATTGGCATAGATTAAAATGCGCTTTTCTCTTCTCCACATTTAAAATTTGAAGCATTTGAACAATGGTTCTTATGGAGGATAACAATATTTGGTAGCACTCAAGGACTTATCATTGGTAGAGGCTAGTGATGCCGTTTTGTATTCACTTCCACCTACACGACAGACCAGCTGGGTACCTTGGTGATGTGGGAACCATAAAACGACCCTTGCATGTCCATTGTCATCGTGGCGACCAATGACTCTGCACGGTTTATTATATTTTCATCCAGTATAATCTGAGCAGAAAGCAAATTCGGCCGGTGAAATGAGTTGTTTACGAATTAGCTTTCTCTAGAGAGTTAACTGTAAATTTTCTTACGATATTTTGTATTGGGCAGGGAAAGAATGGCTGCCCCTTCACAACCCCCAAGAATCGGCCTTGCTGGCCTCGCTGTTATGGGCCAAAACCTAGCTCTCAACATTGCTGAGAAAGGCTTTCCAATCTCTGTCTACAATCGCACAACCTCAAAGGTTGATGAGACAGTTGAGAGAGCTAAAGTGGAAGGAGGCCTCCCTGTATATGGCTTCCATGATCCGCAAGCTTTTGTTAACTCAATTCAAAAACCTCGAGTCATCATTATGCTTGTTAAGGCTGGGGCACCTGTAGATCAAACCATTAAGACACTTTCTGCATACATGGAGGAGGGTGATTGCATAATCGATGGTGGCAATGAGTGGTATGAGAATACCGAGAGGAGAGAGAAGGCTATGGCAGAGTTGGGTTTGCTCTACCTTGGGATGGGAGTTTCTGGTGGTGAAGAGGGTGCTAGACATGGACCCTCTTTGATGCCCGGAGGATCTTTTAAGGCCTTCAAGTACATTGAAGATATTCTCCTTAAGGTGGCAGCTCAAGTTCCAGACAGTGGACCGTGTGTGACATATATCGGCAAAGGGGGATCCGGTAATTTCGTCAAGATGGTTCATAATGGTATTGAGTATGGTGATATGCAGCTCATCGCGGAGGCATATGATGTGCTGAGATCTGTCGGGAAGCTATCAAACGAGGAGCTGAAAGCTGTTTTCTCAGAATGGAACGAGGGGGAGCTTCAGAGCTTTTTGATCGAAATCACTGCTGATATATTTGGAATTAAGGATGATAAGGGTGAGGGATATTTGGTCGATAAGGTTTTGGACAAGACTGGCATGAAGGGAACAGGTAAATGGACAGTTCAGCAAGCTGCTGATTTGTCAGTCGCAGCTCCCACAATTGCGGCTTCGTTGGATTCAAGGTTCCTGAGTGGGTTAAAGGAGGAAAGGGTCAAAGCTGCCAGAGTATTCGAAGCGGGCGGTTTTGGTGATATTCTGGCGGACCAAGAAGTTGATAAGAAGAAATTGATTGACGATGTGAGGCAGGCTCTCTATGCATCGAAGATATGCAGTTACGCCCAGGGAATGAATTTGATACGTGCCAAGAGCATCGAGAAGGGATGGGACCTGACGTTGGGCGAGCTGGCTAGGATTTGGAAGGGGGGATGCATTATTCGAGCCATTTTCCTGGACAGGATTAAGAAGGCCTATGACAGGAACGCAGATCTTGCGAATCTTCTTGTGGATCCAGAGTTCGCTAAGGAGATCATCGATCGACAATCTGCTTGGCGCAGAGTGGTTAGCCTCGCTATCAACTCGGGTATCAGTGTCCCGGGTATGTCCTCCAGTCTTGCTTACTTCGACACTTACAGGAGGGCAAGAGTGCCGGCCAATCTTGTCCAGGCTCAACGTGATTACTTCGGTGCTCATACATATGAAAGGGTCGACATGGAGGGATCTTTCCATACAGAATGGTTCAAAATTGCTAAGCAATCAAAGATTTAAGCCTCCTTTCCGCTGGCGCTGAGCATGTCAGCGCTCTTATTTGTGCCAATAACTGCTTCCGAGGATGCTATTTTCTGGGCTCGTTTATTTTTCCATCGTCTTTTCACAGTAAATCCTCAATAAATAAGACATCAAGCATAGGATGTTTTGTTGCGTTACTGTTTTGGGATGTGCTTCTTCTATGATTGAGACATTAATCATTGGTGCCCATAATTTTGGGGTCTTCTACTGCTACTTTATCCTTTTAATCCCCTGCCATGCGTATCAAAGACATGTTTTATCTTTGAGTGTCTTGTTTTCCTCCGGAGAGATCATTGCAGAGATCTTGCTAAGGTATGCAATAGAATTCCCAGTGAGGATTCTGCGCCTCTCGTCGTCTTATCATCAAACAAACTCAGGAGCTAGTATTTGTTTCATCATCTTGGATCTAACCGATTGCTTTAGTGCCGAGGTAACCTTAAATTATGGACTATGGAGCAAGCTGTATCTGCAGAGTAGAAGGAACTTAAGCACAACAGCTACTGACATATGCTACAGTTGCTATTCAACCCACGCATGATCGAAATCTGGTTCTCTACATTATTCATATCCTAATAGGCAAATAATCAAATTCTGGGTTTGCTGGGTACGCATTTCAGGACCCATGTTAGGCCGATCCACCAGGTTCTCGACCCAACTGCGTCCTCAAATTTTTGGGTTCGGGGACACACATCGGGATCTCTGTAATCTAAGACTGCGTTTGGTCATTAGGATAAGAATTGAGATAGGATTGGATATAGTGGATAAAAACTTTCCCGTATAGTAATGTGAATATATCTAATCCTGTCAAGTATTTGGAACAAGGTAAGACCGGAAAATACATTAAAAAAAAATTCAATTACATTAAAAAGCAGAAAATTAGAAAAGTTAATTAAATTAAAAGACCGAAATAGAAAATTCTTAGATTCAGGGTTTGCTGGAGACGAGCAGCACCAACGTCTCCTCTGCACGGTGGTGCAAATATGAAGATTTGATACCGCAATCGTGAGAGAGGGATCTCCAGCGACCATTGGCATCGCCTCTATGTTGCGTCAGAGTGATCGAGTTCTGGCATCGCCTCTATGTTGCCTCGGAGTGATTGAGCTTGGGGTTGTTGACCATCCCGAAGAGCTTTAGCAAATCCTTCACCATCTTCGCCTCGCTTATAAATACTTAACAAGTGATCTACCAAAATCGCACCATCAAATGCGAAGAACAGAGTGTAGAACCGCAATGCTTGCTTAAGAGCTTCCTCTACTACGTTAAGTGTCCGCAATGCTATGCGATTTGCAAGTATGGTCAATCGGGCTTTTGCCATCAAATGATCGGCATCACATTTTGCTGCACTCCTTGAGGTGTGTCATCCTAAATTTGCCAGGATGCTTTGTCTTTGCATATAAGCAAATGGCCTATTCTACTTCAAACTTTTGAATTTGATAGGACAGATGTTTCTATAGGAGAAATTTATAGGTCCGTTTGGGAAGATTGTAAACAATGATTCTCATTTTGTTAAAAAAATTTCTTATAAATTTTCTTATCCATTTTGTTAATTTTTTTTATAAAATTTTCTTGTCCAATCGTCTTATCCCACTCCTCTCCCGGATTCTATATTTATCAAGTTCTGAGTACGTCCCCAAATATCATATAGGATATCAACTTATCGTTTTCATCAACTTATTATCGTTTTCATCAACTTATCACATTTGACGAGTCTTCATTTGTGTAATTTATGTATTTATTGGTATTCAAACGAGGTTGGTTTGGATTTTCTTATACCTAAATGAGTCGCATTGGAATTCATTTCCAAACTTAAATTGGATTTTATTTTTGGTTGAAAACTTAAATTGGATTGGGAACGAATTCTTTTCGCTTTTTAGGTTAACTAAGAAATTCCATGACCTAATAAAAATCGAAATTACGGAGCCCGAAAAAGGAACAAAATATTATATTGTGTTTGGAACGAAATCTTGATGCAACAAAATCTCAACAAAAATAAATCACACAACTTTTGTTTTTCATTATTAATGAAATTTTGAAAACGGAGGCCTCAGAGATCTTGGTGGTTATGGAGTCATCAGATGGGTCAAGAAACCCATCAAGAGTAGCAAATATCTTTCATCCTCACATCACCGGCCGCTCCATTTTCATCCGACCCAATTCAGTCAAAACCCCAAAAAAAAATTGATTTTTCACACTTTGCAAACTGATCAAGAACAACAACACAGACAAGAACAAGAACAAGACCATGAATGAGATCGAGTCGCACGATGTGTCAGAAGTAGCTGGTTGTTTGATATCATGTTCAACAAGAAATCATTGGGAATCCGTCTGATTCTTCTCATCATCCATCGTTCACGCAGCGACCGACCCAATTCAACCAAACACAAAAAAAAAAACTTGATTTTTCTCACTTCCAAACTGATCAAGAAACAACACAGACAAGAACAAGAACAAGAACAAGACCATGAAGGAGATCGAGCCGCACGATGTGTCAGAAGTAGCTGGTTGTTTGATATCATGTTTAACAGGAAAATCATTGGGAATCCGTCTGATTCTTCTCATCATCCATCATCGTGCAGCGACGGACCTCCTCGCGAAAAACGTTTCAATGGGTAAAAGAAAGAAACGCGCAGAAAACCAAACACCCAGTGCAGATCGATGGAAATGGGAAGGGGAATGTATCTGCCTTGTCACCGAAAAACCCAATCTTTGCAGAGGATGATCGGAGCTAAAGGCAGACGATGCATATAAGGAATGCGTATATGCATCTCATGGCGTCGCTGTCGCCTAACGATAGATTCGTTGACCCACCATGTAATCTGGGTCAAGGAATTGCAATATCAGGCTTTCGCCACAGATAGCGTCGATGATCGAATGGGAACGAACAAAGGGAAAAGGAAAGAGATGATTTTTTTGCAGGAGAGGGGACTGGGAAAGAGTGTCGAGAGCGAGAGCGCCAATGGCTGACGGCGGAGACGGAGATGGGGGAGGGATCGTCTGGAGGGGTCTTTATAATGTGGGGGCGCAACGAAGGAGGTCCGGCTAGGGTTTTTGGTCTTGGTGGGTGATTCGGACTGGATCCGATCGTGGGTCCGATCCGAAGCCTTGATGGGCTCGATGGTTCGGCCTTCGTCAGGTGGGCCTTGAGCAATTCTGGGTTTTCTCTCTGAATGTTCTTCTGTGATGACTCGAGGATGAAGGGGGTGTCATCCATCTCGATGGATCAGCAGGTGAATTCGGGCCAAAAGACGACCAAAACAAGTGAATGATCTGATGTTAAGCCTTTCTGCAACTGACTAGAAATAGAGAGAGAGCTCTAGTAGGATGTAGTAGTGTTTTGTGCCTTTTGCAATAATGACTGTTTGCAAAAGAAAAAAAAATTGGGATATGAATTTGTGTAAATTTATGAGTACTCACTCTATGAACAGCTATCTGATTGACTAGTGTTCGATTCTAGTGTGGAGATCCATTGTGTTCTCCATAACAGCAGTTTGAATGAGGCTTGTGCCAGTTGCTAGCGAAACTAGGCTGGATTGAACTTTGCTGTCCGTTGCCTTGTGCTGTCGATAGTCATGTTTTGCGGTTTTTTTTTTTTTTTCGCCCCCGATGAAGAGCATACCTTGGGATTAGACTAGGTGGGAGTGTCGATTTTGGGGCATTTACAATCTAACTAATACGCGCATGATCGACGATTATGATGCCGTTACTAGCTAGAAAGTGGCTCTGTCTTGTCAAACAAATAGTCGGTCTTAGTCAGTGCTGTTTGAACACTAATGCCAACTCTTGGCTGGAGTAGGATGATTGTTCATGGTTTCTCTTATGGGCATCGCTATGCGATTGTATGCCCTAGCTAGGGCTTACATATATTTAATCTTTGCTACGAGTTCCATGACATTTTGCAGGAGTATGTTTATATGCTGGTGACGATAATGTATTGGTTGAATTTGAGTTGAAAAAAGGTACATGCACCTTGTTCTTGTCGAATGAGTCCACCGGCCCATAAGTTTTGAGACTGGATGCATTCTTATGGGAATCCTGAGGCAAACGGTTATTCGACTAATAAGCACCCGAAGGAACTTGCTTCTGATCTAGGGAATCTTTTCCTTCCTTTTGAATCGTTAAAAATGTAAAAACTTTGTGAAGGAGCATGCAAATCCGTGTCTAGAAAGAGCTCATAGAACTGGTTTCTGATCTAGCTTTGGATTGCTACTATTTTCAGCTTTGATCATTATTCATCTTAACCATGAGAACTGATATTCTGGAAAATCAGTATAAAACTAGGAAGACTCTGCGTAGGTTTGGACATGAAGATGTGTTATGAATCTATGATGCAGTTCTCTCCTAGTTTTAAGCATAGGCGATGCAGCGATAACAACTTTTGTCAAAATACCTTGAAGGAATTCAATGAATCTCGCCAACATAAATGAATCTCGTGAACAACCAAAGAACTTACGGGATATCAGAAAAAAGTCTAAGGAGAATTATCGGGTCAACTGTGGGAAGACTTTTATTTGAAGATGTATTTGAAACAGATAGTTGTTTGCAGCAATGGCAATATTTTTTCAAAGTTTTTGAAAGCATCAAAAAAATATTGAGAAGAACCAACAAAATCGATACTTTTAGGAGAAAATACCAGTGAAGGAATTTTTCATTTTATTTTGCTATGATATAGTTTTGTTGTGCTAGGATTTTAGGCTGAGTAAATCTTAATTGTTTGCACGTACATATTCTTCAATATGTTTTATTCTTATCCGGCAGGGAAAGAACTTGTGAATCTTAATCACAGTTCGCTCATGGCCTATTCTCTGGTCAAGCATGGGATAGGAGCTATGGTGCAACGAGTACTGAATCAACATCTACTGATATTTTCACCTATTGAAGGGGACGACTGAAATAGAGAAACTAGTTCTAGGAACTTTGAAAGATTTTTCGCGCTCATGGATTGTTAGAGAGGGAGGCTTTTGTAACGTTTGTGTTTCTTTTTCCTCTTTTTGTTGCTTGGCGAGGTAATTGAGGACTGGGGTGCAAAACTTCCTAAGTCCTGGTGGCACTAATAAAGCTTCTGAAGCAGTCTCTTGCTTTCTTTGCTTGCAAATGTAATTTCTAGCTTTTCCCGTCCTTGCTATTTTCATGCATAATAGCAAAGAGTGCAGTGTGCTTTTTCTATGAACTTTAAGTACTCTTATATATACTGTTTTTAAGGTGTGGAGGTAGTTCCTAGTACAGGGAGGAGGAGAGGCTATGGTGGAGCTGGACTTATGGTGTGATGTGAATTTTGCAATATCGCTTTATTGGTGCTGTATTGCACTATGTCAAATTGATTTGTGGAAGCAGCCTGTCCCAGGAGCATATTGAGTCAGCATTGAAATCTGCACCCTTGAACACCAGTGGCTTTTACAGAGTGACCTAAACAAAGTGTTAGATGAAATTGGATTTACCTTTTTAGGCTGAAGTGGTAAATGTATTAGCAGTTGGTTGATGTTTTTACTTTCATGAGGCAGTATAATGATTGCCCAGAAATTTGAACTTCTGAAACAGCAGACTGTCATGCTTAATAGAACAGTCGTGTACAGAAAAACTTTGGTTGGAACTGTGTATATTAAATTCTTATAAGTTTCTTCTTAGAGTTAAGCTCTTGGAAATGGTGGAAATGGTAATTCATAACTGTTGTGGAGATTGATGCTTTATGAACTCTTAATAAATCCAATAAGTACCTTGTAATGTTAGAACAGGGTAGTATGCTTAAATTTCTTCTTTCACTAGCAAACTTGGGCTTTGTTCAGTCTCTATCTGGAGACATCAAGGTTGGAAATCTCAAAGTTATTACATTAATGCAGAATAAAGTGGGCCTAGTCAATCCATAATACAGTGGAAGAACCGCTCCTTAAAGCGCAAAGATAGATGCATTGTTGCGTTAAAAGCAGCAAAGGTCCATAAAGCTATAACATGCTATATAAGATGCAAAAGGGTCCATTGGCTCATTGACAGGTGAGATCATTATCACTTTTTTCCTGCTGATATTTAGTCTCTTCGGCTCATTTTCCACTGTTCTTCTCTGTTAAGGGAGTTTACAGCACTGATGCTATCAAGAGCCACCCTGCTCCGCAATCCAGTCTGGTAGTTTGCAAATGCTATTTTCATATTATTGCATAGGACTGAAATTGTTATCAATCCATGTTTATAGCTTCAAATACGGTGCCACCTTTTGGGAATTCACTATGCAAAACACATTTTGATTTATGGGTACCTCCCCTCTTCCATTATGACAGAGAGGATCTTTTGCTGATGTTTCTATGGTTATAACCCAAGATGAAGTACCTTTACAGGTGATGCTGAATATAAAGCATCTTGTGGTTGAGGATTTACTTCATATCTAGACAGTGGATGATTTTGAACCAAAAGTAGGCATTTTGATATGAAAAGTGCGCTGAGATGAGGAATTTTGTGGTCCATTTTGGCACTCTCTATTAAAGTTGTATGCGCTGTACTCGCTGCTGAGCCTGTAACTTGATATGGAACTTTATTTTCAAAATCTATTGAATGGAGAGAAATGCACCACCTGCACCGGACAAATGGAAACGCAGATATGGATTTTCTAAGGTCTTTTGAGGACCTGATCTTTAAAGAGGAAAAGTTCAGAAATGGATAATACTCAGAGCATACAAAAGGCATCAAGTGTTACAGCCGTGAAGTAGTAGCCTCCAAAAAGTTTTGTACTTTTACTTCCTTTTGAATCTAACATTATCTTTTTTTTTTGTTCTCAAATTTTTAATCGATGACAAGAAACAGCGCCACTCCTTTTTCGGCTTGACCTAAGTCCCTTAGAATCAGAATATACTGCTTTTGATGGGGCAGAATTCTCTTGGCACAAGCCGAAGAAAAGATTTTGCGTGAGCCTCAAGTTACGTAGATGATTTGAGTGTCCATATGATTTACCAGTATTTCCAGTGCCATAGGCTTCTATGATTTTTGGTAAGCATCCCACTTAGTAGAAAAACTATTCAATAGTCAGATGTCCTAGTCTGCATCCTCCAACTTCAAGGATATTTCTAATGAAATGATATCTTAGGCCTTTGCTGTATGTAGATTGTAGAACCGATACTAAGATTAACCTTTCAAGTCTAGTGTGACAAAGCTATACCCTAAGCTGCAGCCTTTGGACCTATAAGATATTCCTTCTCATTTCAGTTGATCAAGAAACAAGTAGACGCAGAAGAATGACTCCAGTAAAAGCACTACTGAAGCAGGATAATTTAAACATAGAAGTTTCATAACGACAAGCCATGATATGTAGAGGTATCCATTTGAGCCATTGCCCAGGGACGAACATTGTGCATCTGTACTTCATTAAAAGAGGCTCTCTTCTGGGGTATATTCTGTCTAATCTCTGTCATCTCTTTACAGAATTAATGGTGTATTCACCATTGCAGCTGGCGTGGAAAGCAGAGTGAAGATTCCTCATTTCATAAGGTGGAGCTTTTAGAGAAGTTTTAATTTGATGATTCTGATCTACTCAATCAGCAATAAATATCTGCCACTTGGTATGAGTATCACATGTTAAGAATCTTCCTCTTTCGGGCAGTGGGGTGTTCTGAACACTTGAGAGTTTTTTTTTTTTTTTTTTGGGGGGGTTGGGTCAGAAAAACACTTAAGAGTTGATGCAGTAAGAGTTGTGTGTGTTTCTCATTGTCGCTCCCTGGTTCAGGTGTTCTCAGAGAAGTCTTGGAAATGGCTTTTATTTAGTGAAAGGTCATTTATCCTTGTAGGGCTTAAGATTGTTAAATGGATTAACCAAATTCACATTCATTTCTGTGATATTCTTGTAGGGCTTAAGATCATCTCCTAGTACACGATGAAAATAGTTATTTGCCTTCGCCTGCAGGCTTATCTTTCAGCTCTTGCAGCATCATGTTGTCTCTTGGATGGCTATTCTACAAGTGCATATTTGACTGCTACTAGTGAGTTCACACTCTAGTGAGAGAATCCTTCTTTAAGGTACAAAAAGGATGCTGCAACGGAGACTTGAATAAAGCAGGAGAATACCATAAAGCTATTGCATAAACAAAAGGGTCTGTGGGGCTCAATACTTCAGTAGGCATGTGAGATATTTCTTACTCTTATTTCACATTTATTTCCTTTAGTCATCCTTTATGTGAGATACTATTTTCCATTCCAGTAATTTTAATCTACTTCAAAATCTTGCTCTTGCGATCTCTGGATGTGAATGTTGTTGAATTTTCTCGTTAAAAGACCACGGTTACAACTAATTGAAGAAACTTCAATTAGAGATCAACGAAAGCACTTGGATTTTTAGAAAAATATAAGTATATACAATATGGAGCTGCATAATATAGGCATTAAACCATTACAAGTGAATTAACAGAATCACCCAGCATTTATATCAATTATACGTAATAGATCAAGAAAGATACAGTATAAGCAAAAGATCTCCACTACTAGCTGCTACAACTCCAATCTGATAGTCTGATACTCATTTCACCCTGAATCTAGAATGATGGGACTATGCCATATGCATTTTCTGTCATTAGTGTTGCAGAGAACATCTGGTCGACTTCGATCTCAATGTCTGTTCTCTTGGCAAAACGTCCCTTGATCCGAGGCCTGGTTTCTGCATATGCCTTCCTTGAGGCATACCTAATTGTCTTCTCAAATTTCCTTGTCTTCTTCTTTTCTCTGTACCTCAAGACCCTAGCCTCCCTGTCCGTTGGTGAAAGTTGGGATGGCATCTGAATAGGAGGTCCCGAGAAAAGGTCAATTGTTCCTTTTGGAGGCCTTGGATGGGAGATTGAGATGTCAGTTTGAGTTGATTCTGGTACGATGCCCACATCCATGGATGAAATGCAAACCTGGTAGCATTCTCACAGAAATCACCATACAGTAATATGCAGAATAACTTAAGGAGGGGATCATGTAAACTGAACGATGATACTTTGTTAAACTTGAAAAGATGAATTCTATATGAACAAAAGGATGGAAAAGCATGACTTAAAATTGTTGCATCATGTCTGTTGCTAAGATTTTTCCTTTTACTCATGAATTAGTTGAGAAATTTCTGAGTGATTTTTCCCTCTTATTGAACATATACACATGCTTCAATGGGTGAAAATGTCTCAAAGAATTCACTGCTCATAAAAGGATATTACGTGTATCAAGGATATTAGTGCCTCTTAAGTACTTGTGATTCCTGCGCATGCATGTCTAATGTGTATGCATACTTTTGTGTGTGTCTGTAGTAGAAGGTGAAGATTCTGTGGATTATAGCTTCGCTCTTTTCTCTTTACAAAGGCAATAAAATGAGAACTTTAGTGCTCTTTTCTCTTTACAAAGGGAATAAAAAGAACACTTTTAGCCTTACCAAAAAAAAAAAAAAAAAAGAACACTTTTAGTGCTCTTTTGCTCTTTTCTCTTTACAAAGGCAATAAAAAACAGAACTTTAGTGCTCTTTTCTCTTTACAAAGGCAAAAAAATATCTTTTTAGTTGAATACCACTTGAAAGGCGATATCTCTCTATTAAATGAGGATCCAAGGATTGAATTGCTAAGAATCCAATAATTAACATAAGGATAAGGGGATTGAAGTGCCGTGTGAAGCTCCTAGGACCAAGTAATGGATGAGATGATTCATGATGCTTATTTCTGTGCATTTGATATAAATTAGCAGGAAAAGGCTTACAGCGTGGCTAAGCGATCCGGTGTAGCTGTTGGCAGCTTTGGAGGGTTCATAGTCCAAATTCAACTGAAAATTGTGTTGTTGACAGTCATTATGCTGAATGGGCACAACACTGTCACCTCCATAATTCTTCCTAGAAACACCATAATGTTGCTGCTGCTGCTGATGATGATGATGTTGGTTATACTGATCAACGTACTGATTCTCAGCGCCAGAATTGTACTCCACAAGGTCCAGGTAGTCATCAACCTCACCACCAAACATGAATCCATTAGTATGGTTATTGTTGCTCTTGACCGGATTTGTCAGCAACCATGAAGCTGCTTCATCGTCATCCTCCTCATCAATGGCTTCTTCATCCTCCGGGGCTAAAAAGCCTTCCTCAGTATCCGCTGCGTGGCCCATCACATGCCCACCAACGTTGCCAGCAGGGGGGCCGTGAAGGCACCCGGAGATCGGCAAGATGGGGACACGATGATGGCGGCGCGCGAGCGGGTTGGCTGAGTGTATGTCTGTATCGCAGGCGGTGCAGAGTGATGCTGCATCGGCCTTACAGAGGAAGGCGGCTGGGGCACGCTCGCATGCTTCGCACACCCACACGCGCTCATGGCGCGAGGCCACGCGGTTGGCTGCGTGAATACGAGCATCGCAGCTGGAGCATAGGTAAGCCAAGTCAGCCCGGCAGTACACGGTGCATGCTGCCGAGCGGCAAGTGTCACACACACGTGCCCAGCTATTACTGCTGCTACCGCCACTGCCGCCACCGCCGCCACCTCCACCTGGGCCTTCCTTCAACATATTGCTCAATGAACTCTGAAATTGGGGAGTGTATGAACTGAATGCAGTTGCAGTGGGAGGGAGGGTGGGGGTTAAGTGAAGGCCAGATGAAGAGAATCCAAGCAGTGCCACTTGGCGAGGAGTTAGTGGCCGCAAAAAGTCTTCACGTTATTTTGTGGCTGGCTGTTGTTCTTGGTGGGTCCAGGTCGAGACAAGAGGTTCTTGTTTGGGGGCCCATTTTTGCTGTTTTGGCTTTTCTCTCTAAGGTTGCGCATGACAACGATTCTGTGCCCGGGAACAGATTCTGCTCAGAAATGATTCTTTTTTATTCTGTGCCCGGAATTGATTCTGAGCATTTTAAGGCGTTTGTTAACGGCCCAAAATTCCATCCCTGGAATAGAAAAAGAATAGAAATGCGTTTGGTAACGCAACAAAATTTCTTTTTATTAATAATATTTTAAAATATTTTAATATTTCTTTCTTTTTTTTCTTTTCTTTTTTTCTTTTCCTCCTTCTTGGCCATAGCCTGCTCGCCGGACATGACCAGGTAAAATATTTTTTTTATTAAAATATATTTTTTTTAAAATATATATTTTTATTTTTTTTTGCCATGGCCTGATTGCCGGCCATGGCCGGTAAAATATTTTTTTTTAATAATATTTTTTATTAAAATATTTTATTAAAAATATACATTTTTATTTTTTGGGCCATGGCCTGGTCGCCGGCCATGGCCTGTAAAATATTTTTTTATTAATAATATTTTTTATTAAAATTATATATTTTTATTTTTTTGGCCATGGCCTGGTCGCCGGCCATGGCTGGTAAAATATTTTTTTTATTAAAATATTTTTATTAAAAATATATTTTTTTCTTTTTTTTAGCCATGCCCTGTAAAATAATTTTTTTTATTAAAAATATACATTTTTATTTTTTTTTGCCATGGCCTAGTCGCTAGCCATGGCCGGTAAAATATTTTTTTTATTAATAATATTTTTATTAAAAATATATATTTTTTATTTTTTTGCCATGGCCTGGTCACCGGCCATGGCAGGTAAAATATTTTTTTTATTAATAATATTTTTTATTAAAAATATTTTTTTTTCTTTTTTATGGCCATGGCCTGGTCGCCGGCTATGGCCGGTAAAATATTTTTTATTAAAATATTTTATTCTCGTCAGATCCGGCGAGGGTGGTCCTCGGGCCGGACATTATAAGCTAAATTAAAAACCAAGAAAAGGAAGAAGAAAAAAAAATTGATTCTCAAAATTGTTCCCAGAATCAAGAAGCTACTTTTTTTTTATTCTTGATTCTGCTCCAAAACTGATTCTGGGAATAATTTTTGACAAAATTGTGCCCAGAATCAAAAAATTAAACAAACGCATTTCTGTTCCCAAACTGATTCTGGGAACAAAAGAACAGAATCAAACACTGTTTGGCAAGTTGCCATGCGCAGCCTAAATCCCATCTATGTTGGAGGACTGTTTGGCTTCACTGTCAGAGTCACATTACGGACTGTCTTCACTGTGGGGGAGCTGCTTGACTCAGCATAGTTTTTCCTAGGCTTAGATTCTGCGTGTGCATGTGGCAGTGACGGCAGCACGCTAACTACTGGTATAGTTCTGTAGGGTTAAGTGTGAGTCCACGTTGCCATTTGTCAGGATCTAAGAGGCTTTTTGTTGCCACATTGGCAAACACATCAGCTGTGAGGTATGCTCTTCTTTACTTCCGGGCTTCTTTGTTTTCCTCTTTCCTATCTAGTCTTCTCTTCTCTCTGCAGTTTAGAGTCCCTTCTTGTGATGAATTGTACTGCAACTTTGGCACCATGTAGAAGTCATTGGCCGTAAAATTTTAGCATCTGTGGCTTAGTTAGCTTTTTTTACGGCCTCCGGTGGTTGAGCAACACAGTATACGTCCGATTAGTTTTCTGTGAACCCTCCCATTTCTAATCAAGACAGGACAAAAGTCAAGTTTGAACTATATATTAGTAGATTTAAGAAAGCGCCCTGGCTACTACTAATTGATTCGGTTAAATCAATCTAGGAGGTTGGGAACCTCTAACTCAAGTATTACCTTCAACATGTGTAAATATTATTAATTACCTAGCTCTTTTTTTGATCTTAGGTGTTTGCCAAAATGTATTAATTACAATGGAGTTCTTGCCTTAATTATGAACAATACCTCGACATCTTGTAGCTAATCTTTCTTTTGGCCATGACATACTACTGTACCTACTCTCTCTCTCTCTGTCTCTGTGCGACAATTTTTGGAGATTAGATTGCTGATAAAAATAAGCATCATGTGTGCTTGCCCTGGAGTCTGGTAAATGCATGATTGGCAGATGAATAACCTCAGCTTTTTATTCAAGGTTCTTGCCAATTGGCATACACTATTCTAGATCCAGATTAAAGGAATGGCAAGCAGGTATTATTGGCATAACATCTATGTTTGAATTCGAAAAAGCGTAGCCATCCTAAGAAGAAACTTTATATGCTTCCCTTAGAAGAGTTATTCAGTGTTAGCAAATCCTAGATTACTACTTCTCAAGTGGGCCAGAGATAATGAGAACACAACAGCAATAGGAGTGAAGCTGACCCATATCATTCTCGTGGAGCTTATGTTTCTTAATTTTTTCCTTTCAAGGTTCGATGCAGAACGTAACTTTTACTGTTCATTGAAATGCGACCCACTTAGCTCAGAAAAGTGAGCCTAAAACAGTAATCTTAAGTTTTGGTGGCATTTCCTTGTCACTCTAGGGGGTGCTGACATGGAACCAGTCGTGGCCACCATGACAGAAAGAAAAGCTGAGTTGGAGGGAGATCCAAGTTGGGGGTTGCAATTCCATCCCCCCAATAGGAAAGTGCCTAGAGGGAAGAGGAAAAAGATGAGGATGAACCACCACCACAAGTTTGACTACACTAAGGAACAAGGAGACATGATCTCTCCTGCTATGTGGCCCCTGGTCTTTTGAAAGGGCCATATTGATGATGTGCCATGGTGTTTTAGGCCTAACCAAGAGACTACTCCCTCTCTCACCTCGCAATAATCACAGTGGCTTTTGTCAAAGTCGATGATTCCCACCATGAGTCATTATTGAATGAAGCACTGCATGGGGTCCAAGAAAAACAAGGGTTTCTTTCAACCCATGTCATTTTCTTGCCTCGCTTGCCCACTAAATCACATTGATTGCTCCTGCGAGATGCCACCATGGTTGATGCAGAAGTTAAGACGAGCATTTTTCTCCTGTCCTTTTATCTTGTAGCGAATGAGGAGCCATTTTTCCGGATAAACATGTAGTGGCTACCATTTCACAGAGAAAACCAGCAGACTCTCACTGAGGATTTATCTGCTTTTGTTTCTAGTCAGTCATATGTTGTTTTCCACATATATGAGTTAGGGAAAGTGAATGTGCTGCTAATGTGACGAGAGAATAAACATAGATGCTCAGTGCAGTCCTTTTGTTTCTGGCCTAAGATTATAAAGAACCACAATTTTTTAACATAAAATATAGAACTCTATGATAAAAGGTGATCCCGACAGCTAGCGCTTCGGACATCAAGAACGCAGCCAAAGGCAAGATCGACCCTTGATTGTCCTTGAATTCTCTCGTTCAATTTTGTCAGGTCTCAGTCTTACTTGGCCAAGTTTTGGCCATTGATGTGTAAGTCGATGAGTTTAGGCTCTAATGACGATTTGCCTGTATGTAAAGACAGGCACGGGACCAGCTGACTATTTTGTCACCACTGGTATGACAAACCCTTTAATAAAACAGATAAATCTCAAAGTCTAAAAGAATGTCAATTACATCAATCAGAGACAACTTCAAGATCCTTTACTTTTTAGGCTCGTGGACAACCCTTAAAAGAAAATCTAAACACCAAATAGCGGAAGAAAAATTTTCCACATGCGGCTTTGATCTCCTTTTAAAGTGTAGAGGCTATCTTTTCAAATTATAAGTTCGTCCATAATACAAGAATACATTGATTGTCATCATGGCTGCGGAGGCAATTGTGGTTGAAATAATTCTATGGGCTTGCTGGCTCAAAATGGACAAAGTAAAAGACTGAAACCACTCACAGTTTATCTCCAGAAGATGTGAATAAACTCAGATAAAACCTTCATTGATTTAGAATATTATGAGGTGGAATCCCCGTGAACAGAGTGTTTCCACTTTCAATGAATATCAAAGAAGATAAAAACGAAAAACACAAACCCCTCCCTAATTAAGCCCCTGAACAAGGACTAAGGAGCATGTTAAGATACACATGCTCTGGAACAGGACAAGACACAAATTCCTTGGAAGTATGCCAAATTCTTATTCTAAGTGCAAAATTGGGAAAAAAAACAGGAAAAAAAAATCCATTTTCCTTTTTAGCTTCATTTGTTCATGCCAGTTGCATTCTTGACTGCATCTGCAGCATCCTGTGCCTTAGCCATCATCTGCTGTCCAGCCTGCAGATGTTAAGGAGAGTCCAGGAAATTACCCTTCAAATAAGGACTAAATCAACTATGTGTAATATGTGTGTAGAGTAACCGCATCATTAAGGCGTGCTCTCTTATGCGTTGAGGAATCGGTGAATCGAGCATTGCAACGATAGTCCTAATTTGGCAAAAAAAAAAAGTTACCTGTTGCACTGTGTCCTTAGCTGATTGAGCAGCGTTAGCGACTGAGTCCATCATTTGGTTTCCCTTTTCCTGATTTAAAGATAGACATAATCTTAGCATCGCGGTAAGACTGATCAAAGAGGACAATCAATCCGCTGGCAAACTCTTCAGTCGTATGGTTCCCACTGTATGTGCATCATGCACGTAGGGAAAATTCATTGAGCGTCAGCACTGTTTTGTTATAGACAGCACAATCAACATGCATAATCAAAATTTATCTTCAAGATGCGATCTATCTAGCCTGAATGATAATAATCGACTTGTCATGTTGATCAATGGAAACTAGAATGGCCTAATCCTTATGCTTAATGCCTTAATCACATAAATAATTACCATGCTCAAAAAAGAAATGGTATTACTGACGTGATTAAAACTATAAAGGACAGAGTGATTAAGCAAAAAAGGCCAGACCTGAGCTTGGCCCTTGGTCGCACCAGCTTGGAAGCTCATGTTGTGAGAATTGTCTGCCATTGTTTCGGATGATTTACTGAGACTCAAAACGACAAATGTTACGAACACTGATGATTAGATAGACACCAAGTTTGTGAATCATTGTAATTAGCTTGAACATTATATAGCTCTTGGATCTAGTCTCAAATCTTGACACGTGTAAATGGCAGTGCCAGGTCAAAGAGCCGAGAGCTCGCACCTGGGAGCGCCACTTGTCGCCTCATCCTTGCGACAAGGAAACATGTTTGCCTTTTGACTTGGGCCTGTTATGGAATCAGAAACTTATGCTTTGGAAGGACAAAATTCAGTTAAGACTGGGCACTTGTTCAGCTCCTATCAATACAAATCGCTCTGCTCTATTTGCATTTCACGATTAATGAAAGCTTTTCATTCCAGAATCTCTACCAGATAGAAAACATGAGCCACGAAAATTTCAACATCAAACTTTTTCCAGAAAAATACTGTGAAACGTGTCTATATAATCGTAAGATCTGTTAACGTCACAGATAGATATAACAAAATGGAAAAACTCGTAATTTAACTAGTGAAGATTATTGACATGCAACTGTCCCTGCGAAGTGACTGCATATTCTATAGAGGTACGATGTTTCATGAGTTAAAAAGCATCCGCAATCTAGGAGGATTACTCGGTTCCCTGATTTGGTTTTATGAATAATGAACATAGTCCAAATCTCAAGAGGCAGGTTTAAATGGCATGCGTGAATGGAAACCATCAAGTGCCTTCTTGTCAGCAACATGAAGTTATCACCATGTTTTACTGGTTTTTGCTGGTTCGGCGTGGACATTGTCCCTTTTTGCCGAGGACTTGAATATGTTTGTGCATTCATTCTTGTATGTGTGGGTTTGGGGTTTGTCCTGAGCTGAGTGAAGAATTATCATCACTCTCTATCCACCTAAGCTTGAGCATTTCAGTTTTTTATTTCAGTTTGTCCGGCGGATTTCGGTTAGCCCCACTTGTATTATTCTTGCTCCACAGGAAAGAAAAGAAAGACAAGTGTGAGGAAGTTGTGTCGGATTTCTACCGAGTTCAGAGAACAGAAACGCAAAGGTATGGTATGATAAATTGCTCTCGTAGCTTAGTTCCATTCTAGGGCAAGAGCCAAACTTGTCGTCGAGGAACTTTGTAAATTTTACATTGTATCAGCTTTATCCTCCTCCCTCATTTGCTTCTTTTTGTTGCATTTTAGTGTCTATCTAAGCTCACTAATGAATCTCAAGTGGCACATGCTAGAGAAGTCCTTGAGGTTGATCAAGATGCTTTCAGAAAATCAGGAGAAACTTCAGCAGCTGAAGTGGAATGATATCATTGTACTTATCTTTCAGTTGCATGTACCATACACTTATACAAGCATTAGGATAAGAAAGTGACCTTGCTAATTCTATGCAAACTCAAAGACCGGCTTGTGACCAAAAGGTTTAGGACCCCGGATCGAGAAACGAAGGAAAGATGGCACGTTCACGCATGTCAGCACCTTTCAAGTGTTGAAGGCACGACTAGATCGTTCAGTCCTCTGCGGGGTTCATTAGCAAAGCCCAAATCTGCCATTGCCAAACTTGAGGAAAGACAAAGGAAGATGCGGAGTGACTGGCGCGCCTCTGGACATTTCCCAGATAGAACACAGCCAAATTCAGTTTCACGAGGTCAGGATTCGCTATTCACCTTGCAAGTACCTAACACAGCAAAAGTGGCTCAGGCCATGAATCACCTATCCCACTCCAATGCCATAAAGGAGAGATCAAAGATATTAACAATATTGATAGTAACAAGTCTGCACTGAAGAGAGTTGTGATTGGTTAGTTTGATATCAAAAACAATTTGTGCTTTAATTTTTTATTGGGTTGGTAATCTTCATGCCACATAACAAAAATCAACATGTATAAAAATCTATCTATCTATACTAACATAATCAGCAAAGCAAGAAAAAATATCAAGGCTGCGTTTGATTTGCTTTTGGGAAAATGCAAAATACTTTAGCCTAAAGGGTTTTTATGAAAGGCAAATTCTATTTGATAAACTGTAATTGAAAAAGACTTTGGTAAAATAATTTTGAGAGAAATGCCGTTTGGTGAAACACTTTTGAAAAGTCCTTTGAGGTGATCAATTTAAACTTTTTAATTTTTAATTTGTTTAAAATTGGAAAAAATAAAGTCTGCAACTTTTACAATTTAAATGTTGGCAACAATGTAAAAGAAATGTATTAACAAATTAATTTGTAAATAAAAAAATAAAATTTCGTTTTTTGCTTAAAAAATCACATGGAAAACAATCACATCTTAGTTAAAAAGATAGTAATTTCATTATAATAAACGTGGTAAGATATGCCTCGAGAAAAAGATTCATTATCCTTAAAAATTACAAGCATTCTTAAATATTTCCTAAACTTAAGGCTATTTGATCATGTAAACGTGTCATGTCAAGAGTTGCATCATCATTTGAAGCACTACTGTAACTACCTAGTCCGACGTGGAGTGGTCGCCGGGCTTAGAGGGCTTGGACAAGAAGCAGCTCTTAGCAAACTTCTAAGCTGGCGAAGGGGGCAAGAATGAACCAAAATGTACATCGAATAAGGAAGAGCGATTATGGAATATATATATATATATGTGTGTGTGTGTGTGTGTGTGTGTAAAAATTAGAATTAACTCACAGAGGCTCTTTTTGACATAATAACAATGCTTAGCTTTGGAACTGCAAGGTTAAGCGTGCTCTGGTGGAAACACTCCCATGACCACTATTACAATTTTCACTTGCTTTTTACTTATTTTTAAATACTCCAAAGGCTCGGTCAATTTTTAATTTTAGTGAGGAATGGGCATAGTTGAACACTTTTGTATAACTTGCAGGTGCAAGACCTCATTGAAACTCAAGCAAATGATATCTAACTTCTTTCTATGATCCCAAATAACCAGTGGGATTCGGATATCTAGCATCTACTATTTACCTACACAAAAACAATGTAAATTTAATCAACATATACTATATACATACATATTAATGTATAAAAATCATTAATTAACAAACCTATCGGAGAATGAGGACATTGTAAATCATATCTTCCGATGACTTGACAGAAGATACAAGTATCAAGAGCTGTTCCCTCCCAACCAGCCCAAATATAAGTAAATTCCATTTTAAAGTTGCACACAACCAATACATTTTGAGTTGGCATTTCTTTTCGACCAATAAATGAATTTGATCGTGCATAGGTACCACCGCTAGGATATGTGTATCATCTATAGCTCCAATGAAATCCCTAAACAAGAACACAAATATTACTTGATTTAAATTTAGTTTTTCCTTTCTAGTGTATAATCATAACTTACCTTAAAATATGAATCAAACCTTCAATTATCACTAAACTTGTTTGGGACTTCCCTAAATTGTCGATCGTATGGTTTGATCAAATTTGCTCCCATTTCACATACTTTATCCAAAACTAAGCTAAATAACTTGCATATGGTTTCCCTAGAGTGCTGAAAGCACTAATGCGCTAACCCGTTTCCTATATCATGTCCAAAAATATGAAGAAACAGTCTAAGTATTTCTGCAACATCAATATTCCTAGATCCTTGGAGACCATATCATGCTTTAAATTATTAAATACGGTTCTATTCATTTTTAAACGGTTAATAATATCTTATCGGATTAGCATCAATACCTGTTAACTCTCTTCATCATGCACTTCCTGCATATGATAATGTGATGCAAGGTTCTTTATGAATGTAATTTGCTTAATAAACAATTGAAGCATGGACGGCTGCACAGAGTTGTCAATATTCCTTTTCCTCTGTTTCATGGTTTTTTCTTTTAGGATAATCATCTAAAATTAGTTAAACTAACAATAGATAGAGTTAAGGTAAGAGATGTAACAAATTATCTAGGTCATTCATCGATAGAATAATTATCAACCATCATATATATGCAAACTCCACCCAATAAGGAGAGCACCAATTAAAAACCGGTCTCACAATTGAACACAAATAGAAAGAGTTCACAGTTAGAGCAAACACAGCCCTAGACATGTAGAATCTTTTTCATCGAACCAACTCACGCCATGCCTTGGACTGTTTCATAAAAACATCCCATCAACTCTTCAAATCATCTCCACCTCTTATTGTCTTTTTTCTTATTATTAGAAAGGAAAGCTTGAAAAGTATAATTACGTAGATAATTGGGTTTTTTCACTTACAAATAACTTATGTTAAAGTAATATTAAGGTTTCGTTTATTTCGCATAAAACATTTTTCCTCATTTTTCGGCGTTTGGATCGTTTAGGAAAATGAGTCAACGGAAAATCTATACTTAAATTTAAAAAAATAATTTCATCTTTGAAAAAACAGAAATCATTTTCCATAATACAACTATATATTGGCGTCTGGACCAGAAACTCAGCGATTGGGCAAGGCACGAGAACCCCAACACTTGTTCCTGAGCCCTTAACAGCGGTGCCAGGTTTGTTAGGATCCATTGAGGCCTAGCTTGGGTTCACAAAAATTGGGCTTAGGTCACCAGCGTCCGTGGTCTAGCCTCCGACTCTGATATCGTTACTCGACTCCCCAACGCCCCAACTCAAGTTCACAGAGGCTAGGCCCAAGACCCCGGTGCTTGTGCTCGGATCACTAACACCTAAGCTAGGGTCCATTGAATTATAGCTCACATCATTAATTGACATATTTTTTATATTTGAATTATAACTTACATGTCATATCATTAATTGATTTAAAAAAACGTAGGGAAAATTGTTCAAAAAAGTACTAAATCTATTCTACGGTGGTTAATTCAATTATAAATCTAAACCTATTGACAATTTATCAATTTAGTCCTTTCACCTAATTTTTGTCAAAAATCGCTAACATGGACGTTGACCGTCCTACATGACATGGTTGGCGCTGACATAGATAATTTTTACAAATTTTAATTAATTTTTATGGATTTTTTTTATTTCTTTTCTTTTCTTTTCCCCTTGCCGGCCTTATGGAAAGAAAGAAAAAAAAAGAAAGGAAAAAAATTAAAAAGTCAATAAAAAATTTAATTTTTTTCCAAAATGGTCAATGTTAGCACTAAACATGTATTGTAGGACGGCTAGCGTTCACGTTAGCGATTTTCGGGCCAAAATAGATCAGAAAAACTAAATTGGCAAATCGTCAAAAAGTTTATGACTAAATTGGCATAATTTGAAAGGTATAGGATCGAATTTGCTGCCGTTTAATACTTTTTGAACAAATTTCTCTAAAAACGTTTGAAATGAATTGAAAATTGAAATACTCTCGTTCTTGACATACGTTTCAAGCATTTGAAATTTTTCTCATCCCAAAAAATAAGTACTTTTCCTTAAATTTAGTAATTGTACAAGAGACGAAAATTTTATTTGAAAATCATGTAAGTACAAGTATACGGCGTTTCTTATTTTAACACGCCGGTGCTTGCACGCCCTATTCCATTTCGTTAGGGATAGTTTTAGTTCCCTCACCCCAGCGAATACTCTCGTGTTTTATGTCACAGAGTTCAGACGAATCAGTTTAAGAACATATGTAGTCCAGTAAACGGATACGTACCTAGTCTCTAGACATTGTATTGTAATTTGGGATAAAATTATGAGAACAATCTCGCCCGATTTTTGTTTTTTTTGTTTTTTCCTTTTTTCCTCGTTTTTGTATTGTCGGACAAATTAATTAACCGACTGGGACTAGGGAAAGCAAAACGGGCTCTTAAGGTTGTCCCTTCCTCTGCCCACCCCGCTTCCTGCCTCCTCCACGCTGCTCTCCTGTCCGCAACCGCCACCGCCGGCGTCGCGCCTCAAGGTCCGCTTTCAACCGCCGCCGCCGCCGCACTCCTCCTCTCGACAGCCGCACACGCCGCCGGTCGCTCACCCCCGCGCGTCCTCTGCCGCTGCGCCCTTAGCGGCCGCTTGCGCCTCAGGTTCGCTCCTCTCTCTCTCTCTCAGCTGTAAAGTTCGTGGCTTGAAAGTATTGAACACGGGATCATCTGTTGTATCCTTCATTGCTTGCCTGTTCTTTGACGACCACCTTTCTTGCTGAGCATAAGAACCGAACTTTAACTGAGCTCAAGAAGCAGATTGCTTTGTGGGTGGTTCCCTCCCTTGAACGTTCATTGTGGAGTGCTCTTAACATGATGATGGTAATCATGCGGATGCCTTTTTTCTATTCCCATTTCAAGCAGGAAAAATTTGCCCCTCGGTCAAAGGCGAAGGCATGTTCTTGCTGAGACCCTGTTGCCAATTTGCAGTGTGGGCGAATTACATTAAATTCATTCATTCTTCAGATTATTTGAACGAAGACAACGTCGTACCATATTCGTGCGTGCTAGTTTTAGTTGAAGTACGTAGTTTGTGTATGAGGACGCTCCTGTGGCAATGCTTTTGAGGTCCTCGTTTTGTTATTGATCGGTGATTTGCCCGGAAACAGCCGGTTCTCTAGTCGCATATCTTAGGACTCCTCCACCACCTCATCAAACCAAGCTTTCTTGTAGTTCAGTCACATATTCTCTGTCCTTTGTCCATTTAGAGCCATGCTTGGTTCATCTGGTCAAAATGCCTTGGTTTTTAAGCATGTGCATGCCATCTCCCAACATGTTGATGTCCACGGGATGTTAAACTGTTGCTACAAGCAGTATATTACACATATAATTGAGTGTTGATAGCATTTGTCTGATGGACTCAATGTTTTTGGTTTTTGATGTTTATAGAGCAATGTCAGATCAAGTGGAAGTAGGAAGCATATTGAAAAAGCAAGGACAGAAGAAAGGTAAAGATTTTCATTCATGGCAGGTCAAATGGTTTAGGAGTTAGCTTGATTATTTTGTCGTTTTTCTCCTTGCCTTTGCTTTCCCACATACTAGGTTGGTTAAGGTGGTAAAAGAATGGAAAAATTGGGATTGCCTGGGAATAAGGGAAAAGATAGAGAAAAAGGATCTACTGGGCAAACAGTCAATGGGGTTGATAGGAGGCTGAGGATGGTATTGGTGAACCAAGTGTTGCTTCAATAGTTTGCATTTGGAATAAATTCATCAGACTTCAGTTTGATTTCCTTCTTCATTAGCCTAGAATTTCTTTTTGCTGAGCATATGGTATTTCTTTGCTATAGTTGTGTTTCTGAAATGGAAAGTCTAGGGGGTTAGAATGGGAGAGCTCTAATGAAGGGTACACCTTTCATGATGCTTTCAGCTATTATTTCCATTGCACTTGGCTACCTGGCATTTACTTTTCTCTCGAGTTCGACCATGCCTCTTTTTGTGAGTATCTTATTGTGCTAAATGATCGTTATGATTATACTCAGTTGTAACTAGAGTGGCATATTGAAATACTTTTATGAAATAACTGAGTAGCATATTGAAATGAATAATGCTACTAGCATTGCAAGTACATGCTTTCTGTGGAGGCGAACATTGGCCATTGACCTTATTTGCTACTAGTTTTCAATATATGTTGCATTTTCCACAATGTAGGTAGGTCAAAGGGATCTATCAGGAAAAAAAGGAAGGATGGCAATTCAAGGGATAAAGGAAACCAAATACTGGAAACGAATGGTGGACCTGACAGAATTGAGGTTCATCATACTTCTATGGTGGATGAACATTCTGAAGGAAGTACGTACCTTATGGTAGCCAATACTGGCCAATATTAATTTTTTATGTATCATCAAGAAGTTCCCAAGACGGGATTCTGGTGTTATATAGTTTGTCATTGGCAATAACTGACTGATATTGTTTGCTTGTTGATAATTGCAATGGAAATTGACCGGTAACAGAAGTTGTAAAAGTTGGAATTTTTAGTTAAATTGCAGTGTCTTTGAGGATTAAATGGTGGATCACATCATAGATTTATGATCTTGCTTTCCTGCTAAATGCTAAATTAAGCTAGAAAACTGGGATTATAGCATAATCTGATTAGGATGAAAAATCATTTTCTGGTTCTGCGATATGACTACCCTCACTTGTGCATGCTTTTTGACACATTTACGCGACACTTTCGACTGAATATATGACCAGTGGGTTGGGAAAATAAAATAAAGGTGACTGTATTGTGCTTGCGATTAATACACGTGATCATGAAGCATGGATCCATCCTGAAAGCCACCTATATGCGACAGGACCAAATGAAGCAATGCTGAACACCTGAAATTGAGACTAACATCCATGAAAGTTGAAGAACCAGAGTAATGGAGGCACTTAGTGCATGCTTTACCTGGAAAATATTTGCACAATATAATGCAAAACAAGATGTTGAGAGTAAATTAAGTTATTGCAGGTGTTTGTTGCGTCAAATCTGTGGTTATTCTTGAGGAGGATAATGGTGCAAATTCTGATATAACAGGTCTTCTTGACATAATGTCTTCATCTGTGGATGGTAGTCTCTATGATGGATTTCTTATCAATCTTGCTTAAAGGGCAGGGGTCAACACTGAGATTTTGACGTTAGGAAAATGTAGTTTAGTTTATCATTAATTTGATCGAGAAAGTGATACTCCTGGGCTTGCTGAATGAGAGGACACGAGACTCAGCCAAAGTCTAATGATCTGACTGGTCCTAGAATTTGCGGGTGCTCCTCTGGAAAGAATTCAATCACGTATTTCCCCCATATAAGCAAAAAATAGGCATTGAGAGCATAGTGAGGTAGCGTAGGATGTACTGTGGTTATTCTTTATGATACTGTAAACTCTGATTGTTGAGTTGTGTTTGAGGATCTTCCTCACAGCTAGCTCTATCTTTAGGTTATAGTAATTTTTTTTATGCAAAAAGAATCTTCCTTATGGTCATTGTTTTCTCTAATTAATTTGATCTAGAAAGTGATTAAGCCATTGGGATGGGTTTGAGGCTATGAATATATTTATGTGGAAGGGGGTAAAAGACTATTGGAAATCTAATGATCTGACTGGTCCCACAATTTGTCTCCTATTTTTATCAGGGTCATGCGGTTGATACGGATCCTAAGATTCTATTATGTCACTACTGTTGATTGAAGTTTGATGACTATGTAATCATGTTTTGAGGGCACTACGCCATGAAGGTGGCGAAGTATCACATTTACTTCATTTAAAAAATATTTGTTCTCATTGTTATTTGCCTTATCCATGATGCAGGTAAATTGAAGAAGGTGAAGAGGAAGAAGAAGAAGAATCATGACTTGTCAGAAGGTGACCACCCATCAACAAAGTATGATGAACCTGATCAAGGAGAGGTTCATCATATGTCATTGGGGATTGAGGATGCTTCTGAAGGAATGAAAAGTAAAAGCTTTGATGCTTGCTTATGCTTATTAGTGCTACATACAGTTCATTTCAATATATCCCGCCAAAGAAAATATCATCTTGGCTATCTAGCTTTGAGATTATCTGGTAATAGGAAAATGATAGTATGTAATAAAGGAGTTACCTGATGATTCTACTTCGAAGGTGACACGCTTATTGTGAATAAATGTAGATAAGGCTTGCAGATAAATGTCTCACCCCATTCACAATATAATAAGCATTTGTTCTCATTGTTATTTGCCTTATCCATGATGCAGGTAAATTGAAGAAGGTGAAGAGGAAGAAGAAGAAGAATCATGACTTGTCAGAAGGTGACCACCCATCAACAAAGTATGATGAACCTGATCAAGGAGAGGTTCATCATATGTCATTGGGGATTGAGGATGCTTCTGAAGGAATGAAAAGTAAAAACTTTGATGCTTGCTTATGCTTATTAGTGCCGCATACAGTTCATTTCAATATATCCAGCCAAAGAAAATATCATCTTGGCTATCTAGCTTTGAGATTATCTGGTAATAGGAAAATGATAGTATGTAATAAAGGAGTTACCTGATGATTCTACTTCGAAGGAGACACGCTTATTGTGAATAAACGTAGATAAGGCTTGCAGATAAATGTCTCACCCCATTCACAATATAATAAGCATTTGTTCTCATTGTTATTTGCCTTATCCATGATGTAGGTAAATTGAAGAAGGTCAAGAGGAAGAAGAAGAAGAATCATGACTTGTCAGAAGGTGACCACCCATCAACAAAGTATGATGAACCTGATCAAGGAGAGGTTCATCATATGTCAATGGGGATTGAGGATGCTTCTGAAGGAATGAAAAGTAAAACTTTGATGCTTGCTTATGCCCATTAGTGCTGCATACAGTTCATTTCAATATACAAGAAAATATCATCTTGGTCATCTGGCTTTTGAGACTATCTGGTAATAGGAAAATGATAGTATGTAATAAAGTAGTTACCTGGTGATTCTACTTGGAAGGAGACTTACTTATTGTGAATAAATGTACATAAGGCTTGTAGATAAATGTCTCACCCTATTCACAATATAATAATTATGGATCAAATTATTTTGTTTACTGGTATTTCTTGTTTCACCTTTATACCAGGTAAGACTCAGAAGGCTAGGAGAAAGAAAAGGAAGGATCGCGACTTTTCGGAAGAACATGTCCAATTACTGAAAAAGAACGACAATTTTGATATTGGGGAGGTTTATCCTACCTCCTCCTCAGGGAATGGAGATACTTCTGAAGTAACAAAAAGTAAGGAATTAGACATTTGTGTATGGTTATGAGGAGTATGTGAGAGTCATTGTCAAGATGTTCTTGAAAAGGATATTGTGGTGGCTCTGAGGTTATCTGGTAGTGGCTGAATCCTATTTTTCACCTTGGCAATATAACTAGAGGCTTGCAAAGTAGTTGTTTTGCCTGACAGATAAAATATTGGTTGTTGAAGATAACTCTATCTTCTGTGAGCAGCGATTGATTGTCCTTCCCATGCTGTAGGTAAGTCTAAGAAAGCTAGGAGAAAGAAAGGGAAGCCTCTACAGTCTCCAAGAGATATTGATCAAGTAGTGGCTAAGAACTCTGAACCTGATCCGGATAATGTTCATCAAATTTCTTCTGGGGATGAGGACGAATCCAAAGGAATGAAGAGTATGAAATTTAACTTTTCCTTTGCTAGCCATTATCTTTCATCACCAAGATGCACTTGGAGAGTCTTGCTAAATAGGGTTGAGAATTTGTTTCAATCTTGTCACTGTCGACTTCTTGGAGCTATCATAGTGAAATTTTTCCAATTGCATTGAACCACGCTGTTTGGCCTTCTTCATTTGAAATGTGACGTACAGAGTGGGTGATGGAATACTATCAGACAAGACCGGGGATAGAGACATTGCAACAAAGAATTGATGAATTTATAAGCACTCACGAGGCAAAACTGGAACAGGTATTGCAGATCTGTTGATTCTTTACTTCTTAGTTGCTTTTTTGAGTGTCCTTGAGTATTGTCTGATGTGGATAAAGGTCATCCACCTATCCCTGTAAAGTGTCAGCATATCCTATTAAGGTGCAATGTTTCGTGAATAAAAGAGTATTCTCAATTTAAGTACCTCGCCGTCATCTGAAAGATATGCTTGCCCAGCAGGATAACTAGGTTCACTGATGTTGTTATCTGAATATAGTCCCAAAGCTAAAGAGTCGGATTTAACATGGCATGGGTGAACGAAATGATAAAGTGCCTTCTTGTCAGCAACATGAGGTTTTGGCCATGTTTTACTGTCTTTTGCTGGTTCAGTGTGTATGTTTTCCCTGTTTTGTGAGACTTAAATGTTTGTGCATTATTCTTGTATTAGTGATATGTACTTCAGATACATGATGGTTGGCGTTTGTACTGAGCCGAACGAAGAATTATCATCATTGTCTATCCACCTATGCTTGAGCTTTTAATTTATTTCTTTCAGTTTGTCGACAGTTTTCAGTTAGCCCCACTTGTATTCACGTTTATCGTTCTTGCTTCACAGGAAAGAAAAGAAAGAGAAGCCCGTGTTGCAGAGGGAGGATGGACTGTGGTAACCCATCACAAAGGAAGGAAGAAGACCACAGATAGTGAAAGTGGAATTGTTGTTGGCTCTGTTTCCCAGGCTGCCTTGGAGGACAAGTTGGCTAAGAAGAAGCGCAAGGAAGTTGGGTCGGATTTTTACCGATTTCAAAGAAGAGAAGTGCAGAGGAATGGTATGATAAATTTCTCTTGTAGCTTAATTTCGTTCTTTTTAGAGACTACCGCTTGGGTGAGAGCCAAACTTGTTATTGCTAAGACAATACTACGAGCATCTTTGGAATATTGAAAACCTACTCACCTGTGTCGGTTTTGGGTATAGGCACCCTTTTGTTGAAGGTCGTTCGAGTAGCTTTTCTTAGTGTTTTTTTTTGCATATTGTTTCAGCTTTATTCTCCTCCCTTATCTGCTCCTGCTTGTAGAATTTTACTTCATTAACATACCATATTGATTTTCTGTACTGATATCTAAATGAACTATTGTCAGACCTGCTAGATAGGTCCTTGGGGTGATCAAATGCATTAAGAAAATCAGGAGAATACTTGTTCCTTTTAGTTGAGCTTCTCTTCACACTTCTATAATGCTGAATACAGTGTACTCTTAGCATATCTTTCATGATGCAATAACTTGCCGAGATAGTATCATCTGATAATTTCTGAATTGGGATGATTGCGCGGGTGACATTTCGATATTTTGCCAGATCTGACCCATCAAGAGAAATCTCCTCATTCTTGGTTGTTTCATCGAAGATTCAAAATATCTGCCTAGCTGTATGGAGCTGCATACCATGGGCCATATTCGGATGTGCGCCTATGCATGTCTAGTTGCATATGTTGTCTGTCTGTAGCTATATGCAGGCGCATCATGCATGACATGCATTCGAGCTTGTATAGCCTGTCTGTTCTCCCGTTTGCGCAAGCGTGTGCGCTTCTCTTATCCTGTTTTTAAGCCTTCATGATGCTTACCACTGGATAACCTTCATTGACTACCATTGTCTACCTTGTTGGCGTTCATAAAGTTTCGATGTTCTTCCAGCATGTTGATTTCTCCATATCATTGTTCAATAGGTGGTTTCTTTTGTGAGGAGGAAGAACATCAAATATGGTTAGCACATAACAAAAGAGAGATTTCTTTCTGATATTGCTGTAAACACGTTGTTGATTTGATTGGGTCAAATATGTGATTGGATATAGGGAAATGCATCTTTGTGGTGTTGCACACAAACGTCCATGTATACTGGTTTTAGTTTGCACAGATGAAGCATCATTTCCGGTCAAGAATTATTTTGGACCATTTGACCTACCGTTTCCTGCTGAATGAGCAATCTCTGCATTGAATATGTTAGAATTTTTCTGGTGATGAGGTTATTGTCATTTTTTCTTATAATTTTCTTTTGGTGCAGAGATAATGATGTTGCAGAGTAAATTTGAGCAAGATAGAAAGCGAATACAACAGTTGAGAGCTGCCAGGAAGTTCCGACCTTACTGAAACCGCTGGATGACTCTGAGTCCTGGCAAAGGCATTCATTCAAGTGACGGATATGTTACCTTGAATGCTCTCTTCGAAAACTCTGGGAACTTCAATTGGCTAATTTAAGGTGCCACCACATTTTTTTTTTCTCTTTTTGAAGAAAAAATAGAAAAGGCCCACCGCGGCTGAACCCAACATCTCATTGTTCCAATCTATTTACTTGTTTCTATGGCCACTCCACCGTTCTCATACATAGTTACATGGATAGATCTTGAAGTTTTTCGTCGAAGCATTTCCAAGGCTGGAAATCTCACGTTGAAATGAAATGTAATCACTATGTTTTGCTTCAGTTGCATGTATCATTCATCTATATTAAGCATTGAAACAAGAAAATAGCACTTTTACTATGTAAACGAGAAGTCGGTTCTCTGAAAAGTCTAGGACATTGGTTCGAGAAACAATGCAGCGTGGGAACTGTAGACAATTGAAGGCGATGCATCGTTTCAGCTGAGAAAAGATGGCATGCTCTGTGTGATGTCCCAGCATGGGACTATTATTAACTTCTCACGCCCACGGTGGGGGAGCTTCACAGAATGAGTGAGTGAGGAAATGCATTGGATTCCAGATCCTGTAGTGCAAACCTCGTCCTCGGCCTTACGGAGTGATCTGACAGGACTTAGTTGTAACCTTTTGTGAGCCGAAGGTGCGGTTAGATCCATCCTTCAGTCCTTTGCTAAGTTCTCGGTATGTCGGCAAAGCTCAAATTGGCCGTTGGTCGACTCGAAAACAATCCGAAGTTCTACCGACATGCCTCTGGACCTTCTTTCCGGAGCTTCACGATAAAGCCTCAAAGTGGCCTTGCAAGTACTTAACCGAGAAAGAAGTGGCTCAGGGACGTGATTCGTGTGGCCAAAAAAGTCCAACGCCGTAAAAGAGAGAAGATCTTCTTCCCTCTACGAATGAGAGCCATCCAATTGAAACGAAAACACAGAAGTTCAGCGACGAGAAAAGAAGATCTGATTATCTAGCAGCTCCAAATAGGGGGTGGCAATGGGCCAGGGCACAGTTCGGCCCGGCTTGCTACGAGCCGTGCCGGGCACCCCGTTAGCGTTGACCGGCCAGCATGACACGCAGCCGGTTGCCATGTCAAACAGTCCGTTCTTGGCATGGCCTGCTGCCGGTGTAGCGGACCGTGCCGGCAACCCCGTTAGCATTGGCAGGCCAGCATGGCACGCGGCTGGTTGCCATGTCGAACAGTCTGTTCTTGGCACGGCCCGCTGCTGGGCCAGCCATGCTCGGTCCGTACCGGCCCATTAGCACGCCCTACTTCCAAGCGGGACTCAATTAGAACTCGAAACGAAGACCCGACTATACACAAAGCAAGTGAAACTCTCGGATGATCTGTAAATTGATTTTTCATAGTCGGACGATTCAAGGTTCGGGATATTGAATTCGAAAGCAATCTGGAATTCAGAACTGACTTTATCTTCCCATTTTCCGCGGTCGTGAGATCTGAGAAACCTTCAAAAGCGCCCTATAGGTTCGTGAATAGGTTTATACTTTTCGTTTTTATAAGGAAATTTTCAAATTTTTTGGAAAATGTATTCAATTCACAGAAATTAATAATTAAATAATGTGCTCGATATTTTTCCTTCAAAAGTTAGAATATGTTGTATTCTCGTTCCGAATATTGTAAGTTTATTAGTTTTTAAAATAGGTGTTTCCACTCCAAATTTGTTTTTCCGTTTTTTTGGGGGACTATATATAAGCGTTTTCAGTTAGGTAAAAAAGTAAAATAGAGTTTAATATAAAATGAACAACTTTGGTCGGACGACAAATAGAGAGACTAGGGAAAGAAAAGTTTGTTCACTCGCCCCGCCTCTCGTCTCCTTCCCTCCCTCCCTTCCGCCACCCGGCTCGCCGCCACCGCCGCCGCCGCCGCCGCCGCCATCGGCGTCGCGCCTTCGAGCCTCAAGGTTCGGCCACCGTACCCATTCCTCTCCTCTCCTCTCCTCTCCTCTCCTCAGCCACCCACGCCGTCGCTCGCTCCCCGCAACACGTCCTCGGCGGCTAAGCTCGTTGGCAAACCGCTCGCGCCTCTGGTTCGCTACTCCCTCTCTCTCTCTCTCTCTCTCTCTGTGTGTGGTTGGTGATTTTAGTTGCTAACAGTTCATGAATGCTGAGGACTTGTCCGTGATTAACAGGCCATCCTTCATTACTTTAGTCTTCTTTCGCGAGCACCTTTTGCTGTCCCATTCGCCAAATGTTTGTTTTTTTTTTACATGGACAAGAGAAGGCGATGCAAATGTCTGAGCATGAGAATCCATCTTTACTTAAGCTCAAGAGGATAAGCTATCCTGGCTCACTCGATATGATGATTGTTGTGCGGATTTTTGTTTGCCAACTGCAAGCAAGCAGGGGAATTGCTTAGCCCCGTGTTATCAATCGTTCGATATATGCAAGTAGCATCGAATTCATTATGCTTCAGAGTATTTAATGAAGATGCGTCGTATCGGAGTAGATGTGCGCGTCCTGATTTTGGTTGGAGTATGTGTTTTGTGTTTGAGAATGTTCCTCTGGCAATGCCTTTGAGGTCCTCATTTCGTTATTTGATTAGTGGTTTTCCCAGAAATCCCGTATTTGATGTAAGTGACCGGCCTTGTTAACCCAAGCTTTGTCGTAGTTCAGTGATATATTCTTTGTCCTTTGCCCATTAGCAGTCTTGCTTGGTAAATCTGCTCTATAAACCTTGGTTTTTGAGCATGTGCATGCCATCCCCCTACTTGTTAATATCGATGACATGTGAAGCTCATGCTACAAGTGATATATCATGCATAGAGTTGAGTGTAGCATTTGTCTGATGGACTCAATTTTTTCGGTTTTGGATGTTTATAGAACGATGCCAGATCAAGTGGAAGTTGGAAGCATAATTGAAGAGCATGGAGAGAAGAAAGGTAAATATTTTCAATCGTGGCAGGTCAGATGGCTTAGGAGTAGCATGATTGTTTTGTCGTTTTCCTCTTTCCTCTTGCTTTCCCAGATAGTAGGTTGGTTTAGGGCAGTGAATGAATAATGGAAAAAAGTGGATCATCTGTTAAGAAGGGAAAAATAGAGAAAAAGGATCTAGTGGGCAAAAGGTATAATGGTGTCGATGGGAGGCTGAGCATGGTAACCATTTGTTGCATCAATAGGTCGGATTTGGAATTAATCTGACTTCAGTTTGATTTCCTTCTTCATTAGCCTAGAATTTTTTTCGCTCGAGCATATGGTATTCTTGTCGCCTGTTGTGTTTCTGCAATGGGGCAAATCTAGAGGGTTAGAATGGGAAAGCACTAGTCAAGGGTACACCATTCTTTCAGCAATTTTCGGCCTTGCACTTGGCTACCTAGTACTTAATTTACTTTTGAGTTTTACTTTGCCTCTTTATGTGAGTATCTTACTGTTCTTATTGGTCGTCATGATTATACTCAGTTGTAAATAGAATACACATTAGCATATCAAAGCATAATGCTTCTAGTCTTGCAAGTATGTGCTCTCTGTAGATGTGAACTTTGGCTACAGCACTTTTTTTCCAAGTTCTCATTGTTTGTAGCATTTCCCGCAATGTAGGTAAGTCAAAGAGACGTGACAGGAAAAAACAGAAGGATAACAAGTTAAGGGATGAAGGAAATCAATTACTGGAAACGAACAGTGCACCTGACAGAAGCGAGGTTGATCATACTTCTGTGGTGGATGACCAATCTCAAGGAATCAGTAGTATGTAGCTGTACCTTATGTTAGCTATTACTAGCCAATATTTTTATTTATTTATCATCTAGAAGTTTTTAATACTGGATTATATAGTTTATAATTAGCAATAAGATTCTGATATTGTTTGCTTGTTGGTGCTTGCAATGGAAATTTACTTGTAACAGAAGTTGTAAAAGCTGGAGTTTTAATTAGAATTGCAGTGTCTTTGAGGATTAAGTGGTGGATCACATCATAGATCTATGATCTTGGTTTCCTGCTAAGTGCTAAATTAAGCTAGAAAAGCTGGGATTGTAGCATTATTTCTAATTATGATGTTAAAACTCACCATTCTGGTTTTGCCATATGGCGACCCTCTCTCTTGCGTATTTTTTGACACCTCTGTGCAAGACTTTCGACTGAATATACCTTACTGGGTTGAAGAACAAAGGGAATTTGACCGTATTTTGCAATTAATACGCACAATCATCATGAACCGTGAATCTATACTGAAAGCCACCTATATGCAAACAGAACCAAATGAAGCAATGCTGAACACCTGACTTGAGACTAAATAAGATGCAGTGAAGGACGAGAGTAGTGGAGACACTTTTTGCATGTTTCTCCTGGAACTGGCACAATTTTATGAAAATTGAGATCTCGAGAGTGCGTGAAGGTTTTCCTGTTGTTTGTTGGGTTGATGCTGTGGTTGTTGTTGAGGAGGACAATGGTGCAAATTCTGATGGTTGAGTTGTGTTTGAGGTCCTTCACATTATGGCTTCACATATGGATTGTGGTATCTATGATGATTTCTTATCGTTCTTGCTCATGTTTACTTCAACAGTGGTAGGGGTGAACACTGGGATTTTGATGCTAGGAAAATGCCTTTTTTAGTTTAAATTTATAATTGAGCGAAAAAAGATCCTTCATGGGCTTGCTACATGGGAAACTATACTTACTTTGGTAGAGGACAAGAGACTCTTGCAAAGTCTATTGGTCTGACTGGTCCTACAATTTTTCAGCTGCTCCTTATGGCAGGATCATATAATACGATCTGGCTTGGATCCTAGAATTGGATGATTACACTAGTGGGATTGAAATTTGATGACTACGAATAATTGTGTGCTGCAAGATGAGGGTTGTGAGATATCAGTTTTACTTCATTTGAAGCATGGATATCAGACCTTTGATACTTGCCTCAACATGTTGCAGGCACGTCTGAAAAGGCTAACCAGAGGAAGAGGAAGAAAAGGAATAAAAATTTGTCAGAAGAAGGTGATCAGCCATTGAGAAAGAATGATGAAACTGATCAGGAGGAGGTTAATCATATCTCGTCGGGGAACAAGGATACTTCTGAAGTAATGAAGAGTAAGAAATGGAATCATTGCTTATGCAAATTAAGTGCTTGTGTGTGTGGGGGTTGGAGGGTGTGTTGGTATGGGTGTTTGTGTGTGCATTTGTTTGTGTGTGTGGTGGGTGGGTGGGTGCATGTGCCAGTGCATGTGTATTTCTGTCATGCACGATGGCGTAGTAGAAAGGATCAAAATTATGTGATATATTACTGAACTGCTACTAAGGAATTTCCATGAGGAGTTAATTGATAATATTATTAGCAGGAAGACATAGGGCTTGCCATCGGTTATGATTGAAACATCTCGACTAAAGTAAAGGCAAAAGGGTGGTTTATACACTTCTCTAATAGAAGAGAGAAGTCACTATAAACAAACATTCAAGAGTTCAAGAAAGAAACGCTACCAAGAAAATACAATGAAAAACATATCATTAAGTTACTACAAAAAAAAAAAAAAAAAGAATAGTTCCGAGAGATGAGACTCCAATTGTCGAGAGGAAGATTGAATCCAAGATTGTTTGCAACAGTGAAGATGTATTGGTCGTCTTAGCAACTTCAAAGTTAAGTATAAGGAAGGTTAGAATCTTTGTTCAAGATTCAAGAAAGGGCTTTTTAAAGAAGGATGGTAAATCTATTATCACTGCAAGATTAGATCATAGTTCATGGTTTAGTTGATTCTCCATTGTGTTAAGTCTTGTAAAAGTTATCATTTCTAGGAGAGGATGAAATCAAGTTGTAAGGCTACTCCAAGTAAAGGTAGTTACAATTTAGTTTTCACCTGCCTTTGTACTGTAATATGCTTCTGCTTTCAGTTGCATGATATATTCTTGTTGCTGTTATTTCGTCTCTGAATTATGCGTTTCGCGTAAAATTATGCTTGGGAGTAATTTAACAACTATGCATGCATGTAGCAATGTTCATGGTGCTAGTAGGTGCACTAGTTAAATTGCCAAAAAGGAGAAAATGCAGGATGCCATCAATTTGTTGCTGTGTGGATGGCATTCTTCATGTGCCAGTAAACTGAAGTGTATATATAGCATTGCTAAAGGCTCACATCCTTCATGTGCATAGACTGCATGTCTATTTTGTCTCTGGTTCGTGTTGTCTATGTTTTTTTGTACTGCAGCAGTGTGTATATCACTTTGCACCCAACATACTACCTTTTTAGGCCATGTTTTTCAAGGTGGTTGTTGGAGTTTATGCTGTTCTTTCCAGTGCATGGAGAAGAATGCATGTACAATGCGTGGAACAGCACTGTCACATCTTTATGAAAACATAGTCTGGCTTTCCTGGCAGGTAAGGGTGAGAATGGTGATGGGGTTGTGGAGGATGATTTGAATGAGCCAACCATGGGGGAAAAGCTTGAAAAATTAAATTTGGTAGATGGTGGAATAAACATAAGCCACGAAAAACAAGACCCCTCCCCTCTTGCCCAGCCTCGCGCTGACTCTGTTAATGTTTTGCTCAAGCAAGCATTGCATGCTGATGATCGCGCCCTCCTATTAGATTGCTTATATACACAAGACGAAAAGGTTTTCTTCTAACCTTATCTTCATGTTTCTGGATAATTTTAATTATTTACATGTGGAAATAATAATAATAAATCATTATGCTGGTGGTAATCATGTCAAACTCGTTTGTACTGGCAGGTTATAGCTAATTCAATCTCTCTTTTAAACCCATCTGATGTTCTTAAGCTTCTGCAATTCCTCATATCCATAGTTGAGTCGAGGTGACTCTCTCTCTCTCTCTCTCTCTGGGTTATTTTAATTAATCTTTAGGCATTTTGTACTGGATGATGTTAAACTTGTAATCCACTGCCAAGAGTTACCACACTTGGGGAAAACACTCATTGACCAAGGGAGCTCAATTACTTGCTAAATTGAAGTTAAGAACTGTTTTCCTGTTCACATCTACACATGTTACAGTTGCTGTCTTGTTCGACCGAAAGCTACCTTATTTCACTCGCTTCATGTCAATTGCTTGTTTTTTCAGTAAAGTATATATATATATATATATATATATATATATATGTTATAATGAGGATATTCAGCTTATATTGTAGAATACAGGTGCTGAACCTGCTGGCCAAACTATCATATGAATTAGAGTGGTCAATATTTACTGTCCTCCACTGTCGTAGCATATAGGGTTGGCCCATAAATGTCTAGGTACTCTTGCAGAGTTTTGTGTGACCTCAATGCATAATCTCTTTGAGCTTGGCCTAAATGCAGGGCAGCCTTTGTATTTGATCCCACTTTCAATTTTTGCCTCAGATTATGCCATCATTATTTTGAACGAGTTTTTGAGCACTATGCTGTTCTATCGGGGCCTCTCTCCTTCATTTTGCTTTGTTGCTGCAGGGGCGCTGTGCTTGTATGTGCTCTTCCATGGCTGAGAAGACTACTACTTCAGCACTCTAGCGGAATAATGTCACAGGAAGCTTCGCTGGTTGCGTTGAATTCTCTGTATCAGGTCTGAAATGGTGGCCGGCTACCATGTTAAGGAACTTTTACGCGCAAATAAATATGGGCTTCAGAAGAACGTTTTACCTTCCAATATCACCTCTTTTACTCGTACTGTTGTGTATATTTTTTACCAAATCTCGAGGTTGTGTGGGAAGATTTTTCCAATTTCGTGACATGACTTTCTTTTCTTTGGATTTCTGATTTGCTTGTGGTCATTTGCAGCTCATTGAATCGAGAGTGTCAACCTTCCGGCCAGCTCTTCAACTATCTGTCTCTTTGGACGTACTTTACGCAGGAGTAAGTATAATTAAATGCGAAGTTGGGATTTGTTCTAAAGTTTGGAGTGTCAACTGACCCCCCGTATATGCTCCTTGAGCAGGTAATCGATGAGAAAGAGGAGGAAGATGCTCCAGTGAAACCAGTGATTTATGAAGACCATGACAGTGAAGAAGAGGAATCGGAAGATGCAATAATGGACATCGACCATCATAGCCCTGAGGAGGAAACATCTGACATAGTGTTCGAAGGAGATAGTGATGCCGATGAAATAAGCGACTAAGTTGGCTGACAAGTCATAAGAAAGAGGTCCATAGGTATACATTAGAAGAAGTGTATATGCCATCTATGGAATTTGATACTGGTCAAAGCAAAGTGCAGTTGCCACAAGAATGCGTCTCTTCTTTCGGACCCAGGTGGTTATGTCATAGGAGACGCTATTCTAACATGGATCTAGACTTAGTGAAAATGCTGGAGAACTCGGGCTATTACTAGAATACTGCAGACATTAGCTCAGCATGTCCAGTGACTTATTCGTTCAAGTTTTGTTCTGATCTCATTTTTGTCGTCCTTTTGCGATGTGCACTTAACAGGACTACTACTCTATACCAAGAAATGCTCAGAGATAGCTGTTTTTTCCTCACCTTGCCGGTTGATGCCTTCATTTTCTCTTGTTAACAGAGGCTTCAAATGTTGTTTGAGATGACTACGCTCTTTCCACTCGTGTATAATCCATCTTCCAGCTCTTTCTTTTCTCTAGTTTGATGCAAGATGGGGAATTAGGGTGGAAATGTATGGGAAGAATCTTATATAATTTGAAATCAACTAAGGCATACATGCAGAATGTCAACTCATTCGAAGTAAAATACAACAGACTTGGCAGTAACTGGATACTTCCCTTAATAAGTATATGCAGATCATTCCCTATAGCATTCTCACATCATCCTTGTTGGCATTGCCAGCAATTCCAAGTGTGACTTCACAGTTTCCTTAGCACTACAAGCCATTCTCTTCACGTGCTCTGCTGCCTGCCAGGACTACTGCTGGGCAGCACTGGCCTTTGCCAAGAGATAGCTGCCGGACTGGTCGTTGTCTCCTTGGTCTTTTCTTTGGTTGCTTGGGAAATGTAGGGCCTGAAGATACCAGTATCTTGCCTCTAGAAAATTCTCGAGGAACATTGGCGTGGCAGTGGTCTGTGTCTTCAGGGTCAAGATGACGTCCCAAACTATATCCAACTCTTTGGTGCTGCTCTTATGTGACAAGAAACTGCAACAACGTATAGCTTTTAAATCAACTAAATTGATAGTTCGCGGGTGGCATAGACTAAGTACTGAAATAGTATTGCTTACTGCAGTCTTCACTACAAGCAATGCAAAACAAAAGCCAGTGTGCCAGAAAAGCATCAAGTAGAAATACTACACCTTCTTGAGGAGACAGCATTGTGCAATTGATTGGGCTGTGGCATTCAATCAATCCCAAAGCTAAAATGACAGCGCACAGAACCTGCACTGGACCTTTTCCTTTTCCGTAGAGGTTTGGAGCTGCATTACACAACTTACTAGTGGTTTGAGCAACTCACATTGCAGAGCTAAAAATAATCAATTTACCAAGAATTAATGCTCTTACTTCATGAATGCCAATCAGAGTGTTGAATATCGTTCAAACTACTTTTTGACATTAGGCCTCTGCCAACCACCTCATTCCAAAAGAGCCTTAGGATGTTTTCATCACCTACACAGGAAGCATTTAAGCTTCTATAGATCTTTAAAGTTATCATGAACCTCCTCTTATACATGTCATCAAACATGGCTGATGAGGCCGCAGCGTTCCCTGCTTTCATGTAGGCATAGGCTAGACTACTATATATAACACTATCTCCTGATATACCCTTCTCTTTCATTATCGAAAAGACTTTTTCAGCATAATCAATCTTCTCTCTTTTACAGAACCTCCTTATTAGCGCCCTGTACAGAGAAACATCAACACAAAGACCTCTCTTAGCAAGTTCATTTGGGAGTCCTAGTATCGCCTCTTCCTCGTTTAAGTCGCAGTAGCCATCTATAAGCCAGGAATAAGTGCAGTAGCTGGGAGACAATCCAGCATTCAGCATGCTAATGAGGAAATCTTTTGCGTTGTGCATGTCTTGAACCTTGCAGAAACCATGAATCAGTGCCTTGTACGTGAATTGGTCCAACTTCAGTCCAGCCTCGAGCATCTTATTCCTCACTTTCAATGCAGACCTCATATCCCTTATCTTACAGTATGCATTAATCAAAGTGTTGCACGTAATATTATCAGGTTCTACTTTCTGCTCACTCATCTCACTCAAGAGCTTGTTGGCATCCCTCATTCTACCTTCTTCACATAACTTACGCAGGATGGAATTGTACGTTGCAACACCGTGATACAGACCTTTGGCCACCATCACCTCTCGCAGCCTTAAAGCCTCTTCGAGGTCATTTATTCTGCAATACCCATCAATTAAGGTTGTATATGTCACATGATTAGGCGTAACACCTTTGATTTCCCTAAAAAATCTCACAGCTTCTCTCATCCTGCCTTCCCTACAAAGTCCATATATAAGAGAGTTATAGGTCACAATATCAGGACTTACTCCCCCTCTTTCCATTCTATCTTGAACACATAGAGCTTCATAATGCATGCCCTTCTTGCAGTACAACGCTATCAACGTATTGTACGTGAAAAGGTCAGGATGAACACATTTAGATTCCATTTCAATCAATATCTTTTCCGCCTTCTCCGTGTCCGCGGACTTGCAACAAGCATGAATCAGCACGTTATATATATGAATATTCGGAACAACCCCGAGTCTAACCATTTTCTTGTATAATTTCCACACCATATCAGCCAATCTATCCTTCGCCAAAGAACTTAACAACACAGTGCAGGCATGCAGATGCGGCTTAAGCCCGCATACTCTCATGTGCTCGAACACCTGAACCGCATCCTGGGTCATCCTGGAATTCGCATAAACTATCACCAGCCAGCTGAAAACCTGCGAATTCGCATCCGGGTCATCATGCGCCCTCACCAGAGCTCCCAAAACCGAAGGGGAGGACAAGAAATCTCGGGTAGCAATTTTCTCGAGCAGGTCCTGGGCACTCTTGAAGTGTCTGTGCCTGGCGAGGATGTGGATCATGGTCCACGAGGATTGCAGAGAGTGCTTGTACCTGGGCATCGATTCCGCGTTCTTGAAGAATGCCAACAGATGGGAAGGATTGTGACAGTGGAAGGAGAGGTTGAGGAGGACTTGGTGGATGATGGCGGAGGTGAGAACTGAAGAGAGCTTCGAGTGGAAGGGACAGTTCCACTGACCTTTGACTATGAGTCCGCAAATGCTTTGCACGAGTTGGGTTTCTGTGTTTGAAGAAATCAAACCCAACATTTCCGCAGGAAGCAGAATCAGACACAGAACAGAGAGAGAGAGAGAGAGAGAGAGTGGCTGTCTTGTCTTACAACGAAGAGCTAGCAGCAGCGATCACGCGATCATCCTAAAGGGTTCAAATCTTTTCCGCCAGGGCTAAGGAACGGGAGAGAGTTGAGCCCGCGAAATGAACCGACACCGGAGCTTTTTTGAGGGAGAAAACCACGAACTCTCTCGATTCATACAGATGATGGCAATTCTTCGAAGGGGAAATAACGGGGAAAAGTTTCATAGAAATCCTATACATTTTGCATTGATTTCAATTTAGTCTTTAAGCCTTTTTTGAGTGCCAATTCAATCTTAAACCATTTATTTTTGTACAAATTCAGTCTTTTCTGGCTAATTTTGACCAGATTTTGTTGACGTGGACGCCGGACGGCTTACGCGGTACCGCCGGCGATGACGTGAATAACTTTTAATAATATTTTAATATTTTTCGAATATTTTTTTCTTTTCCTTTTTTCTTCCAGCCGACCTACCCTCGCCAGTGGATGTGAGGTCGTGGCCTTCGACCTCGCGGCCTCTGCCAGCGGCTGGGCGAGGCACAACCACGTCGAATACGGCGAGGATGGGCCTCGCCCATGGCCAGCGGGGCTCGACCCTCGCCCATGGCCGGCGGGGCTCGACCCTCGCCAGCCCAGTGCGAGGCCTCCCTCGCGACCATCCGGCAAGGTCAAATGGCCGCAAGGGCGGCCTCGCGCTGGGCTGGCTAGGGTCAAGCCCCGCCTATGAGGGCTTGGGCCTTCGCCAGTGGCCGTGATGTTGCGGGCGTGCCTCGCCGACCCTGGCCTCCAGGGAGGAAGAAGAAAGGAACAGAAAATTTTTTTTAAAAAAAATTTGAAAATATTAAAAATTATCCACGTCATCGATGGCGGTGCCACATAAGCTGGCTAGCATCCACGTTAGCAAAATCCGATCAAAATTAGCTGGAAAGATTGAATTGGCACAAAGACAAAATGATTTAGGATTGAATTGGCACAAAAAAAGGTTTATGACTAAATTGGCATAAATGCAAAAAGTTTAGGACTTTTCAACACTTTTTCCGAAAAATAATGCCAATGGTCCCTGAGCTTTGGCTAATATGCAATGCGATCTATGAGATTTTAATTTGTTCAATGTCATCCCTCAAGTTTTAATATAGTTCTAGGACTACATTAAATATTTTTATGTAGTTCACGGATTACACTGAACATGTACCAACAGTTCAAATACCACATTGAACAAATAAAAAGTTGAGGGACCACATTGCACGTTGAGCTAAAATTTAGGGATCACGTTAAACAAATTAAAAATTCAGAGATCACGTTACATTAGATCAAAGTTTAAGGACCATTTGTGTCATTGTCCATTTTTCAAATATGTTCATTCCATAGTGAACTTCCTACACGTGCTGGTGATTCACGAACTTGTAAAATAATCGATTTTGGTGATCCTTTCTCTATCCTATAAGGTCTTGCTAATCTGCGATCCATGTATCTTGATTTAGGCAGAATGTGGGGTAGAACATAATCTGCAATTTCACTGAGTACGATGAAATTTTCTGTCGACACCAAAAGAAATTTATTTCCCCTTCTGTTCTTATAAAGAGAGCACGTCGCGATTACCTATTTAGAGTGAAGATCAAGCCCGTTTCTCCTTGATGCCCAATCGAACTGAACTAAATAACTTCTGTTATGGAAACTTACAAACCATATCGAATTGTTAAACGGCCCGGAAAAAGAATCGAATCAAAACTGAATTGCGTTTAGTGCTTCTTCAAACTTTTTTTTACCTTGAAAGTTGATCTGGAACGACAAGATACAAATTACACATTAAACATCTTTCTCATACTTCCATAGTCTTACATACGTTTTCATGAGCCACATCAACTGATAAGCAAATATGCGATAAATTTATCGGATTCTTGCATTCATCAGCATATAGTACTGAAAAATATATACATAATTTCAAAGATATTAAGAGAGAGAACAGTGGTCTATACACCCTTCTATGTTTGCTAGCACCAATGTGTACAGAGGAGCAATCCCAGACGAAATTACGCAGTTAAGACAAGCTATCGAAGCAAGAAAATACAGAGAGAGATGGGGGGATCACTTGGATGATTTTGGCAAACAACAGACCATCTAGCCACACCAAGCAGCGAGCACACAGGAGCAACCGTGGTACCTCCTGTGGATCAAACTGAAGCTGTAGATGAAGGGCAAACAAGAAACCTAAGCCACAAGATTGCCAAAATTTTATTACTCTTGGGTTATAATGCCTCAAACTTAGCACGAGCTCCAGGAGACATGAGATGGGATCCTAGTCAGGCGAATAGCTATGACAGCTTCTCGTGTCAAGTTGGGATAACATCAGCAAACATCTGAACCACATGACCCCATCTTATTCCCGCTCCGAGAAAGCTTCTCTGCCATGAGCTTTTATTAATGGGGTGTGAGACAATTTCAATGCCAAACTTCAGGTTGATCCGAGAATGAAACTATGTACATCAAGTGGCAGGGTTGGGTCATATTTGGAATTCCTGTGACATCATTGCCCAGGAAAAATAGAACAAAGAGAATCTCTTCCATGTGAATGAGCAAGTTCTGTCTTGTGTATCTACGAGGAGAAACCTTCACTGTGATCCTGTTTAGTAGTACTCTCAGCAGATTTAAGTGCTTTTCCATTCCTCCTCTCATACTCCTCCTTCAATTCATCCAAACGTTTTGCTACCTGATCATCCACAAAGATCTATATAAGAGAGGTGGAACAAGAATCAATCACAAACATCTAAGAAGCACTTGAGGCCTCAGCCGACAAAACCATACAACTTTCAAAGCATTTATAGTCTTGAATTTGGTCATGTCAACATATAAGCGAACAAGATCAATAATCTCTATTTCAAGTTGAATTGAAGATTAAGATTTTCATTAAGAACGAAACTGAAGAACCATCTATTTAAAAGAAATTGATATCTTGTCCCTCGGATTCAACTCTCTTAATAAGTGAGGCACAGACCAAATAGTCAGACAATGATGATTCCTGAAGCAAAAAGATCCTGCAGTGTCACCGTAGTAACAAGCCTTTTTTTTAAAAATGAAATCTGCGACTGCAAAAGTTGACATGACCAGAAGAAACAATGAGCATTGGCAAGTCAAAACCTTGATCGAATAAGCCATCGGTAATAATGTATCTGGATCCATCGCATGCTCAGGGAAGTTACGCAAAGCATGAATGAGTTTCTCAAATGGTAATTGGACCTGACAAACAAGAAATTTTCCTCATCAGTATGCAGAAACTAACAGCATTGGGGGAGGTAAATGCTTAGATACTGACCAACTCGTCATGACAATACTTCAACAAAGCCAAACCAACTTTGAAGACAATTTTGACACCCTGTTCAAAAAATACACAATTGTCTAAGAATTTCCAACAACATAACGGTGCTTTCAAAGAGGAAATAATGTTAATTTTGCCAACTACCAACCTCAAAGAGAAAAACATCCCAGATTCGAAGAGCCAGGTGAAATGGGAAAGAGTACGCGAACACTGTGATGAACCATTGACTTGCATACATACTGGGATTTATCATTTCTTGAGTAAAATGGTCCCCCAGCTTTGGCAAGTGTTCTTTCACCAAGTGATCAAACTGATTGAGATACTGTTGAACCAATGGCAGTCCCACCTAACAATGTCATCAAAAGAGTAGTTCTCAGAGACTAAGAGTACTGAAATTTTCTTCATCCTAGTCAGGATTTGAATCAAAGCCCGGACCAACAATGGAAAATAAGCAATTCTTTTTCTTTTTTTTTTTCTGGGGGCCACATGAAAATAGGCAATTTAACTAGTCATTGAACATACATTCTTCTTGTGATGTTCTATCAAAACTAGAAAGAAGCAGCAAACTAAAGAAATGAATGAGGAATGCATTAATCTAAACCATGCAGAAGTAATATATTACTTCTTTACATCGGAATGATGAAAGAAGCAAGAGAAAAAACTCCTAATAATTTGTTCTTACAATCTTAATTAGCAACCTCATGTTTAAGAGACGGCTGCTTCTGACCAGAGTCAGTGGTACAGCCTATCTAAGAAAACTAATTTTGATGAGAATAAAGACAATAAAGCAACCATATGCTAAGAAAAACCAACAATCCACACAAAGAATAGAGAGGCATATAGTGCTGACCAAAGGATGAGGTGTTCAATTTCCTACAACATAGAGCATTTATAGCCACCTCCACATCCATGTTGAAGGATTATACTTAACCATTTTTGTTTATTTTGTAATTAAATAATTAGATGTTTCCCTCATTTTCATAGTTGCCTTCCATATAGCATTCCAGCCTTGCAGGGTCCAGTTGAAGTCACGAGTAATTTATGGGCTTCAGAACTGCTAATCTTGAATTTGCAGTTAGGACTCAAAGTTTACTATCCGAGGGATGGGAATACTAAAGTCACCAAAATGTCCAACTTTCCTTTTGTGCTTAAGGTGCAATCATGAGTATCGCTTTGCCAGGTGCATACTTATTGTACGTTTGAGCTATGTGCATGCCTATTGCTAGCGCAATGCGAGCATACCAGTTCACAGGCTTGTGCGGGAGAACAGGAGAGACCATGATTTGAGACACAACAAGCACAGGAAAGGAAAATCATTTGCAACAGTAGGTGCGGAGGAAGGGGGTTTGCTTTCGGATTGTGACCACTAATCATTCAGTTTACTCATCCAAAGAAAGGAAAATGGTCACACAGCTAGACAACATGAGCTACGCAAAGCGGTTATGCTTCAACCAGATAGCTGCGGTTCATTGTCTAAGATGGGCAACAGTAGTTTTTAGATTCTGCTTAGTCCTAGATAGGATAAAAAGCAGCTGTAAGACGTAAATAAACAGAAGCTAGCACTTTCTATGTTGAACACGCCAAAGTGGGTATCTCAAGCAACAAAGAAGTACCGTATACAAGCCTTCCATTGGAGAATGAACAGCTCCTTTCAGTAATGCCACCAATAACCAAAATGCATCTTCTTCACTCATATAGAGAAGCAATAGCCCAGCTACAAAGCCCATGCCCTGCATTTCAACTAATAATGTTGGCCACTTTAAAGCAAAACAAAACAAGCCATATACTCAAACAACAAAAATTCAAACCTGAACATATCCAACGTCTCTATCATAGACAGAATATGCCTTCAGAACATTATACAGGGACCTCTGACCTGGTCCATGCCTCTGTTGAAAGAAAACATGGGAAGGGAAGGTTCTAGAAATATCACGAATTATGTCCAGCTCTGAAGCTGATGTCTCGTATATCACCAATTGCTGCAAAATACACGGTTGTATCAGCATGACAGTGGCCTTGCTTGATATTGGGTGGAAAATGTAGGAAATTAATTTGAGTCAGAAAAAAATCAACAACTTCTGGAAAAGGACTATATTTGCCATTTTAAGGAACTTAATATATTTAAACTGCAGGCTTGCTGTATGTCATTAAAATTCCATTAAACCTCCCTCCCTCCTTCTGTTTCCCAATGTACACATAAAAACTTCAGAATGATGCATTGCTTAGTAATCTATGGCATGCTTAAGAATTCAACGGAAATTTAGTAGACTCACGGTTTATTTAGCATGAAAATGCTTAGAGTTCCAAAAAGGAATACACATACACTTGGATATAATTTAAGCAGAAACAAGCACAGAGGAATGATCACCTCATAAACCCCAGGGTTCATTAGCAAAAGATCACGACTTCCCGATATCAGCTGCCAGACGAGACCCCTCAAACAGTCTGGAATTCCTTTCCTTATACGTCTTTTTACCACATGAGGTTTCCTCCTAACGTAATGTTTCCAATCACTACCTCCAACCCCAATCATCTTCCTCCATTTCCTAACCCTTCTTTCCTCCCTGAGAACAGAGAAATTCATTTGGCAGATTCTCATGATCACACTGCTTTTTATTAAATGATCCATCAAACCTGTTGAATGGAATAAAAATCATACCTTTCAAACTCATCCTTTGACTTCCCCTTGTTTATGCCTTCAGGAGAGCTACTTACATCCTGCTTGACAAAACCAAATCTGTCCAACGGTCTCGGTGAAGGTAGTGGCCCCACTTCGTAATCGTCTATTCGTTTCTTTTCCATCTCAAATGCCAAAGCGAAGCTCCACAGTGTCAACAGACATACCACGGACCAATCTTCTTCTCCGACATGGTCATCTCTCAAGACCTGGGAAAGGAAAACGCAAAATCTTATGGGTAAAGCATGACATAAGATTGACCAACATATCATCACGAAGATAAAAAGGGCCTCCCGGCCCTGCAAGTCTACAAACCGGACGAGAAAAGCGGAGCCCAATTACAAACTAATCAAACCGAGATACCAACATCAAACTAAAGCATCAGAACAGCATCAAATGCAACATACAAAATGGAGGATCAGGGGCAGATCACCAGTAGCTGCAGAAGCTCAGAAACACTACTAACATCGACAATATCAGGAACCCAACTTACAGAAACCGGAGCCGAGACAACCAGCGGAACACCATAAAGTTCTCAAACTCCAGGCAGAGAAAACAAACCCAGGAGGCAATAGCAATATTCAGAGCGAAATTCCTATCAGCTCACGCCACAACAGGACAGAAGCCCGCATCAGTGCCAGCACAAACGAACCCGTCGATCGTCACCTCAAATTTCAACCCCCCCATGGACAAACAACTACAACCCAAAAAAACCCAAAGAAAAAAAAGACCCCTTTCATCGTATTAGACTCAACACAACACCTCCAAAGCATCCCACGAAAATCATAAGGCGAATCAGCGCATTAAAACACGAAAAGCTCAACAATTTCCGCGAACACAAACCTGGGTGTCGGAGATCCTTCGCCCGTCGACAGGCCCCGCGAGTGTGATCCGCGGATCAGATCGTCGAACCCAGTGCCGGGTCGAATCGAGACTGAGGAAGGGGCGGAAATGAGGACGAACAGCTAAGGAGCATTGAATAGTATCATGGGACTGCTTCCGAAATGGCAAGCTTCTTCCCTTCGCTTTCCCTTTCGCTTTCGTTCTGTTGCGGATATGCCACAAATGGCGATTGGCTCGTTCTCATTAATTCGGTCCAGAAAAGAAGATTTTTTTTAATATATTTCTCCGGCACGGTATTTGCGGCTAATTCCAATTTTAGACCCCTTATTTCTATGTGGTTTTTCAATTTAGTCCTCGAAGCAAATTGATGTGTCGCCTATTCTTCATGAGCAATATACTAAGTAGACTTTGACCAAAAAAAAAAGAAAATATACTAAGTAGACTAGTCTTAGTGTGCCTAGCATCGCTTTTTATAGAATAAGCCATATATTCCACGTTGCCACTTGTCTTAAATTGCTAATTTGGTGTTTCGAATTCGTGTCGCCGTTCACGGGGCGTGCATTCTACCTTGCTTTTTCACATTTTACCGTTTCTTCCGGACATAGTGCCAACAAGATGAGTTACTTGTCCTAATGAAGATAGAACGATGTTACATGGACTAAAATTCATTCGCTAAATTGATATACTAAGTGATGTGACAGACTTTTATGAACTACTTAACTCAAATAATCATATCTTTGGCTTCACATAATTTAATAAAATAATTTCAGAAGTACCTCTAGCGTTTGCTTATTGTATGCAATAGCTTTGGCATGGGGTAAACTCCTCATGTCCTAAACTTTCAAAAATAAAAATAAAAATAAAAATGAAAAAGTATGTCCACGCAATGCACTAACTTTTTTTTTTGTTGAAAATCAAAAGAGATGAAAAGCACACCAATTAATTAAAGGGTTAATACCAGGAAAAACTCTAAACTGGTGCGCCTGTGTTAAATTTATCTCAAACTAAATTTTTGATTATTAAAAACTTCAAACTGGTACATTTGCGATAAATTTACCCTATGTTAATTTCCGTAAATTGCATTAATATCATGAAAAATCACAAACTGATGACAAAAAAGGGTAAAATCCAAATCTGGTACATCCATCAATTGCAACGTGCCATTTAACTTAGCAATTTGACTAAAATTTATTAAAAACAAATGAACGGTAAATTTGTCATTTTGAAGTTTTTGGTGATCAAAAAATTAATTTGTGGTGAATTTATCACAAATATACAAATTTAGAATTTTTCGTTGTATTATCCCTTAATTAAAATACATCTTCGATTTCCCACCACGCCCAATACTTCGGCAAAACGCTCCGCCGTTTCTTATCCCCTGACTGCTCCCGGCGGGTAACACAGCCGGTGTCCCTCAGCCCGAGAAGTCCCAACTCTCATGCTCATTTCTCGATTTCCCTTTCCTCGGACCGATGAGAGCAAGGTGATTTCAGATTCATTCCTTCCTTTTGGTAATCCCCAAAACCCACCATTATCAGTCACTTTCAAGGTTCATTCCATCCTTCTCCTCCGTAGATGATGTTGACCTCCCACTTTTTTGCCGCAGTTTGTGTTCCTCCACTTTGGTAAAATTGCAGATGGCGTCGGAAACGATGTGTAGGTAGACATTCTCGGTGTACGCTAGGACATGGCTTGTCTTTCTGTCATTTGCAATAATGGGTTCTTCAAGTCTCGAGAACTCCTGGGCGTTCGGGTTGGAAAGGCCAGTTCTTGCGCGCAACGGAGCGTTCGCGGCGGTCTTGCTCTGTTTCCTCTGGTGAAGTTCCGAACTTTGTGCAAATTCGAACATGGGTCGTCGTGTAATGTTAACTCGATACGAAAGCTCTCTAGACATGATTGGAATCGGCCTTTAAGGTTTCGTGGCGGTTCTGAGTCGCCCCCTGGATTGTCCTGTAGAAGTAGAATTGAGCCCGGGAGCGATGAATTTATTGATATTGAGCGGGGTTACGTGAGGAAAAGAAGAAGAGGTATTAGGAGGAAATTCTCGCTAAGATTGCGCCCAAGATTTCGGTTGTTGGCCTCGAGATTTAAGAGGGTCTCGGCTATGTCCATGTTGAATGATTTGGGGGTGTTCTTGAGAAAGAATTTGAAGAGAGTGACTCTTTCAGCTTCAGTTTCTGTAGCATTGGGTCTTTGTTATATTTTTCTGAAAGTAACAGCTTTGCCATCTCCAAAACTTGTTCCCTACTCAGACTTGATTATGAGCCTTCACAATGGCAATGTTACTAAGGTTTTGCTCGAAGAAGGGTCTCGTCGGATATATTACAACACGAGCTCGGGAAGTCATGTAAATGATAAATTTCCTGAGGAAAAGTCAACAGAGAGTAATTCTCCAATTGGAACCGGGGGTGATATAACTGAAAAGAAGGAAGTTGTTCCAGCTGGCAAGATGATTGGTGCAAGCATGCCTAAGAAATTGCTGAGAGCACGTGCTGCTATGCCACAGTGGCAATATTCCACTCGGAAGATTGATCACGATGAAAAGTTTCTTCTAAGTTTGATGAGAGATAAAGGAACAATGTATAGCTCAGCCCCTCAGTCGGTGTTGATGTCTGTCAGGAGTACCTTGATAACGATAATATCATTGTGGATTCCTTTGACTCCATTAATGTGGCTTCTTTATCGACAACTTTCTGCTGCTAATAGCCCCGCAAAAAAGAGGCGGCCTAATAATCAGACAGTCAACTTCGATGATGTCGAGGGTGTTGACGCTGCTAAGGTTGAGCTTATGGAGGTAAGCTGTTCTCTCTGGGACATGTATTATTATTGCTTTTTAATTTGGCTTATAATTGGATATTTGTCCACCCTTACTTATGGTGTCGTCATTGTTTTTGTCCTGCTCAGACACCAGTCACAGAACAGAATGGCCTTGATGGCTGTGAGAAACCCTTCATTTCACAATATACTGCACAGGAAAACACAATGACAAGGTTTCACTTGTTCTACAACTGTAGAACGTACACTTCTGAATTGTTCAGCTTGTTTAAATATGTTCCTAAACACAAGATTAAATGGCTTATCCCAAATGGATAACATTGGTGGAGAGCCATTGACGTGATGGCTCTTTACTGAAGGACTTTACAACAGTCTGTTCCTGACAAAAGTTGCTAATGCTAAGTTAATGAGTGGCAATTAAAATATAACAGTTTGATTGACCAGTCAATTTTCAGCATTACATTGTTGATGTCTGGGATCGGAAAGTTAGCATAGACTTGCCTAATTACGCAACTTGGGTATCTAGCTTTTGTTAAACTTGATATATCTAGAGGTGTTCTTGATTACTGTGATCCAGAACACAGGAGGTCAATTTCATTGAGGAGAACTTATGCCATACTTATGTCCATAGATATGGACATTACTTCAAGTTCGTATCCTGATAGACTTGTAACTTGGGGTCTATCTCAAACCAGTGAAAGATGTAAATGAATTTCTTAAGGTTCCTTTTCTCTTTGAAGCTTGATGGTCATTTATACTGACCATCTTTTGGAACTCAAAGCCATGTCTTTGGGTAATGAGCACTCTAAAGTTATGATGGAATGGAACCTATAGAACTTACTTTGGTGCCTTGGATTTTCTGAATGGAGTTAGGCTTGGAGCTCATAGAAGCTTGGTTCCCTTGATGTTCTGTGTTGTTTGTTGTCTTAAAAAGGGATGGAATTAAAGGCTAGTCCTTTTCCATGTCTTTTCTGGTAATTCATGTTGGTTTGACTAATAAACATTCTGGGAAAGGTTCTTCTGTCATTTTGCCCGAAGTGGTATAGTAGCTCATTTACTTGATAGCTTTTATGTATGAAATACTGGTCGGACCTTAAACTTTCCAGACATATCAGTGTTCTCACTGCTTATTGCTTAAGCTACTTACTTGTGGCTGTCTTTTGCTACATGTGGGATCTGGTTTATGTCAAACTTATGTTGTGTCTCATCTGTCTAACTTGTAGATAGTCTCCTGCCTTCAAGGAGCAATTAACTATAAAAGGCTAGGGGCTAAGTTGCCCAGAGGGGTGCTGCTGGTGGGTCCTCCTGGAACTGGGAAGACATTGCTGGCCCGTGCGGTTGCGGGAGAAGCCGGAGTACCGTTTTTCACTGTTTCTGCGAGCGAGTTTGTGGAGTTGTTTGTTGGAAGAGGAGCTGCTCGCATCAGAGACTTGTTTACTGCTGCGAGAAAATGTTCCCCATCGATAATTTTTATTGATGAACTGGACGCTGTCGGAGGAAAGCGTGGTAGAAGCTTCAATGATGAACGCGACCAAACATTGAACCAGGTTACTTAGCTATAGAACTTTTCAGAATATCTTCAGTTATCTTAATTTGCAATTAACACCAGAGAAGTTAAGGGTAGTAAGTATGCTGTCAGGTCAGCTATATGAGGCTGACTTCTAATGTCAAGCTTTCACTGGTGAAGGTGATTAGTCATGCAATACATTGGAAAATGACGAGAGACCCTGTATTGCTGAACTTTTGCTACTCTTGTTTAGTATCATCATTCTTCCATGGGCCTATTGAATGGCAGAATTTTCGTTGTGCAAATATTGGATTCTACATAGAAGTATATTTAGTTTTATTGCTTCCTTAGTTTTAACTGGATTCTAAAGACATTTTATATCTGTAGCTGCTGACAGAAATGGATGGATTTGAGTCAGACACGAAAGTGATTGTTCTTGCAGCAACCAACAGACCTGAAGCATTAGACCCGGCTCTCTGCCGTCCTGGTCGCTTCTCGAGAAAAGTTCTTGTGGGAGAGCCAGATGAGGAAGGAAGGAGAAGGATTTTGGGTGTACATCTGAGAGGAGTTCCTCTTGAGGAAGACATTGAGCTTATCTGTGATCTAGTAGCTTCTCTCACTCCGGGATTTGTGGGGGCGGATCTTGCAAATATTGTGAATGAAGCGGCTCTGCTTGCCGCTCGTAGAGGTGCGTCGAAAGAATTGCTATACAATTTTTGCCATGCTATTGCTTAACCAGATAATCATCTTGAAAACTTTTTTTCAAACAAAAACTGAAGAAGGGACTTTGAAAGTTGAGTAACTTGGCTCAGGCATATTGATTATGTGTTCGTTAATGAAAACTGCTTTTACCTATTTGAAAGCCCTGTTTTTCTCTTTATCTGTTGCGTTTGTCTCATCTCATGAAGTGTGAACACTGAAGTGATGATTAGGGATATATGGTTATCTGGAAATTTGCAGGCGGTGAAACGGTGTTAAGGGAGGATATTATGGAAGCGGTTGAAAGAGCTAAATATGGTATCGATGATAAGCAACTGAGGCCAAATACAATCAGCAAGGAGCTAGGAAAATTGTTTCCTTGGATTCCATCCATGATGGGAAGGAATGACACTAGAGAAGATAAACTTCAAGGTCCCATGGGTTATCAAACTCTAAGCGGATGAAAAAGGGTACCCTTTCGGTCCATTTAGGTACATTTTTTGTTCTATGTAATTTAGTACATAGCATAAATAGGGTTCTCCTCAATTCGGCATACGTAATCTCTTACAACTTTTGTTGAGAACCTTGTAAATAAATATCAGAAAAACACTAATGACCACAATTTCTTTGACCTGGATCACATCTGTAAGAATGCAACATCTTTATTTGTCTTGCAAATACTGTTTCATCTTGCAGCAATCTGTTGTGATCCTCTTTTATTGTATCAATCGCGAACAGACAGAGAAGCCATTGCACTGAGTTTCTTGGACCCTCATATCCTGTATTGGAGGAAGAGACTGCAAGTAAGATGATCCCTCTCCTCTTTTAAGCAGGCTTTTCCACTGGGGAAAATGCGCACCTTTGAGAGGAAATGTGCTTGTGAAGATGATCTGACGATGGAAACCATAATTGCTGGCAGTCGGGTATTCACCTCGCAATTGTGCACCAGCTGCTGTTTGAATGATCTTAAGTGCCTTAAATCTCCTGTTAGTCTTACACCGCTATTGTGAGAATATGGTCTATGATTTTGATCATGAAAGCTTTGTGTAACAAATTACGTGCTCGAGATCCATCCTCTGTCGAGCATGATACTTACATGATGTGAAGCTTTCCTTTCAATGTCTGAGGGTAGCATTGGACGGACTCTGTGAGGAACGGTCCCTAATGGTCGGGGTGTTTCTCAAATTTGTTCCTAGTTTTAGAGTTCGGTTGATCACTCGACATGCTCATGAAATGGCACCTATCAGTTTGGGTAAAGCTGGGACTACATTCCCAACATGACACAGTTTTCATTGAAAACATTATAAAGCCATCTTGCAACCTTTTCTCTTTGTTGTAGCTTGTAACTTGTAGCTTCAAAACACCCTTTGATTTCGAGATACTATGCTTTGTAACTGGAGGTTTCGGAAATGTTCCTTACCATCAGTTTCTTTTTCTTATCATGCAGAAATCTTTTGAGCATATTTTCAGAAAATTCTTAAGTATGATACCTGTGTTCATAGGATTAAAATGTGTTCAAAAGATTTTAGTGTTAAGGATTTCAGTGTCTAATGATTTTAGAGTTATATATAAGGGGAAAAACAAATATTAATGCGACGTGTAAAGTATATCGTATTTATACTCCATTTATTTCGTGAAAATTCGATATTTTTTGAGATTATTTTGCGTCGTTTGAAAAGGAAAACTTGCATTTATTTTCCTCAAGAGAATGCACTATTCGTATTACATAAGAGCTACACATGCTTGCGTATTAAATTATTTGTGTATTTTTCCTAATGGCCCTTAGAAGTTTTAATTTGCTTAACCAAGTCCTTGAACTTGCATGAATTTTCTAACCAAATTCGTCTACTTCCATATCCGGGTAACTGAGCTGACGTATTGGTTGGTACCACCAAGAGTTTCAATATGAAAAAAAATTGTGTAGTAGTTGTGTCGAGAAATCTCATTGCTCATAAGAAAAGTCATAAACTTCAAGTTTAGTGACTTGGTTAGAAAAATTGAAAGTCGAATCACTTGATATTGAAATTCTCGTTGTAGTTGCCTTTTTAAATAGTAGAGATTAAGGCAATTTATTCATAATCTTACCTGATGGGTGGAGGCATATTTCGGTCGGATTAAGTTTCATTGAGCTGACATTCTTTGGATCTTCGATTTTTTCTAATGAGATGATTTCATTACTAACGAGTCTCGAATTTGAATCCTCTACTAATTACAAGTTCATAGAGAGCTGCTCTATTTAAATTCGAGACATAATAAGATATTACAATGTATAAAGAGAGTAAAAAATAAGAGTATGATGCAGCCCATTAATCCCCCGACTTGGTCAACGGATCAAACACATTAATTCGATTCTCTAAACACGAGGGAGATCCTTTGTTAAGATCCTGCATTCATCAACTAGCATGTACAAGTTTTCTATCAACACTCGAGCACAGTAGCTGAATATATGAGCACAGGCTCTGAGATCTTAGGCGCGGTCTTAAGAGACCTAGGCTCGACTGCCAAGGTCTTGGGCTCGGGTGCCAAGGACCCTAGCTCAGGCGCTGCAGACTAGGCCCGGGCCTCGGGGGACTCGGGTTCGACTATCGGGGTCCTCGGACCAAAGTATCGGGATCCCTGGTGCGAGAGTCGGGGTTTCTTGGGCCTAATCGATGGGAATTGGGACACGAGTGCTGGGAACTTAAGAAGTAAAATATTCACTAATGCCGGAGCCTCAGCTCCAAGTGCCGGGGTCTAGTCGTATTTCGTCGGAGAATGAGAAAAATATTTTTCGACACTGCCAAACAAACATACATAGGTTTTGTAAAATTAGGGGAAAAAGAAGAAAGACCGGAGGACTTTTCAAATGGGCCTTGAGAGGAACCATCCGGGAGTGCTAATAAAAACCGCAACTTTAAGGAGCAAAGAGAGAGGAGAGAGGAGACAGTTTCTTCCTCTCCAATTTTTGTTCTCCCAGCATCGTCAGTAGTTACCTCCTCCTCAGTCCAAGAAACTTCCGCTTCCAGATTCTGCCCGGGTATCTCTTCTCCCCTGTAATCGTAATCATCAAGATCGAGAAGCCAAGTTTGTTTCTTTATCATGTTTAGCCCGTGAAATTTGGACGACGCTTGATGCTGCGCGGGGTGTTTCCGTGGGTTGTTTCGGGCGATGACTGAATTTATTCTTCGTTTCTTTGATTAGAATGCACCAGGCGAGAAATGGGCAATTTCCCTTTTACCCCTTTTGATTCCTGTTTTGATTTGCGCCTTCTTCGCACGAACGAAAATTTGCTCGATTCGGTTGTACTGGGTAATCACGCTGGTTGCGCGGAGTGATGATTTTTGGCGAATTTCTGGTGAATTATGAGCGAGTTGTAGCGTAGCGAGTGGTGCGAGTAATTGGATTAGAGAATTGGCATTTGCTGAATATGTTCTTACCGGGATATGATTCGTGTACGTGCTTAGGAGATGGCATTTTCTATCACGAAAGTCTTTTTTAGAATTTGATTCATGGTGATTTGGCGTTGAAATGTTATGTTTCGTGTCGTGTGGGTGTTTGGTCATTGTGAGCTCGCTTTCGATGAGTCGAGGCCTCGGTGCAATTTCTGTTTGTAATGAGAACTACTCGGGGAATGGAAATTGGGAGAGAAGTTTGGAAAATTTGTTTGAAACATTTTTAGCTCCTTTTCCCTACCGTGGGCTTAACTTAGGACAGAAAGTTGAAGTTTGGCTTATTCAAGCAAATGGATACCTATACCTCTGGATCTATATGCATTTCCCGAGCATTGACATCTCTTTAATGATTTGGGTTCAAGACTTCTGTTTGATGAATAATGTCCACAATTATACATTATTTTTAGCCTTCCAAGAGTTGAAAATCTATGGAGAGGTTCTTTCTCTGTCATTGTTAAATTGATATTTTAATTTGCTCTATATGATGTAACCCTTGTTTGACAATCTATGTTATACATTTAGTTATGTCCAAACCAATGAGTTGTATGCATATACTAGCAGATTTTTGTTGTAAGAGCAATAGATAGTTTTTCTAGGAACAACCTGCGAACAGATATTTCTGCGACAACTGCAAATTACACCTGTGTTAATTGCTTTCTGAATGTACCTATGTTCGAACTTCCAACCTATTAGTGCTTTCTTTGGCCCCGTTAAAGGAAAAAAATTATCTGATAGTTGCTGTGCCTGTTTCATTCCTGTGGTTTCTGTGGATGCATAAGTTTCCTTTCTTCTTATTCATCCATCTTTTGAATGCTTCACTTGCTTGGATTGTGTTGTGTTGGTCCTCAAGTGAGGCATTCTTCAGGCTTTTTTTTCATCTATTGCTTAAGTTGTCCAAGCAATTTATAGGAGTTGGAGGGATTATTGGTCTCTCATTAGCATAGCTGCCTTTCATGAAGTGCCCCTGTTATATCTTCTCTGTGCTATACTTTTCTTTACAGGAAATCATAACAATCTGATCAAGAAATGGAAAGCAAAAGCCGCATTCCACCTCCTCATTTTAGACGTCCTATACCAGGCCCCGGCTTGGTGCACACTGAGTCATTTGTGCCGGGAATACGTCGTCCACCAGGTTCATTTTCTCAAGTAGATATGTTGCCTCCCCCCCCAGAAGTTATGGAGCAAAAGCTTGCTGCACAGCATGTGGAGATGCAAAGACTTGCTACAGAGAACCAGAGGTTTGCTAATACACATGGGGCATTGAGACAGGAACTTGCTGCCGCGCAACATGATTTGCAGATTTTACATGCTCAAGTTGGAGCTGTGAAGTCTGAGAGAGAACAGCAGACGAGGAGCCTTATGGATAAGATTGCTAAGATGGAGGCTGATATCCAAGCGGCAGAACCTCTTAAGTTGGAATTGCAGAAGGCTCGAGCTGATGCTCAGAAGTTGATTGTAGCAAGACAGGAACTTATTGCTAAAGTACAACAGTTGACTCAGGATCTTCAAAGGGCCCATGCTGATGTGCAACAGCTTCCTGCTCTGATGTCTGAACTCGAGGGCCTTAGGCAGGAGTACCATCATTGCAGGTACTTACTGAAGGTGTTTTTCAGGTTCATACATGTGCAATTCTAGATAAAGTTTAGTTTATAGACTGACAAATTTATATGTTTACAAGTTTTTTTTCTTGGAGAGTTTGCTCTTTTTAGTGGTCCATCCTTAAGCTGAAACATAGAAGGTGGCCAAGTGCAGTATTGTTAATTTGACAGGTTTTGCAATAGAAAAAGCTATTTCTTCTTAAGCGAACCCGAATTTTAGGCTGGAAAACTCGGTATACCCTGTTACGAAATTGTTCTATTTTCCCCTATTTTCACGATTTCTCCATTTAAGTTCTGATTGGTGTTGTGCGGATAAGGTTTTCTTGATAAACCATTTCTGGGAAAGGTGAAATTGACCATTCTTGCTTGTGGTGATCCATGATTTGGCTTGATCTTCTAATTTTTCTGGCTCATTGACTTCATCTATGATGGTCCTTTCACCATTGTTTTTTGTCCTGATTTTTCAGGGTCACTTACGACTATGAGAAGAGATTATTTGAGGATCACCTTCAGCAACTTCAGGTGATGGAGAAGAATTATGTTACCATGGCCACTGAAGTCGAAAAACTACGAGCTGAGCTTTCGAATGCTGCTAATGTTGAAGGAAGAGCTGGTATCACCTTTGGCAACCTCGATTACTTCTGTTATCATTGTTTTGTAAGATATTTACATGTGATCATAATTTAGTAGGACCACAAGGTGGCCCCAGTGTAAACGCTGGAAGTGAGGTGACTGGAAACTCTTCCGCGCAAACTGCACCTGGTGATGGTTACAGTGTTCCTCAGGTAAAATTCATTGATTTGCTCCTCCAAAATCTCTCTCAATTGCGACATTCTTGTTATGTCGAATTGACTGCATTGGTTCGCTTCCCTTCTTGCCTTGTACACAGGCTGGTGGACCTCCTCCTCCAAATGCGGCTGCCAATGCTGGGGTTAATCCTCCCATCCCTCCCATTCCGCCTGCCGGAACTCCTGCATATCCTGGAGCTCCATCTAGGCCCGCTCCTCTAAGGCACAACCATGATGCAACTGTGGCTGGTTATGGCGCCGAGAGGGTACCCAGTTATGACCCATTCCGAGGCCCCATTTACGATCCACAGAAAGGCGGCTTCAGTTATGATGCACAGAGAGGAGCTGGTTTCGATATGCAGAGAGGGAATTACAATAATGTGTACAAGGCACCTGGTCATGACATGCCGAGTGGACCTTCTTATGATGCTTCCAAGGGTCCACCATATGATGTAAAATCCAGAGGTGCTGCTGGACAGCAGCACGGGCAAGTCCCTCCGGCGAACAATGCGCCCCGTGCATCCTCAACCCCGCCATCTCGCCCTGGTGGTGCTTATGATGCACCGCCACGAGGTGGAAACCCAGCTTGGAAATAGGCTCGAAACATTGCAACCTTGCGGCGGGCCTATTCAATATTCTCGGCGACAGGTCGAATCTTGTGTAGCTCCTTTCCTGGAATATGGATCTCCTTCCTAGAGCATCAAACTACTATTAGTCCCACCATGATGGAGGATGTATTCCTGGTTATGGAACGAGGGGGTTCTTTTGTTGAAAACCATTGTCCCCGATCCGACTCGCATTTTGTAGTGGAAAGAGAAAAAACAAAGATGTCGATTTCGTTTCGCTCGCTTTCTTTGGAGCTCTTTCATAGATGTTTATACAAGCGAAAAAGGCTAGCTTCTCTCGTTGATTTGCGGTATCGATTGAGCCGAGCCCTTCAATGTGCAAGTGCTGGGAGTCTAACCGTACTTCCTCATGTGCTAATGACGAGATCATTAGGCATTTCGAGAGCATCACGTCCAATGTACTTTGCGTCTCAAATCTGGTTGCTGTTCGTGCGATCATCATCGAGCTCTGATTAATCTGGTCAGCAGGTCTTGAGTTCTAATTCTTTCCTAGGAAGAACAACTCCAAACCAACCTTCATTAGCAATATGAGGAGTCGGCCCTCTAAGACTATAAAGAGTCCTATTGATCATATGAAATCGCGCATCGCTCGAATATCAATAGAAACGAGATTAAATAATCTGTTAAGTGTTTTGATTATAAGCTAACCAAATAAGTCAATTAACTCAATTTTCTACCCCAAAACTAAACATTTTCAGCGGTCAAAGAATTTGGTGTAAAGTCAACGGTCCGTCAAATTGCCAGTGGGCTCTCGGAGCAAAGCCCATGGGCTCGTTCTCGCCGTTCGGCCCGGTTTAAGGTCCGAACCGCGACGTCGTTTTTGCCCACGATATTCTCTTCTCATCGGTAAGTCCTGCCCGAGCGAGCCAGGAAGTCAGACGGGACAGTCATCATCAACACTCCGCGATTCAAAACTTTTCGATTTCGCGGCAAAAACGTCTTCGTCTTCGTCTCCATGGCGCACGAAGGTTCTGCAGATCGCACTCATGGTGATTGCTTTGCTTCTTAGGGTTTGCGCTCGGGCTTTCTCGTTCCTAAGAACCGCCCTCTTCTCTAGATCATTTTGCATCTGTGGATTCGATTTCTCACGCCGTTTGATCGAGCGTAAATGGAGTCATCCGGTCGGTGGATGTGCTGTGACACGGCCTCAATCGGAAGCTGTGATGCTCCTGAATCGGCTTGTCTGTTTATCGCGTATTCCTTGATTGTTAATTTTTCCTCGCTTTGTTGTCTCAGGGATTGGTCCGGTCCGGGGCATGGAATCGGTCGTGGCTACGGTCAGTGGGTACCATGGTTCGGAGCGCTTCGATCTTATTAAGCTGATTTCTTCGACCGGAGCTAGCTACGTCGGGGCCATGTCGAGCTCGACCACGCATTTGGTGAGTTTTAAGTCCCCCGATCTCGGAATTTGATTATCCGCAATCGTTTGGTGCCTGGCTGGCTGGATGCGATGGAAATTCCGGTTGCGAGAGGATGGCATGGAGTCGTAGACTGACTTGTGATTTGGTCTGTATCGTTTGTTCTGGGTCTGGATGAACAGGTTTGCAGAAGATTTGAAGGGCAAAAATATGGTCTTGCCAGGAAGTTTAGGACGCGTGTAGTCAATCATCGGTGGGTGGAAGAGTGCATAAAGCAAGGAAAGCGTGTTCCGGAACATCCCTACACATTGGAAAGGTGTGGATCGGTAGTCAATTTTAGCTGATGTAGGCATGAGAATATGAGATACTGCCTACAATTTTCTGCCATTTTGATTTGTTATTAGATTGATCCGGATGTTTTTGTTAAAACTTGCCTGCCACAGTCAATTAAGCTCAGAGATTCCCTCTTGGTCGCCATTGTGGACATTAGATGTGTCCACTTCCGAACATCACAAAGAAGGAGATTTCCTTAAATGAAAATTTCGTAATTCTCCTTAAGATAGCTCTAGATGTTGGTTAGCATGGCCTCTGGTTGAGGGAAAATGCATGCACTAGATGGAATTATGCCCTTTTCAAATGAGGACTTTATTGTCCCAAAACATTGAGGGAGTTTTTGGTTAGTTTGGCAATTTCCTTTTCATGATGAGCTTCTCAATCAGGTATTTCATGGGACATTCTTCATGTATAGAATTCGGGAACAGTCTGCACTTTTGAATATAGTCTGCTATGATAGATAATGTGGCATAGCAATGTCGTTGGGTCCAAGTATACCGGTTGAGGAGCAATCCTAGCAAATCTGGACCGGACAGAGGGGGCGAATTGAAAAACAAGAAACACACATAGGTACACAACAGTTTCAGTTGGGTGTTGGTGTTGCAACTTGTCTGTGAACCTCACAAGCATAGTTATGGGATGAAAGTCCGAAGCAAAATTAATATTTTGTATCAGCTATTTTGCATTATATAGAAACTTGAACACGATACAAGCTATTTCATTTAACATGAGCCTATTTGATACGCCCTGATTTCTCCTTTCTGTAATGTTTGTGAGGTGTTAAAAGAATTATTGGCTTGAGTTTGCTTTCCGTTTATGAAAAGAGGAAGTTCTTTAAGTTTGCTCAAATAATCATAGTGGCTTTGCCATCCATCTATTCTATTTCTTTCTTTTCTTTTCCTGCGATAGTTACTAGGGATGAAAATAATGTTGGCTGATTTATGTTATTTTTCTGACTCAAAATGAATGTCCTTGGCACCTTTGTTTTATCGTCTGTAGAAGTCATTGTCTTCTCCAAATTATTGCAGAGAATTCGTTATCTTAGCTACTTGCTAATCATGTTTTTGTTGTTAAATTACAATGTGATGATGCTGATGAATATTATGTAGTGGGGAAGAAGCGGGACCATTGTTGTCACCAGTCCCAGTAAATTCTAAGCCATACATCACGGCAAAGAAGCATAAAGTGCTTTTTGATCGGTTGAACTTTGCCAGTGCATCAATGAGACAAATAGCTGATTCAGCTTTTGAAGATAACAGAACTGATGTTTGGACTGACTCTCATTTGTTGAAGGAGGTTTGGCCCAGACTGCATTTTGAATCTCGTGTTTTGCTTCTTGAAATTCATCATGTCCTGCAGTTTTCATATACTTTTCCATGGTTCTGTTGTGTGGATAACTTGGCTTTGCCCTTGGTTGCTGCATTTTGTGCGCTTTACCTCCTAGTTCATCAAATTGACTCGTATCATCCATTGACTGTAATGGGCTGATGATTTCATCTCTCCTGCTCCTGTTTAGTATTATGCTTTAGCTTTCAGTCTCTTAGACAATGACCGGTATATGTATGATGTGTTCTATATATTCTGTATAAAAGGCCCTTGCAGTGACCATTCTTAATAGCCAGTACACAGAATCCTGATCTGTCTGGGTTACGCTGGTGTCATAACTTATGTTCATACTAGACTTGGCTAATCGGACAGACATCCTGATGCTCATGAATTTTGCACTTGGTTGAGAAAATGATGTTCTTTGACAAGTTAATTGTTATATGTAGTAGCTAAGATACTTTCGATGTAATGATTTGAGATCAAACTGATCTGTTTGCTGCCATTCTAGTTTCCATGACTCACCGGATTTGTATACTTTTGTTCTACCCTCGGTATGACATTCTGAATACTTTCATTGACGCACTCATGAAATGTACAACTAGAAAAAACCAAGCCGTAAAACTTCATGTTGTCAGAATTACGAAGATCAAGTTTTACTGAACTGACAGAGAGACTTTATATCTTGTACAAAGAAGCTGAGATTCTCTCCCTCAAGACGCAGGTAGAATAGGAGACAGCATAGCATAGTGGAACTCAGCCTAGATAACATTTCCTTTTGGATTTTCAAAACGCGAATACATAATGAGTTGCAAAATTCTCACTACCAAGGTTTCCCTGGATAAGTGCTTTGATTTTGTATAAAAAAGCTTATGTTAAGTATTTGAGCATAATTTCTTTTAACTTTTCCTCCTTTTCAGTTTGTTTTGTTTTCCAGCCATCAGAATCAAACTAAGCATCCAACAATTTGTCCATCTAGTAAAATGATTTTTCTTGTGTACTACTCATACTCCTAAGGTGAAGTATTTCAGCAGCATGAGATGAATTTTGTCAGTCTTCTGAAATCATGGGCCAGGTTTTCAAGTTAGTTTTACTGGTTTTTCTCCACAGATTTTTCTTTTGCCTTTTTTTTTTGTTTTATGATAGATGCTTATTCTGCTGAAGTCAGATTGCTACTAATGAGCTTTTACCTCCTCTATGTTGTGAAGTGTCCAGAGTTGAATCGGTCATCTAAAAGGTCGTTGAGAGGAAAAAGAATCATTACTCTGCATGAAGAGTCACATCTTAGTCCATCAATATGTCTTGGGAGAAGAGAAATGAAGTCATTCAGTGGCAATGGAGATTCTTCTTCGGCTGAATCTGCTAAAAGGGGCAGAACTTTGGTGAAAAGGAATGCTAAAAGAGAGACTTTGCAGTTAACTGCGTCAGATTCTGACCAGGAATGCTATGTAATTGGAGTTGATGACAAACACAGGGACATAACATCTCCATCTGAACATTTGAATGGTAAGTTTGTCAGTACCAGAAAAGGAGGGACACGAAGTGGATCATATGGGCATGAGGGAGCAATAAATGGCATTATTGAAGATTTTGATGAGATTCAAGATTGGAATCACGATCACCGGCCTTCTCCCAAGGAATCAATTCTAAAGGATTTACCGGATGCCCTTGAAAGAGTTTCTAAAGATGAACAGAATGGAGAGAAGTTAAGTATTGAGATCGATGATGTGGGCCAGACTGATTATGTTAACAAGTTACCGTCATCAGCAGAGTTATCGTGTGTTATATGTTGGACGGAGTACAGTTCAACCAGAGGGATACTACCATGTGGACATAGATTTTGTTATTCATGCATTCGGAACTGGTCTGACCATATGGTATGTGTTCTTTTGGTGTCATTTTTTACATTTCCCAAAATAGTGATTGCCCTAAAAATTGCATTGGTACTTGAACATCCGCTATTGTGACAAAAGTCTTTCTGATAGTACATGGGTGCATGTTGCTGGCCGGAGGTAGAGCACTCAAGGGTGGTCCCATTATGCCTTACCAACCCCAGGGAAACTCCGAATACAAGCCGAGATTGTTTATATAGATATCTTTGAATATCTGTCTTTGCACTTCGGGTTTTATATGTCAGGTCCTTCTAGTTTGTAACCTACAAGATTTGGTGGAAAATAGTCATTTCGATACCTCTTTAGTTTTCCTCACCAGGTACTGTCATTGGATAATCATGCATTGACTCGATATAATATATTCTATGTCGTACTGTGAAGTTTGGTAGAATACATTTGCAATCAGTTGGCACTGGTATGCTGCATTACACCTGGCCTTCTATCTTTCAATATATGTTGAAGTACAAATGATTGTATTTTCCATCTCTCTTAAACTACTTGTTTGTTTTTCCATGGCATTAACTAGTCAAATGTCACTTGCAAATCTGAATTTTGTATATTGGAGTAACAGAAGAAGAAGCTGAACCTTATTATAGAAGTTTCTAAAACTAGCTGTTTGTTGCTTATTTCGGGAACAAGTATCCTTTTTCTGACGGAAGTTTTGAACTTGCTTAAGCTGCTTAAGTTGCATCTTAACTATGCTCCTTGGTTTGAGTTGAAAGTGATCACAATTTAGCAAAACTGTGTTTGCAGTCTTCAAGGAGAAAGACTTCAACTTGTCCCCTGTGTAAGACGAGTTTTGTTAGCATCACAAAGGTGGAAGATTCTTCTGGTTCAGAGCAAAAAATATACTCCCAGACCATTCCACATGACCAATCAACTAGCGAAGTCTATGTTGTGACTGATCAAGAAAGAACGAGTTCTAGAGCCGAGGTACTTTTTAACTGTGTTGCTTTGTCCTGTTTCTGCATATTCATTTGACAGTTACTGACACTCCTTGATGAGTCCATGTTTCACATTTTTTGGTCTGTTATAAGAGTACCGTCAGTTCCTTGGGGTCATTTCACAAAACTTATCTTTGCTGTTCCAAAAGAAAAAAAAAATAACGAATGAAGGATGGGTGCTAGTACTTGGAAGCTTATCTATCAGTAATCATGCATATGAGGTTAGAGAATGATTTTTTCCGTAGATGTTTAATGTGGGATAATAAATCAGGTCACACTACAGTTGCATGCATAGAAGTTTAGAACATTGCGCAGTTGAATTTGGGAAGTGTTGTTTAATATCATTTGCTGATTCTAAGTTGAGGTGCCGAAGTTTCTCTGAAATGGTAGAGCACCCTTCAGTGTCTTAGTATAGGTCTATCTTGCTCCAAGGGCATGCTAGACTTGATGACCCAGACAGAAGGAAAAGGAAATAAAGATGCTCCTGTTTCCTTTTCTTTTCCTTTCAGACAAACGAAAAAGGAAATAAACATATATATCGAAACAAAACATCAATCGATGGGAGATAAAAGATAGAAGAAATGGAAATAAAAATGCATCAAGTTTACATGGATAAGTTCTGGAATTAGGAATCATTAAGATCGATTACCACTTGAGGGCTTTTCAGCCTAGCAATTGTGGGAGACTCGCTTTAATTTAGTACTAACATTTCAAGTCCTGCGTGTCTGAAATTACCAACCAGAGAAAGCTGGTAGTTCCTTTCCTCTCATCATCTGAAATACTTCTAAATTTCCTGTTTGGGTGGATCAATAATTCTCTCCTCGAACTTTTCTATATGCCGATTACATGTCCAACTTTTCTTATCTGTGCTTCGCAGTCATTTGGAGCGCAAGTTTGTAGCGAATGTCGCTCTTGTGAACCAGAGGATCTCCTCATCAGTTGCCACCTGTGTCATACCCGTTGCATTCATTCCTACTGCTTGGATCCCCCTTTGCTACCGTGGACATGCGTTCACTGCAAGGATCTCCAGATGCTTTTCCATCTTCCCCGCTAGCATGTATTTCTCATTTTTCATGCATTGTCAAACTCAATTGTTGAATGACTCTTCTTGATAGTTATCTGATAACCACAAGCCAATTCGCTTGTGCCAACTTTCAATTGAAGTACCTTCCTTGGGATGACTAGTTTGTAATTTGTGCTAGTTCTGTTGTGAGAGCTGCTCTCACTGATCATCTCAATACCATGAATAAAGTTTTGTGCAATTTGACAGTTTGCTATCAGGTTATCGATAGAAATTGTGTTGATACATCGGCACGCTATCATTTTTCTGAGGTTCCACTCCATTGGTGGGGTAAAAAAGTATTTTGCACTAGCGATATTTTTTTGAGATTTGAAAAAGTTATAATCCTCAAATGAAAAGGCGGATAAGGCTGCTTGTGTATCATTTTCTTTATACTAGCGGTGCATGCTATATTTTTCCATTAATTAATCTGTGTAAACAGGTCTCTTTGTGAAACTCATGGTTTCAAGTTTTCCATCTTTTTTCGGCTTGACCAACTCTAGTGATCCATGATAGATTCTTGCTCTAAAAGAAGAGAAGTTCCTTCCCCCACCAAATTGGGTCCCATTGTCCATAAGCTTAAACTAGGAAAACTAGGCAAAGAACGCAACGATAACGGCTCGAACTAAGCTTCCTCTTTCGTGATAAACGCTAACTCCTCTGAAAAAAAAACTACCAAATCCATCCTTCTTTCTTGATCATGAGATTCAAAAGGATCGTACAGACACGACTGTCGTGATCGACAAAACCAATCACAATCGAGAATGCTTCCCATCTGTTGAAACTAGGAAGTATCAAGATCAAACCATGTTTTTTTTTTTTTTTTGGGATCAAACCATGTTGTCTTGCGACATCCTTGTCATCTTGTCCTTGGGAGGACCCCGGATTGCAGAATTATTGAGAATATTCTCCGAAAAAGCAGAGTATAGTTTGTGCGTCATATGCTTTTGTACTGTCCCTGTCGTCTCTGCTCGACGGTGGTGGAAAAATCAATTTGGACTTGGGGAAATTCTCACAAAAGAAGCCTTCCCAACCAGACCAATCCAGTCCAATGACGTCCACCCATCGAACAAGTGGGACTCTGCTTTGTTACGTGCATCCAATTTGCCACATCACCAATTCACTATCTGCTCCCACTCCTCCTTTTGTCCTTTCTCTATCTTCTCAAAAGCTCGCGTCCTCGCCAGAGAGCCGAAAGTGGCATAGTGCATATTGTCGACAACGCACGGAGAAAGGGAAAGAAGATAGAATTTTTCGCCTTCGTTTGTTTCGTTGAAAATGACCGGATTTAAAAAAATATTTTTCAAAAAATAATCATTTATATTGTTTACGAAAATGAATGAGTAAAATTCTTTTTTCGTGATTTGCAAAAATATTCAAACATAAATTATTATCAATATCGATAATATTTTTTATTGACTGATTATTTCAAGCGATGCGAGCAATCATTTTTGGGAAAATATTTTGCAAAACAATCATTTTTCCCGAAACAAACGAAGCTTTCATATTTTCATCGCACGACCGATACGATATAGCCCGTCGAAATCTTACTTTAACGAATGTCGTGCGTAAATTTTGCAAATTTATTTTTTTTCCGATTCATCGGCTTCTTCACACACGTCATTGTCGCGTGGCATGAATGCCATGTAAAATATCTTTGAAGAGTTTGTTGATGGAAAGCAATTTCCATTAAAGGAAGTCCCCAGCAAAGGCAGCTAGGCTTATCCCCAGGTCAATTACAGCTTTTGTTTTGTGGATGAGGATAAGAGAAGATGCATGGAGGATCTACCAGGCTTATGCTTGTCAAAGCGTGGAAGGAAAATACCCCACAAAGCATGGAAAACGTGTGCAGCTAGGTTGTGCACGTATCTTTCGTTTGACAGTGCCGGTCGGAAAGATTTTTTCCATGACTTCGGACAAAAACTGAAATGCAACCTTTGGTCGATGTGTACCTCATTGGTCCTAAAGGATCCGAATTTATCACATCACCTAGAAAGTAAGGCTCGAGAGTTCTTTTTCCCGAGGTCACAAGGTAACTATTCGACGCGAACCAAATCTATCGGTTGCGGCCGGATTCAAGTGCAAAGCCTAATGTCGAGCTCGAGCTCTTTTTCCCGGGGTCACGATGTTACTATTCGATGCGTCAAGGCGAACCAAACCTATCGGTTTCGGCTGAATTCAAGTGCAAAGCCTAATGTCGAGCTACCGTAGCAGAAGATGACCCGACTCCGTACACTTTGAAATCGGGTCGACCGGATCATCTAGATCATCATTAGTGCCTAATTACATTCTCCAAACTATACTTTACGTTCTTGCGATGCACGGCTTATGAACGAGAGATTGGAGGTTTTCTTATAGGTTCGTTGCCTTTCTCCACGGCTGCATTAACTTTCTGTGCGTGCAATTACTACCGACCAACAGCTCCACCTATCCTCATACCCCTCGAACGGTCGGCGCGCCACTCGTAGTTGTCCCTCCTAGGCTCCTATCGTGGCGTCGCGACCAGAAAGATCGAGAGAAAACTACTCTTATGCTTCGTCTTATTGCAACCTGAACGTCGCGCGAAGCTCGAATTCGAGTCGGGCAAAATCACGGCCTCGAGAAATCTTTATACGTACTGATAAGAAGCACGACATTCCTTCGCCAAAGAAACAACAAGAAGTATTACTGGAGGGGGATGATTCAAAAGGCGTAGCTTTTGGTCTTGGGAGAGTCGGCGATCTTGAGGGTCTCCTCGATGATCTTGCGGGCCTTCCTGCTTCTGATCTCCACCCTCATGCTGTCGCTCTTCTCGATCTTGTCGTAGAACGGCTTCTTCATCTTCAGCGACCGCAGCTTCGACTTCAAGCTCCCCATCAGCCTCTCGATGCCCAACATCACCATTGCCCAGTTCCCGCACCGATGGACCTGCTCCAAAACCGAGAGAGAATTGAGAACACCGGAGCCGAAAACGTCAAGATCGTTAACATGAGGAAACAGAGCCAGTTCTTGGGTACTTACAGAGAGAGAGAGAGAGAGAGAGAGAGAGACAGGGAGGGGATGAACTGGGTTTGAGTTTCGAGTGTCGCAAGAGAAGCAAGCAAGCAAGCAAGAAGGAGATAGAGCGAAGACGAAGGGGATGAGAGAGCTAGGCTTTGTGACTTCAGTGGATGCCTTTTGTGTTTTGTGGCCTTTATATTATCTTTCCCCTTTTTTTTTTCTTATTGATGGGCACTGTTCTCATCCTTATATGACTAAAAATCCACCCGGTTTCACCAAAACAAGATAAAATTGTCCTCACTCATTCAATTGCAATTAAAAGTGGCGGTCTCAAATTCATTTGCTTTCCTTATCTTTACTTATCATAGTCAAGAATTTCGCGTGTTTAGTTTTCATTTAATTATTGCAGGTTCCCCATGTAAATTGAAGGCACTATGTTTATTATTTTATTGTTAGATATTACTTCCATAAAAGTTCGTTCCGTGAAAAGATAGATTTCCAAGAAACCTAGCTCTTTTCTACGTCATCGAGCAAAACTGTGGATAAATTGTCCAGTAGGGGATAGAACAAATTTAAAATAGACAACTTTTTAATACATTGACTTGTTTATATATTTTTCATTTTTGTTGTGTATATCACCATCAAATTCCTTCTTGGGATGATCACATGAAGAAAAAAAACCCTCTTTGAAGATTTTTCCAAAATAAAATCACCGTACATTCTCCAACGCGAAATTTTAGAAGATAAAATTTAATTAAATCAAAACATTGCATAAAATAAGGATTTTTTCTTGAAAATGCCAGTGAAATATCATTATTTGGATTGACAAAAATTAATATCATCCTGAACTCTTTATGAAAAAAATATAAAAATGCCTTATTGTATATAATGGTTTTAGGTATTCCTAGATATTACTCTATTGTCATACATGTGATGAGAAAATTACAAAAAATTCTAAACCTATTACACTTTTGGTAATTTAATCATAAATCTTTTAATTGTGCCATGTGAGTCCTAAACATTTTTAGGTTTTCCTATTAAGTCCATCCTACCAATTTTGGCAGAAAAATCGCTGACTTGGATGCTAGCCATCCTACGCATCACGGCCGGCACTAATGTGGACAAAATTTTTATTTTTCGAATATTTTATTAATATTTTTCTTTTCTTCTCTTTTCCTTCTTTTCTTGTTTTTTTTTTTATTATTGTGGCCAGTGAGGGTTGCCAGGCCCTCGCTCGCCGCCGGTGAGGCCGGGTGAGAGCTGCAACCCTTGCTTGGGCCAGCAACTAATGAGGGCCTGGCGACCCTGGCCGGCCATAGTATAAAAAATTAAAGAAGGAGAAGAGAAGAAAAGAAAAAAATTAATAACAGTTTGAAAAGAAAATATTATTAAAATTCTTCCAGTCGGCACCAGCTATGTCACATAGGAATATCTACATCAGCGATTTCAGGTCAAAATTGGCCAAACTGATTCAATTAGTAAAACATGAAAATATTTAGAACTCAGTTGGTAATAAAAAAATTTAAAACTAAATTGACACAAGTACATACATTTATGACCTTTCTGGTAATTTTCTCCATGCTCCGTACCTCCCTAATATAGTAAGGAGAAAAGATAAATTCATTAATATAGTAAATAAAGAGATTTGATATAGATTTTAGACTAATGAAATTAAAAAAAGAAAGCGAGCTTTTGAGATATGATGGACAGATAATAGATAAGTTGTTATAAGATCAATGATGAACAAAAGACTTTTCAATTTATTACTATATTTAATAAGTTCTGTTTTCATTACTATTGGCGATATAGTTTTACATGAAGCATGTAAAACGTTATAGGAATATCTAAGAATACATTTTTTCTTTAATACACTAAAAAACAAAATATGTGAAATGCTTAATTATGCTAACCATATCCTAAATAGAAAAAGAAAAAATAGAAAAAAATAGTAGTGGAACCATCACTTTAAATTGCAATTGAAAAATTGGTGGCACTTTTGTCTTTTTAGTGTAATTGGGGTGGATTTAGTCATTTGGGGGTGAAAATAGCGACGGATTTTCTTATTTTTCTTATTTTGTTTGGCCCTTTTCTTGATTACTTTTATTCTTTTGTTTTTTTCATGTGTGGTGGGAGCTGAAATTCCAATTTCCCATTTTGCATACGGTTTCCTTTATCTTTGGACCGAGCTATATGCATGCACATTTCACGTGCTACCTCTTTCCTAATACCTTTTGTTGCCGAGAGAATGGGTGAATTGGGCAGTGGCTATGTTTTCGAATAAAGAGTGATATAAAATCTAGGAGTTTTGTTATATCCTATCTATTGTTAATGAATCACAATAACAAAGTTAAATATTTTCATCTCCTCTTGTTTAGTATAACCTGTCATATCAGTGTAAATGCATAAACGAAAATGGTAAGAATTTCTCACAATCACTCCTAAAAAAATGGGAAATGGATGAATGGAGACAACCTCCTGATTACTGTACGATCTAAACCTTAAACATCAAAGGATTATATTGCAGCATTCCAAAGCTTACAAAATCGACTATGATAAGAAATTAAGAGGCTAACATGGTATCAACGAGATATATTAGCCAAAAAATGCCAGATATTGTATAAGAGAAATTATGATCGTTCTCTTCGCGATTTCGAAATATAGTGCTTTTACTCTTTCGCCGCTTTTGTGATACTTTGACGTCAATGCTAGGGCTATGGAGGAGAGGGAGCTTCAATTCTCTTGTTGCTTTCGTGAAACTTCGATGTCAACCAAGGAGCTGCGGAGGAGAAAGAGGTTAGACTCTCTCGCCCCTTTCATAAAGTTTTGACGTGAACCAAAGAGCTATAGAGGAGTCGAGAAGCTTTAATGTGAATTAGAGCTAGAGAGGGAAGGAGATTGAGAAGGTAGATTTTTTCATAAAATAGCTTTTATACTAATGGACATAAAAAACACTTTTATCGCACTCTTACATGAGATATTTATATCAGGCTATTTTTTTTTCTTAAATTCACCTGGGGGAAATTGTTCAATCAGTCATAAACTTATTGTACATATGTCAATTTGGTCTTAAACTTTTCAATTTTTTCAGTTCAGTCCTAAACCTTGCACAAAATTCCTATATAGTCCTTTCGATTAATTTTCGCTAGAAAATCATTAACGCAGCAACGTGGCAGATAGGATAGTCGACGATGACTGGATCGCTGCATCAGTGATTTTCAGCGAAAATTGACTAAAATGATTATATTGAAATTTCGCGAAAAACTTTAGAAAAAAATTAGTAAAATTAAAAACTTTAGGGACTGAATATATTTAGCTTTATTCTGTCTTGGACAGTAACCAAATACAGAATAGGATGAAAACTATCACATCTCGACTTTTATCCTAACTACTAAATGTAGACTTAATCTTTGGGATGTTAGACGAATTTTGTCACCAACGGTCACATGCCGGTGATTGATGACAATTATCAATGACTTCCACGTACTCCGATTGGTTGTAAACTGTAACTTCGACATGTCAGTAAGAGAATGCAAGGCTAGGCCCGATAACTTTCCAGTACCAATTTGGCCCATAGAGTTTTCCTTTTGGGCCATTATAGGCCCACATCAAGTTTAGCCATTTAAATTCATAGAACAAAGACTGAATTTTGGGTTACCAAAGTTCACAGTTGCGGGGGAAATTTGTTCAAAAAAGTTCTAAACTTATTGCGTTTTTGCCAATTTACTCCTAAACCTTTTTCACATTTTGCCAATTGAGTCAATTTGGCCAATTTTAGCCGGAAATCGCTAAAATGGACGCCAACTGTTTTACGTGATTTGAGCGGTGCTGATGTGGATCATTTTTAATAATATTTTTGTTATCATTTTCGGTTGTCTTTTATCTTTTTTTTTTCTTCCAAGTCTTGATGAGGGCCGCTGGTCATAGGCGAGGGTTGGCTGGCCGACCGACCCTTGCCAGCCACTGGGCAAGGCTCTAGCCCTTGCCTGCGACAAGCGAGGCTTCGCGGCCCTCGCCTAGTGGCCGATGAGGGTCAGCCGGTAACCCTCACCAAACTTGATAAAAAAAAAAGAAAAGAAAGAAAAGAAATAAATAGTAAAACAATTAAAAAAAATTGTTCAAATCAGCACCGACCGTCCTACGTGGCACTATCAGCATCTACGTAAGTAATTTCCAGTTAAAATTGGCTAGATGGACTAAATTGACATTTTATGAAAAGTTTTATGACTTAATTGACAAAATTGAAAGGTTTAGGACTGAATCGGTAAAAATGCAATAATGTTAGGACTTTATAGACAATTTTCCTCACTTTTAATGACGTAAACATTTAATAAAACATGCCAACGCATGACTATGCTCTAGAAATATGGTCCTTATTGATTATTGATTATGTTGGAAAAGTGATTAGGAGGGCATGCACTTGATGATAACTTTAAATTTGGGTTGTGCTCGTCCTTGTCCTTGACATGCTGAAAATGAACTATATTCTCAGTTTCCCACGCTCGATTTAATCGCACGCCTAAGAACGTTAGTGCAGCTAATCGCGACATCCTTATCAAAGTATTCTCATGACATATACGTACACGCCCCTTCTTCCCTCATAGAGCCGTGTATCTGTAGGTTATCCGGACGCATCTCATCTATCGCATCGCGAGTCGATGATCGTAAGTCTGTGGAGCTTATTTAGCGGCCTATTATTAGCTGAAACGATTTAAATTCGTACACAACCTTAATGGCGAAGAATGCTACCGTTAACTAACACACAACGTAGGAAGGGGACCATCGTGTAGGGGACCTTTTCAATGACAACATTAAAAACCCTACAAACTTACATTGTCCCCTCCGATTCATAAATCCGATGCCTATGAGACTCTTTATGCTTTGGCGACATTGATTTCAAACGACTTGCCCTGAACTTCGATTGATTTACTCAATACAAGAAATGGGATAGTGGTTGGCATGTTGATGCACCTTGGAAAATCCTCTGTCACGTTCTTTCAAAAGTTTATTGCGCACCTTCATAAGGTATATATGCACGCACATGCACATTGAAAATCACCCAAATCCTAAATCTATTATATAGATACCAATTCAGTTATAAACTTTTCAATTTTGTCAATTTAGTCATAAAACTTTGCGCGAAATTTCAATATAGTACTGACGGCCAATTTTCGCTAGAAATCGCCAACGTGACGGTCCAGTCATCGCCGGCTGTCCTGCGTGACATACCATCACGTCGGCGATTTCTTGGGAAAATTGGCCAAAAGGAGTACGTTGGAATTTTGCGCAAAGGTTTAAGACTAAATTGGCAAAATTGAAAAATTTAGAACTAAATTAGCATCCGCACAATAAGTTTGGGACTAATTGGACAATTTCCCCCCACATGTGCGAGCACAAACCCGAACCTTCTATCAACATATTAAAGCCGTTCCTGCCAAAAGATACGATCATGCCGACTTGGGCTAGCCGAGAATTATTTCGGGTTTTAGATTTCTTTATAACCTCTCACCGAGGGCGAAAAAGCGGGCCTATATTACACGACCTATCCTATTCTATCGTATTGAATTTTCCTTAACCTAACCTAATTTATGTCGATGTGAATGGAGCACCCTCTAGTTGGTGAGAGGCACCTCTCGAAGCCTGGAATTATTTGGCGCGCGGGGCGCACGTTATTTTCGAATGCAGACATCAGTCAGCTCTCAAGACAAAAACTGCTCGTTAAAAGAAGAAGAAAGTCAAATAAAAGTCGGGATCAAGCTGCTCTCCCCAGCTGTACTAGTCTAATGAGCTGATTTGCTGTGAGTTCTTTTGCATTTGTGTCTCCCTACCGACCACGTCAATCTTTTAGCATCCCTTGATGTCGTGACATATCATGGATTTTAATAGAAGTGTTCGAAGATAAAATTTTTGGGACGTGATTGTTTCGTGAAAAATGAATGATTCGGAAAACTTTTCTTAGAAAAAAATCGTTTATATCGCTTACAAAAATAAGTGCGCAAGAAAAGTTTTCTTCATTCACAAAAATATTTAGACATGATTTGTTGTCGCTTTGTTGTCGATACAAAATGACCATTTTTCAGGTAAATATTTTCTAAATCATTCATTTTTCGTGAAAAAAAAAGAGCATAAGAGAACCGGTAGTTTTTAAACTCTCATCAATCATTGATAACCTCTGTAGGTAGCTAGTGATGGTGTGGTGTTTGCCCAAAAAATGAGTTTACCCACGACTTCCTAGCCGTCACCAATTTTACCTTGTACTAGACAATCTCACATCATTGGTGAATTTAAAGGAGTAGAGTCAAGAACAGATGGTGTTGTTTCCTTTTCTGATTAGATCTTACAAGTACCCACGAATATATATAATAGGATTCTTGAGAGAAGGAAGACCTTCATGCAATTGATCAGTGATAAACTATAGGTTATAATAAAATATATACGGGGTCATTAAGCACAGCTTGTCCTGTGTGTGTATGATAATTATATAAATTATCATCATTTGTTTTTTTCTATATGATTCTTTGTTCAGCCTGTCGACAAAGACCCCTAAATAAATTATCACCACCTCGTTCATCAAAATCACTCCAATGTGGTCATAATCATTCATCCCCATGCTCATACAGTTCCCCATCTCTAGGCCTCTCTCTCTGTCTCTGTCTCTGTCCCTCTCTCTCTCTCTCTCTCACTATCTCTCTTCACAGCAAAAATGAAAGGAGAGACACAGTCGCACAACCACAGAACCACCCCGAAGATAGTCCTCTTCGTCACCATCCTCTTTGCCCTCCTCATCATCATCTCCCTCTACAACCCTTTCCTCTCTCAGCCCCTCCCCCTCCTCTCAAGTAGCTCCTCCTCCTCACCCTCCTCCTCCTCCTCCTCCTCCTCTTTTTCTTCCTCCGTGGACGACGCGGTTGTCGTCCAAGAAGAAGATGACCCTGCCGTCAGCTCGAGAACGCCAGAGATCTGCGACATATTCACGGGGGAGTGGGTGCCGAACCCGAGGGCGCCCTACTACACGAACAAGACTTGCTGGGCGATCCACGAGCACCAGAACTGCATGAAGTACGGGCGGCCCGACACCGAGTTCATGAAGTGGCGGTGGAAGCCGGACAGCTGCGAGCTCCCCATCTTCAACCCAGCGCAGTTCCTGGAGCTGGTGAAGGGCAAGTCCATGGCTTTCGTGGGCGACTCTGTGGCTAGGAACCAAATGCAGTCCATGATCTGCCTCCTTTCTAGGGTACGTACACAGTTCACTAAACTACACCTCGCTTTTCTTGGTTTCTTCTTGACCCCATTGATATGCATCTCGGTACTTGCTACTTTCGTTTCAAGAGTTGCATTGGGTTCATTACTTCTTTTTCTTTTTTTTTTAAATTAGCACAACGATAAAGGGTTTTTTCAACTAGTTTACATGGGTGGATATCAATATGATAATCCAATTATTCCTTACCATAAATTACATGTGACCAACAATGATTAAAATGAAATTCAATGATTCCTAATTATGTCGTTCAATCTTTTGGTGCAATAGATCTGGCTGCTTCTGGACCGACATTATTGGTTAGCTGTCCTATTAAGCATCTTAGAGGGGCGTAAGGCGACTGTGTGTGTTTAGAAGTTTGAGCATTGTTCTGTATAAACTTACTGTTGGCGTGATGCTACACATCACGTGGCCCGATTGAAAGTGATCTTTTCACTATACATGTGGCTTAAGGCACGAACGTACATCCTAAATTATTTTTATTTACTAAGGTCCCCATCTGTGTAAGAAGAATAACATATTAGACAGTCAGCGTTCACGAGTAATGACGTGTGAGAATCCGGAAAACGTAACTAGCTCTCACTTCTCAGCACATAGCTATGTGAACTTTCAATATCTTACCAATCTTAGATAGTTAAGGGCCAGAAAGAATAAACAGTGGCCACCAACCAAGCATGTTTCGAGCTTAGATCTTGTTTTTCAATCGAAAAACTCCAGTCAGGATGAAAGTATTAATCACGTCAGCACACTGATATTTACAGCCATAGCTATGACAAGTTTGCATGTCTATGCACGAGTTGAAAGATCTCTAGCTTTGAGGAACAGTAAGACCGTGTGATATGGAGACTTTGGAGCTAGATGTTGACTTTGGGCGTTGGGTTCAGTGTCGATTGACATTTTCCTAGGCATAGTTGTCCTCACATCTTCAGAGAGTTTGAACTAATGCGCCCCATAAAGTAATTGGTTTGTTGACCAAAACCCATCGAGAGATGTTAAGTTTTTTCCAAGGTTTAGGTAGATGTAGCAGGTGAAGGTAACATGCCGTGGAGGACCTTGAAACCATCAACTGGTGCCTTCCTTGAAAGTTATAAATAATAATTAAAAATTAAAGCACATAGTGTGTGATTATACTTGGTGGTAGAAAGAAAAAAGAATGAACCCATGGGTAATTTTAGTGACGAATATAGCTAAATTTCCGAATCACGTGTCAATCTTATGTCGAATCACATTGGCTCCAATTTAAATTCATATAATCTAACGATTAACGATGGACATCACGGGTTCAGGTGCATAGGAGCATATCATTTTTTTTTCCGTGACGTAAGTAATGTGACTATCATTTTGTCCATTAATTTGAAAATGAGGAAGATGATGTGACAATGAGAGCCTCGTTGGAGGTTTGTCATTGTCCTTTTTTTTTTCCTAAACGTGGATGGCCCATCAATTGATGTAGTAGCAAAGGGAAATTTCGCTAACGACATAACTTTGGCTAGACATGCTTGCTGCTGAAGCCTCTTAAGGTGCAAGTAAACTTGTCACTTAGTAGCGATAAATGGTGACCACTTGCTATATATCATCATGTGTGGCAATAGATTGTATAGACTTCATCACAAGTGGCCTCATCACAGATGCCAAAGTTAATCAATTTTGCCATCGCTTCAAGCATGCATGACCTTCAATTAGCAAATTAAGTTTTTGTCTTCAATTCGGACTAGGGTAGAGATGCGAGCTAGTGTACGAGCACCTTCGGTCCATATACGAGCCCTAAGAGTCCTATTAGTTCCGCCAAATTTAGTCTGAGATCCATTAAATTTAACGTTTTAACTCGGCACAATTTGTATTAGTATTCACTTGATGTTTCAAGATGTTTCTTTTTTTGACCTGTTGCAACTTGTACCAACCTTTCTAGATGCACAACTGTAGCACATAATTAGCCTAATTTGTTGAAGGGTCAAATCTGATTCAATGGGTGCCCAAAACACACACACACACACACACACACACACACGTATATATTACATATAATTGTCTGATTTAAAGGTCACATTGAGATGTCTCTTTCTTAAAAGAATAGTAAGACAAATTAGAAAATGGGAGAAAGAGAGCATGTAGCCAGCTAATAAGGCCAGCGATGGTCAAGATTTGTGATTTTGGCTATATTAATTAAGGCCATTTGCTGGTGAACAATCCTTAAAGTCTTGGACCTTTGTTTGATTGGTCCAATCCAACTAGAAGAGTGACCATAAGTATAATCTATTGATTTATACTATTTATTTTGAATTTTCGGATGGTCCTCACTCTCTAAGATTAAAAACTTTTCAAAGACTTTGAGATTTTAAGTAGGGAATTCCTTTCCTGGTTTCGGGTCCACCGGATCGGATGAATCATAACCATCGATTTTTGCAAGTCTTTCGTAAGGCCCCATAAGATTAGCGGCAGTGGTTCACTCGAGTCAATATAGCTACGGATCCGGGCGAGTATTTCGATTTCAAAAATATTATATTTCCCAGATCTGTGTCTGCATGCCACTCTTAAGTAGTAAAGTAATATTAACCCAAAGACTGTTGTCCACTATGAACATGCAAAGAAACTGTAGCCCCACGATGATGTACTATTAATTATTACTTATCTCTTAGTACTTGTACAAATACTTTTTTTTATTAATTGGTTATCCTATTTTAATTTTTTTTTCTTGGTTGTTTTTTTATGAGAATATTGTACAACAAAAACGTTCGTAGAAACGAAAGACACCGATGAATAATAACAAGCGGAAGAAGCCGAGAAGCACGCAAGGCACACACATGGACACACATGTTCCTTGGTGCTATGTGCGCTACGATGCCACTTTAGGACCCAATGGAATCCAATTTAGAAACCGTCCATTTGGAAAAAAGAATATCTCATCATAATTTCACCAAATCTTATTGTCTTTGTCCCTGGGGAATCATTCCCGATGGAATCGATTTCTTTTCAATCGGACAATGACACCGAATATGTCCTAAATCTTATGTCGATCGGTTGCTTTAGTTCTAAAACTTTTTGCTAGGTCATTTAAGTCCTCAAATTTGTTCATGTTCGTCACTTGAGTCCTTCCGTTATCGAGTTGGTTTCAAATGGAAGGAAAGTCTACGTGGAATATTTCTTTTTTTTTTTTATGAAGTTTTCCTTCTTTTAGATGTGCGGTGTAGACGTGACACTAGTGAATGCCATATGAAGAAACTCGCCCAAATCTCTTGAGGGCAAGCAACCTCCCCTTTGCTTGTGATCAGAGCCGCATCTGGGCGATGGCGGCGAGGACGGTGTGGAGGGTGAGAGCAGTCGGCCCTCGCCAGGGCACTAGTGAAACGATGTTGTATTGTTGCTTGAAGAGGTTTGGCCATAAGTTAGAAATGTGCATGTCCCAAAACATCATACACATCATCAATTGATATGGTGTACAACAATTGGGTACCTGACGAACATTTCCCTACTGACGGCAGGTGGAATACCCGATCGATATCTCGCACACGACGGACGAGAACTACAAGCGCTGGAGGTACGTGACCTACAACTTCACGCTCGCTAACTTTTGGACGCCCCACCTGGTCAAGTCCGCGGAGACCGACCCGAACGGGCCGACCAAGACGGGCCTCTTCAGCCTGCACCTCGACGAGGCCGACGACAAGTGGATTTCCGAGGCCGAGGAGTTCGATTACCTGATCGTCTCCGCCGGACACTGGTTCTACCGCCCTCTAGTCTTCTACGAGAACAACAAGATTGTGGGGTGCCATTTTTGCTTATTAGAGAACGTCCCGGACTTGACCAAATTCTACGGCTACCGGAAGGCATTCAGGACGGCATTCAAGGCCATCAATGCGCTCAAGAACTACAAGGGCATCACCTATCTGAGGACCTTCGCGCCTTCTCACTTTGAAGGTGGGATCTGGAACCAGGGCGGCAACTGCCTGCAGACGAGGCCGTCCCGGAGCAACGAGACCACGCTCGCCGATGAGAACCTGGAGCTGTACATGATCCAGGTGGAGGAGTTTCGGAAGGCCGAGGAGGATGCGAGGGAGAGGGGGCTCAAGTACCGGCTGCTCGACACGACCCAGGCAACGCTGCTGCGGCCCGACGGCCACCCGAGCAGGTACGGGCACTGGCCGCACGAGAATGTGACCCTGTACAACGACTGCGTGCACTGGTGCCTGCCGGGGCCGATCGACACGTGGGGCGACTTCCTGCTCGAGATGCTGAAGACCGAGGGCCGGAGGTCGAGGGAAGAGAAGCTCCGGTACAGCGACCGGAAGTTGAAGGCCTAGGGCACGGGAACAGTCTTAGTACATAAGGTTAATGTGTCGATTGGTAATGTCTTGTCTCGTTGGGCAGGGGAAATTGGAAAAAAATTGGTTGTCCTATGTTTTGGTTCCGTGGCTCCATTAGGGCGAGTTTTATTCAAGAGATAAATAAATTATTTTCATGTATTGGACCGTATAATTATGTGTCCTTGACACTCAATGAAGCAAGTCAAAGTCATATTTATTACCTTTTTCTCCTTTAATTGATTGTCAATCCAAACTTCGAAGCCACCAAATGGGATCGAAAGTTAGACAAGGGAGAGATGTAAGAATATTTCTGAATTGGGATGTGCTGTTAAATTACATAAATAAATAAAACAAAAATAACACTTTTGAATACAATCATTTACCTCAAATAGTAAACTTTAAGTTTTCAAGGACTATTTAATGGGATTAAACTATAAGTTTACATCTTCCTTATATAATTATCATTTATGTAATAATTAGTAAATGCCGATTACGGAGACGAACGAGAGGTTGTGACAATAATAATTTCTTTTGTCCCGCATCCTAGAAAAGTCTACCTTCCAATTACAAATGCCATTAATTCAAGAAAGAATAGTAGTTAGCGGGAACAACATTTCTTCAATTTATACACATTAATCTTAACTTGTATCCACCAATCAATGCACTTCATTGACCAGAGAATTTTTGAAAAAAAAAAAAGTTGACTTTTACCCTGAACTTTTAGGTAGAGTAAAATCCCCAGTCAACTTCATATCTAATCGCACGTATGTGTTGATTAGTGAGAGAAATCAATTAGGAAAAAGAATAAAAAAATTAATAAAACGGGATCGATCAACGTCATGTGCTGTTTATGAAAGTAGACACTTGCCAACAATTCAACTTCGTCCATATATTCCGAACCCCTAATAAAATACAACAAAGAGAATGGCTATAATTCCAAAGTTGGGTGTTTCGAGAAGAAGGAATGGTTTGAAATTTATTTCCTTAAAAACGATCGATCGTCTGTTTCGCTCGAAATAATTAGTTGATAAAAAATATTTTCATTATTGATAACGATTTATGTATGAATATTTTTGTAAACGATGAAAACATTTTTCATTCATTTATTTTTGGTAAGCGATACGAGCGATGATTTTGAGGAAAATGTTCTACGAATCATCTATTTTCCGGGGGAAGCACGTGCAACCTAACCTAATTTTGGGGAAAATTACCAAAAAAGTCCTAAACCTTTTGCAGTTGTGCTAATTCAGTCGTAAACTTTTTTTTTTGCCAATTCAGTCCTAAACCTTTTGCAAACCAGCCAATTCAGTCCTTTTGACCGGCCGGCGCTGACGTGGCCACCAGTCGGCTGACGTGGCGCCGGCCAGCGTCCACGTGGCAATATTTTAATATTTTTTTTTATTTTCGAATTTTTTACTTTTTTCTTTTTTTTTTCTTTTCCTTCTCCCCCTGGCCTGTCCGGCTAGGGGGGAGGCTCACCGGCGAGCCTCGCCTCGCCAGATCTGGGTGAGGGCGGAGCTCGCCCTACCATGGGCCATGGCGAGCTCCGCCTCACCCGCCTCACCCGGATCTGGCGAGGCTCGCCCAGCGGCGGCGAGGGCCCAGCTCGTCTCGCCGGAGCTGGGCCCTCGTCGGCGAGCCTCCCCCCTGGCCGGATAGGCCAGAGGGGGAGAAGGAAAGAAAAAAGAAAAAGAAAAAAGAAAAAAATTCGAAAATAACAATAAAAAATTATTAAAATATTGCCACGTGGACGTCGGCTGGCGCCACGTCAGCCGGCCGGCTGCCACGTCAGCGTCGGCCGGCCAAAAGGACTGAATTGGCTGGTTTGCCAAAGGTTTAGGACTGAATTGGCAAAAAAAAAAGGTTTAGGACTGAATTGGCACAACTGCAAAAGGTTTAGGACTTTTTTGGTAATTTTCCCCCTAATTTTGTATTCCACGCTCGAACAACCACGAGCTAATAATCTCTAGCACATAACGATAAGCCCCGTTGATGTTGCTGTTCTTGCTATTTAATTGGTGTACAACGATGTCTCACCAGAAGAGAAAATGGCATTACTCTACTTTCTTTCATTTGTTGATCAATTATTGGCTTTGTCTTCGTCTTCTAACACGTGGTCGTGGGGTCGTTTATACTTAGACGCATTGAGCTGTTACATTACACTTAATAGCTAAAATCCAATTCTCATGATAAAAAAGAATCTCTTATTCTAATCAATGAACGCAAAATTTTTGGCGAGTGATTAAAGATTTTTTAAGGCATGGTTTTTAAATATATATTCACACGTATATCTTTCGTAATATAAATCGAAATCCATGGTGCGCCCGCCATTGCCGTCCGAGCTTTAACCCTAACGGGGCTTATGAAGAAACATAAGTAAAATACACGACGTGAACGACAATACAGAGGGCCTCAAAAGGACTAGAATATTATCAAATGCTTGATTTCAAATAAGAAGTCGTAAACAAGGACCTCACATTTTACGACGTAACTTTCATGCACGCCAGAAATCTCTGTCCTCGCGCTTGCGCGAACACTGTAGTGTACACACGCCCCTCATCCGCCATGAAGGTCGCACTCTCAGAGGAGCATCACCGCGATAAGAAGGCGGTGCAGCAAAGCGGGGCCGTTAACTTCAGGAGGGCGTTGACGCTTGCTCCAACCGCGATTCTTCTCACCGCGATCCCTCTGTGGCTCCTCTTCGTGAGCTCTCCCGTCCAGCCTCAAGATTATCCTCCGGCTCGGCTGATAGAGGACATAAACGGCGGCCCCCAGGGCATGGACGGGGTGGAGGCAGTGGCGGTACCTGTGGTGAGGTAGAAGAAGTGCGACGTGTTTAAGGGGAAATGGGTGTACCGCCCAGACGCGTCGACGTACTACACGAACCAGACTTCCTATGCAATAAGCGACCAGCAGAACTGCATGAAGTTCGGGAGGCCTGATACGGAGTTCTTGAAGTGGCAGTGGGAGCCGGACAGGTGCGATCTCCTGCCGTTCGATGCAGCAGCCGAGTTCATGGAGATGGTGAGGGGGAAGTCCATTGCTTTCGTCGGCGACTCTCTGGGGAGGAACCACATGCAGTCCTTGCTGTGACTCTTGTCTAGCGTAAGTGCTCGATCTAGTTGTGGTTGACTAGATTATTCTATTGGCTACAAACGAATCACTTTCGTTTTATATTGATTTGGCTAATTACTCCGGTATTGCCATGAGCTTGCAATGTTTCAATTGCCTTCTTTTTCTAAAAGAGTTGGGAGGCAGAGAAATGTGCAAGTCAAATATGAGCTGTTCTTAGAATGACCCCCTTTTTTTTATTGAAAATTTAAGAGCAGAAAATCATATGTCCACATATGCTGTCCTCCTAATTATTATTCTAAAAAGGACACAAGAGAGAACAAAACAAGGACTAATGATATTTGCGGGAATGTCATTATAATATTATCCTCTATACCCAAGGAAAATACTTGCTTAGATAGTGATATGTGTATTCATATCGATCATAACTTATATATACGAAGTTTTCTACTATCCTTGACTTAAGCTATTATCATGTATCGTGTGTGGAAATTTTATCTTTGATCTTATAGGTTGACCAACCGGAGGACATCTCTCTGAGGTACACCACGGACTACAACTTCAAGCGTTGGTACTTCCCCAACCACAACCTAACCCTAGCCGCCTTCTGGGCCCCATTCCTGGTTCGCACCACTGACTCCCGTGGCGGCCAAACCCTCAGCGGTGTCCTGAGCCTCCACCTAGATGAGCCCCACCCTGCTTGGTCCTCCGAGATCGGCCCCTTCCACCATGTCATCGTCTCGGTAGGCCAGTGGTTCTTCCGCCCACTCGTCTACTACCTGAACGGGCGACTCTTGGGCTGTTCTGTTGGATCAATAAGAAGGTCACTTCATACAAATCAAGCTCACAAGACAGAAACTACACGTAAAACAGAGGAGATTATGAAAGTGGAGGACTTTTATTCAGCGCCCTTTTTGAGAATACAAAATAACAATAAATAGAATTCACAAAACGTAAAAACAGCAACTAAGCCAGATATGGCTCCTAAGAATCCGCTAACAAACTAATTTATTGTTGACTACGTAACTAGCTAACTGCCTCCTAAAAACAAGGAACTCAACTTTGAATCACTTCTTAACATCCCCCCTTGATTCAAAGTTGGTTAAACCAAGTTGACTTCTAAGTTCTTCATGAAGGGTTCATCAACGAAAAACAACGCAGAGGAATATAGAACCCTAGACAGGATCCATGTGTATATTGAAATCGAAAAAGAATTTCGAAACGTACATTTTGCAGATCGAAGATAAATCAGCAACCGATTGTGTCTGGATTAGCGCCCCAAGTGTTGCGCCTCTACCGGTATCCACACACACGAACGGAATTCTCCAACGATCCACGTGCTAACGAAAGATCTTGAAGTTCCTTTTTCTTGAACGCCTTTTGATTTTCGATACTCTGTCGAAAAAAAAACCCTAGACAGAGAACGATTCTCTATCTATTTATACAGCCTCATTATCCAGTGGAATTAAAAGAAGTGGGCCGGGCAATTTGGGCCCACCAAACCGTCCACCTTTAATCGTACGTTTAATCGTTATCTCATAACGCGCACGACCGCATAGATAATTTAAATAAGAGAATAAAGGCGCACATAAAATATTAAGTCTGTTCACTATTGTGTGCGACCCTGTAGGTTCACTAAACATTAGCAGTGTGCTCAAAACTCTTTTTGGCCCACAAGTCATAAGCGGTCTCTAGCAAGACATTATGACTACCTAAGTATAGTGAAAGTCGATTTTCCGACACAACCTAATCCACAACTAATATTAGAGTATCAACCTTGATTGATTCCTAGGGCAGACCACTAACACTTCAAACCCCCCACGTGATAAAGCTTTAGTTAACACATCAGCTACCTGCTCTTCTGTCCCACAAGAATCTAGCTTAACTTCATCTCTAGCTACCAGCTCCCTCAAAAAATGATGCTTAATCTCTATGTGCTTGGATCGACCATGGAAGACTGGATTTCGACTCAAAGCTATGGCTAAAGCACTATCACACTTTATAACAATGGCCTCTACTTGTTCCTGACCCAGCTCACTCAAGACCATCCTCAACCAAATTGCCTCACAAGCTGCTCTTGCTCCAGCTATATATTCAGCTTCACAAGTGGACAAGGCAACTGTTGTTTGCTTCTTAGAACTCCATGCTACTGCTCCTGAGCCCAAGGTGAAGCAGTAACCGGATGTGCTTCTTCTATCTTCAACGCATCCAGCCCAATCACTGTCTGTATACCCCAGCAACTT